CTTCAGGAGTTTGACAAGGTAACCCTTCTTCTAATCAATTGGCAGGTACCTTTCCTTCCTTCCTTCCTTCCAAACCTTCTGCAATAGTGGTGTGGTGTGAGCATGTCCGCTGTTATCCCTGCGTCCGCTCTCATTGCCACTGATGGGATTCCATCTGGTCCTGCTGCTTTCCCGCATTTCAGTAACCTTATGGCGTTCAGGACTTCCACTTTCATCGGAGGGCTTGTGTTCACTTATAGTTCTGTGGCTGGGCTGCCGGTCATATTTCTGGACGAAGTGCAGGTGGTGGTCGATTCAAGAGCTTTCTGAAGTGGTCAACCCACCGTTTCCTTTGTTTCTCTTCTTTGCTAATTAAATTTCCCCCATCATCTTTTACTGGTTTCGTCTGCGTTGATCTCTTCTCAGATAGTAACCTGGTTATTTATACAATGTTGCCTGGTCTCTCCTACCAGCCGGCAGCCTGTTCTGCTTCACTTGCCAGTGTTTCGTAGAAGTATCTTTTGTCTTTGCGCTCACTCTTATTCACTTCTTTGTCCAGTGTTTTACAGATTGTACTCAGTTCTTCTTTTCGTTGTTCATCCAGGCCTCGCACCGGTTTATCTTCTGCTCCACCATCATCCTCTCCCTTCTCTATCAGCTTCCATGTGTCCGTTGAGATCCGTTTCATTCCTTGTCTTGCCTCTTCTTCTTCCTCCTCCCTAACACGGTTATGCAGGTTTTCTTCCACATCTCTTTCAAAGACTTCCAGTGTTCTTCCACGCCCGATCCTTCAGAGATGTTGCTCAATGTCTCCCATAGTGTTCTGTTGGCTGACGTGAAGATGTCCTTTGTAGTTTCGTCCTTCAGTTTCTGTTCTCCGTGTTGAACTTCAACTGTGGTCGTCTATCACCAACTTCTGTGAAGGCTTCCAACTTGATTTTGAAGGTGGGTTGCTTGCACTAGATAGTGAGTGGTGTGAACCTACATCTGCTCCCCATCTTGATCTGATCTTGTGTCCAGTAGTAGGCTGGCTGCGTCTCCACTTTCTTCACATTGAGATGAAGTCGATCTGGTTTTTAGTTTAGTGTGTCCATCTGGTGAAATCGAATCCATGTCACTCGCTTTGTGAATATCCTTGTGTTTGTACACACTGCCTCACCTCCAATCACCAAATCGTTGAATGCATAGGATTCTGCAAACAGTTCTCCATTCTCGTTCATCATTTCACCGAGTGCTTCTCAACCATGATTGGTTCTCTTCCTGTCTTGTCCGCTCCCAGTTTGGCATTCGTGTCACCCCACCCACTAGAATTTTGATGTCGCCAACTGGGATGGAGTCTTTTCCAATAGTGATTACAGTTGTCTGTAGAATTCTTCCTCCTTCTTATCTTCATCTGCACTATTTGTAGGTGCATAGCGAAGCATTATTTGATTGTGACTTTCCTTCCTTTTGATTTGAATGTTGCTGTGATGATCCCAATCCTGCAGGAGGAGATTGGTTCGCACTGTATGAGAGTGAGCCTTCGATGTTCTTCAAGGTGAGAACTCAGTGTGCTCATGATTGTCATCTGGGTGATAATATCGGATGGAGCAGATTATTGACTCATCTCCAGTTGACAGTTTGGAGAGTTCACTTCCATTCCATCTGCTTTCGCAGATTTCAAGCACTTCCATGCCATACCTCCTCATTTTTTTGTAATCAGGGCAGCCTAGCTAAGTTCATACATGTTGCGGACATTCCATGTCCCCATGTATACTTTTGCTTTCATCGAGAGAAGACACATCAGCCAATTGGCTTTCTGAAGGCTTTCACCAACCGGCGTCATTTCGTCTCTCCGATTCCAGTGAGAAATAATTTTGTTTTCAGTTTTTTTAATTTTCTTTGTGCTTTGAAGTTTCTTTAGCGGTTGGATTGATTTTCTGGGGTAGGGTTGCTAGCCCTTTGCCCAACCTTCCCTATATATCCGCGCTTAGGACCGGCTAGTAACTAGTGTACTGTCCAGGTAACTTCGGTTAGTATCTAGTTTATTACACTAGACGGGGTCAAAATCAAAGCTATGTCAAATCTGAATTCAGTTTATCAACAGCTTACTATTGAAAATTTATAAAAGATTTTTTTTCGTGCTTCAACTAGTTTGATACAAAACTATTATTTTGATGAGTAACTCAAGCTAATAGAAATGAGTCATTAAAGCTATAGGAGAATTGACTAATTTGTACTATCTTCAGAGAATGGAGACATGGTATATAAATATAAAATACGCAAGGTCATTGACTAGATAAGAGAATAAGAAGTAATGAGTATTGATCAAACAGTTGAAACAATAAGTTAAATTTGAATCAAAAATACAAGATAAAATATGATAGTAGTTGATGTTACAATTTTTATCGACATATTAAAAATCCCCTTAATTCTAAGCTTCATAACAAGCAGAAAGTACTAGAATCCTGATATCTGATTCTGTGACATCAAGTTCTCATGTGACTAGTCCACGGAATTCAATGCCGCTTTGTTGACGCCAAAGTCCCTCCATCGTGATGTCATTATTCATTCAAGATCTGAGCTTCTCGGAGGTGTCCGTTATAGTGATATCCTTTTCCAGATTGACTGACTGTACTTTGCAATCATTTTATGCATTCATGATGTTCAAATGCAAATGACTTAGCAAAACAGTAAAACATACTGTTCATTGCTGTCATTTCCTTTCAGACGGAATTGAGGGAAGAGAATTCTTCCTTCGTCTGTGGCTTACCCGAACTTTCGGTAGTTTTAAATAAAGTTCATTAGTGCGAACATGGACTCAATGCAGGGTATTCAGAAGTTTGTGTAGCTTTTGCCAGGAAGAACTTAGTGAATGGTTTTGACTTTATAAACCTTAAACGACGTTTATCCTTAAGTTGGTATACATCACGGTCTGTCAGTTGAAGAATCACTGGAAACCGATGAGGACTAGACAGCTGTCCCACCCTGCTATGGGACTCCTCGGGAGTGCACTAATTGATGATGTGCTTTGAGATGGATTTCAAGAAGTTCTTATGAGGAACTATGACGTGTTTAGGTATGACAACAAATACTCGTCGATGGTATTAAATGATAGTCGTGGCATATCGCAAATTGACCGAAGTAGGGAAATTTGCAACATGTATTCGACCCAATGGGTTAATGGTAACGTGCTCGCAACGGAGCCTAGAGCTCCTGTGTTCAATCACTGGCTAGGTTGCGAGTCCCATACTAGAAAGAAACAGCTGTCAAATCCTTCCGGCTTTTGAATGATTCTCCAACTGATTTCATTCTGTGATGCATCGCAACTATTGGAACACCTGCTTGTATTACCATGCATTTCTCAATATTCTTCTCATCAGTTGTACTGACACTAGCACTACCATTTTTATTTTAAAATCCTATAGCCGGCATTTTTGACTCGTAAATAATATTTGGCTTGTATTTTATAAAAACATGTAAAGGTATGTATACTAGAGTAGGACCTGAGGAGATTTAAGTGAGAAAAAACTAGGCCCAAACACTAGTCCCATGTTCTCAGCTTCTTTTCAATGGTTCATCAACTGATAGCAGTCCATCATTAGAACAAATTTAAAACCACTCAACCCCCACAAATCATCAATCAAACTATAGTCAGGTACTGACTGGTAGATCTAATGAGAAACCTTGATATGTGGGGTTAACCAAGTCAGGTGTAAAGAAAAATAATCAACTATGGCATTGAATGGTCATACCCTAAATTGTGAGTTGACGGAAGTAGGAAAATGTGAACCATTGGATCCCAACCCATTGAGTGAAATGTAATGTATACACCATGACACTCAACAGTCCCGGGCTCATCGACCTTTTCTGACCTCTCCTTGTAGTGGAGAAGTGGCATCAGCATGAACTGCCGCCAGTCATCTGGAGGAAATAGGTTACTGCTGTCATACCTCATCTAGCTAGCAGTACCATTCGTCCTTAGCTTCCAATAACGGCGTAGTTATTTTCACTGTAACGGTAGCTGCTTTCCATATTACTCCTATCCAACAGACGTTGTTGGTAGGGTAGAAACTTGAGAAACGTCTGTACCACCTAGCATTGTTCGGGTTGGATCACTCTGATATGCGGTCCTGATCACTACATCAAGGTGGTAGCTCGCGGTCAGTTGTACCAGTACTGAACTCTGGTGATGTATTGCACATGAAACATAAACGAACAAATTGTCCGGCAGAAATCCCCGTGATACAAGTACTAATATGTATAAACCATTTAAGAAATGGAATTTATAAGAACGAGAATGACAGATAAAACAATGCTTTATTTTTGAGTTATTCCCTAAACAGGCAACAAGCCACATTTTAGTGATTCAAGTTAATATCTGATAGAATACTTGAATTTCGCCTAAATTGACGGTATACTTAGCCTACTTTATGACTAACTCCCAGTGAGCGCAAGAACAAACCGTAAATCAATTCACAACTCAAAACGTCCCAACAGCGCATAATCCACAAAGTTACGGCAGATACATCTAATGCAAAACGTATTTCATTTGTGATTACCATTCTTTATCTTTTCAATTTCAATAACAATAACTACTGGATGAGACAATTTTGTAAAGTACTTCCAATGTGATTGATTAACTAGGTTCATAAAAACCATTAATTCAGAGAAATTCCTTAGCAAACAGTCACCACATGGAATACACAATACACTATTATTGTTCATATGAAATAACCGACAATACTCAGCTTTTGTTGATTTGTGCTGTAAATGGTTGAAATCAATACATAACTGAATCGTCCATAACTACTATTTCGAACACAAACGACATCCACATAGGGAAATGCTTATCAATGAACTTGTGAATTAAAAACTAAACTTTATGGGTAAAATTCAGACAGATCTGTACCATAGACCATAAACCACACCTACTGCCTGACGGCTGATGGAACATACTATTTGGGTGTTCTAACTCGAATAGATGAAACGAGTCTCCAACCCATAGACCACAGACTTTACATAGAAAACGTTCTACCGTCCTTGATTGGAAGATAATGGGAAACACTGCCAGTGTTCAACTAAAAGTTTTATTCTTCCTACTGACTTTTTTCAAATCAAAATAATTCGACAATTCCATGTGTGATCATCTTGTTCGAGATATGATATCCAACATCACACATGCCTTCTAGATGATCTTTGCATTTTCGTTATGCTGAGCCAATCTATCAAAAGGATTAATTTCTTCACCTTTATGCATATTCTATGCAAAATATGTGTAAAATTATGATTATCATTGATTTCGCAGAGATTAGCTTCGAAAAAAAGTAATCTTATTCTGACCAAACAGAAATGAAAATTTAATAAAGGACGAAAGTTGAAAAGTGTGTACAAAGAGAGAGGATAGAGAAAGAGAAACTGGTCAAATGAAAAACATTCACACGCATCAATAACGTGAAGAATAGAAGCGTGACGACTTTAACGACAATAACTTATGTTTTGCAAGAGCAACAATAATACTTTCCTCTCGAAAGTGAAATCAAAGCTAGAAGCAAGTTATCAATGCAAAACAGTTTATGAAAAAATATACATAACTACAGAAAAAACACAAAGAATTAAAAGGATGATCGTTTCATAATGAATCTCAAATCAATAAGAAAGATGCAAAGCTCCTATACATAAAATACCAATAGTTACATAAATAAGTTTTACGATAACCTTCAGCAGAATATTCTGCTGAACAGCCTGTAACATACACAAAAAGACTTCCACAAATATCTTGTTTTCGATTTTCTAAACACGCTGGGACCATATTGAAACTTACTTATACAATGATTAAACCTAACTAGGTGCTCAACTTTCAGGACATTTGTAATATACCAATGCGTGTGTCATTTTACTTTTATTGTAAATGTGTACTACTGATTGAAAAGTAAGTAGTAAAAGTAAATCAAAACAAAATGCACAGACAGAACGCAACAGATGAATGCAGATGTAATCAACGTATAATGGAAATAAATGCGTATATGGTGAATATTTGTAAAACCCAAAAACAAGAAGAGTGAAATTGTTTTAGGTAGAAGTGAAGTGATATGCACTAGCGAGGAAACACAAAACAATGGAATCTGTTGAAAATTGCAAACAAAATAAACAATGAACCTATTCAAATTCACAAATACACACTTCTCTTACAAAAAACGAAGGAAAAAAGTTAGTGACATACTTACTCAGTGAGTAAGCGAACAGACACAAAGTAGACAGACAAATATTGACCATGAAGTCTATCTTTTTGACGCCATATAACCGTACAGAAAAACAAATGTGATAGTCACCAACAGCTGATAACAATGTTTAAAGAACATCACTTCTCAAGTTGATAAGTAAAAATGTCATTCTATACACCTTTTGCTTGTTTTTTTAAATTTATACATAAAAAATGAGAAAAAAGAAGGCTGCAACAACCCCACTATTGTGTGTGTGTGTGTGTCTGTGTGGTAGCGTGTTACATACCGTTAAAACAAATTAGTAGTTAATAAATACAAAAAGGGGGGAATGCAGAAACAAGGTTTATTCGTTATCGTTGCATTCGTTTTGTGTAAGCGGGTAAGTCAACAACTGAATTCTTCTTGGGCTATTGCACTGAGATCCTTCATTAAACCTTCTAAATTCGCCATTTCTTGAGAAAGTTCTTCGCTACTGAACGCCTTTTGAACACCCTAAATGTGTTATACAAAGAAGAAGGAAAACGAAATCGATTAGTCCACATAAACCCCTGAATACAATTAACCTGGCGATCATTGGTGACTAGCTTTAAAAGGTGATTTCTAAAGTTCCAATAAATATTCGTCACTTGTGGGGCGAATCAGGTGGACGTCAGAACAAATACATTGGATGATGATCACGCTATAAACTGACAGAAGTACCAAATACCTACTTGAAAAAACGAAAGAATTATATATGAGACGTAGATAACTGAGTGAAATTGAAGCCCAATGGGTCAATGAAGCACACTCTGAATCAATCAATGCAGTGTCTAGGTAATTGCTAAAGGGTTGTTAGTTCGAATCCTCATAAGTTCTAGGTTTCTGTGTGGCTGGGAAATCTCAGTGAAATAAATGCGTTCAAAATTGACCATACTGGTACATTGTACTGTGTCTCTTTTTAGTTAGTCATATAACCTAATCGCTCCAGCTTTGAAGGCGAAATGAAGTTCAATTCAGTTAGCCAGTGTTAGTGACAATTATTATGATGGCATCGACAGTACCCAGAAAAAGTACAAATTTGTAAATATAAAAAAGTGGAGCATACCTCTAGTTCCGTTTCACTTTCATCATGATTCATAACCATAGAATTACGACTGCAATCTTGTTTCACAAATCTCTTTGTGTTATTATTCTTGCTACTACTGCTACTACTACTACCATTATTATTGTAATGGCCAGAACAGGTGGTATTAGTAGTATTATTGTTACCGATTGCATTTTGTTGATTAATTGTTGATCTACGGGAATGTATATCAGTATTTTGTTCATTATGAATGGAATTTGGTAATGGACGACGTCGAGGTGACGTTACTGAACGCGGACCAGTATTTCCAGAAGAGGTGATACGTTTAGATTTAGGTGTAGTATGCGTTTGGTTATACAATTTAACTCTTGACCGATCATCTCCATTCATGGAGATAAATTTCTGTGCTAAAAACAAAAAAATGAAATAACAGAAAGGGAAGGAAAGACAAGTATATAGATGCTATATGTATTTCCGTTTGTCTTCTATGTAGCAAACAGTTACATATTGCCACCTGTTTATATACTGCAAGTAGGCATGGAAAATTTACGCACAGTTTCCTCTGCTGGCTAAGAAATGAAAAAATTAAATGAAAGAAAAATACAAATCAGTAAATTACGACTGATAGAATTCGCTCTTGTCCTGAGAGAAGCCTGAAAATATCCACTGTGAATTCAACAAGGAACAAGTCACATGTCTAGTTGTTTGCAAATGGAAGTCCAAAATATATGAAACGTTTTTTTAAAACGACTTATTATCTCTTGACAGGAAGAGGCCTAGATACAAATCAACATTCCAAGTCATCAGCCAAGAAGGCAGAATTTTTGGATTTCAATGTTGTTTCGTATGGGCAGAGAAAACCTAAGTGGGGAACTTTGTCCTTCAACTGGTCAATGAAAACAGATATCTGACTTGTGACCTAGTGGCTTTATTTTCCGACGAAAAACGTTAAAAAGTGTTTTTTGTCAAATGAAGTTGTCTAATTTCCAGTCACAGACCGGTCTTTGTCTTCTGATTTTTGCAGCTCAGGTACAAGGGACAACACTAGTATCCAGTCCAAGTGTCTCATTGCGTTAGTAGCGTATCTCGTATTATTCTATCAATCACTTACACTCGGTCAATTCATGTCTTAAATCTACACAATTAACTACTACTCACAGTTTGAGTAGCAAATTCCCAGAAGAAATATGAGCATGAAAGATGTGGATACAACTACCAATCACCAAACCCTTTCTTCTATCGATAACTGAAGCTATGGTTGGTTGATTTCTGTGTATAAACTTGAAAATAACTTCCCCAACGTGTGTACATCCATTTTATGCCCTGTTTCAATAATGCGTTGAGGAGCTTACTGTTTGTGAAGCCACTTTGGAATAATTTCTGCGGTTTTTATTTTTTATGATCGATGTGTCTGTGTGAGAGCATGAGTACGTTTGAGTTGGTAAGTACAATGGAATGTAACTTGACCTTTCACCTATGGAATTCGATGGGTATTATAAGCGTCAAATTTTCAATTATTCTAACCTTACTTGGATATATTTTATTGATGGCAGCGTTAAGTTTCTGTCTGTCTTACTACCAAGCTGTTTGCATCACTAGTGTATAGTAGCTTGATGAATACATCTATCTTAGGGACAGAGTAGAGAGTATTTCTCAATGTTCTGTCCACCATATGCCGGCTTGGTTGGCTAGTTGTTCTCAATCAATGTGTCTCCGTCAATACATATACAAATAAGTTGGTACACAAGAAACTCTACCTGATTACAGATTTGAGTGATATTTGACTAGTTGTACGTTCAGTAACAAATCCCTCGCGATCAAACGATAGGGAAAAAAACTGAATATGCAATCCAGCGCAGAGACAGCAGTAGTTAAAAAAGAAATACAACATGACATAAAGTTAGGCCGACACAAATCAAGGACAGGCAACAGTACAACACATTGAAACATTTATCATTGTCTTGTCTTTTCGTATTTTTATCTGACAAATAATACGGTTGCAACAAATTAGACTGCCTGTATAGGATAACAAAAATAATAATGCGATAAAAAGACCAGTGCACAACAGTGGTAGCGGAACAAATCAACAAGCAAACAACTATGTACATTTATAGACGTTCACAGCATTAGAGTTCCCTCCTACTTTTCACCTATTCCTCCTCTTTCAATCTTATTCACTTTGTCATTAATGAACATGTAGATTTCGCGTATATCTCTCAAAGTCGGATATTGACTCATCTATCTAAAAATTAATCTACCGTGATAGAAAGTAGTGGATGGGAATGAGGTGGGGGAATGAAGACGGATAGGAAGAAATGAGGACAACAATTATGGTAACATTACAATATATTACTAAATACAAAGGTGATAGCATAAATGTAATAATACCGATTCATAACCATGGCCATTCTACTAATCTTATGATTAGTAATCCTCTGCTGTACCACTAACGGATGGATGACTAACACTTACCATGGCAACCAAAGTTTGTTTTATATGTATATATAATATGTCAACCTTGCACATATTTATGCACTAGACAATGAACCAAGATATATCGCATTACTGCTTGTTGTAAAACTAACCGCAGTTGTACAGATCAAAATATGGTAGAGTAGAATTTTAAGCTAAGACTTAATGTCTGAAAATCGGATACCTGTAAAGATTATTTGTAGCTCAGGATGTGGATGTTTAAAGTGAATTGTCCTCCAAGCTAGGATTTGATTTGGCAAACGTTTCAATCTCATACTACGTACCGTCATTATCAGTGCATCAGAGCTTCATAATGAAGTGAAATAATTGGCTTTCGTTATAAATATCCATACAAAGCCAATCACTAGAATGACATCAGAACATTTGCTGAATGAAACCCTAGCTCAGAGAACAGGTCACTTTGAAGCCAACAAACCATATCTTTCACAGTGTTTACGATGGAAAAATGCATTTGTTGCCCATTAGTAGTAATCCCGACAAATTTTAGTCGTTTCAGTTCAGAACCCCGAAGAATTAAATATCGAGGAAATATTTAACTAGGAGAACTAAAAACCAATTAAGAAGAGGGAAAAACTGACAAAACAATCTTACAATCAGCAATAACCAAAAAACAGAAAGCAACTGACAAAACATGAGAACTGATACTCTGATATTCGTATGTATGTATGTATACACACAGCCAGATCGACAAATCAAAGTGGCATGTAGGACAGAAATGTATCAGCTCGCCACACAGTATAGCATGTAAAGAAAAAGTAAATAGAGGAAAGGTGATCGTAAAATAGACAAAACTTTATGAGAGAAAGAAAAGAGCATAAATCGATGAGAGTGAATGATTATATTCAAGATTTCGAAGATGTCAAATTGTGATTACATCTGCGCTATTTCGAGGCATATCACCGAGAACCTGCAACCACTGATTTCTATCCTCTCGACGATTCCAGTCCAGACAGTCTACACCTAATAACACGATCCAAACCAACAGTTGGAGTCTTGAAGAGTTGGTGCCACATCTTGGTGTGACCACCCTAATCCTTCTCCTCCTAACCCGATCTTACTTCGGCTTACTTTGCACATTGAGGTAAGTGGTGGTGCTTCGGGGCGCAACACGTTTAAATCACTCCAGTCGTTGAAGGTTGACAACTTCGTCGAGTAACTGGCCTTTCTTGCATAGTACCCTTCGCCCAAATTCAACATTGCTCATACCATGCTTCCACATGAGTGATGCTGCATAAACACATGTGTTCAATAGCCTACAATGTCTTCATATCTACTTTTAACTGTAATATCTTATAGATTGATAATAAGACAGTGGACTTCTGTATAGTATACTTCTTTGATATATGGTCAGATATCCTGCAGGTACAATAAGTAGTAAAAGTTGGCAAACGTCAAACAACTCTTCAATATCCGGGGTGTGATTTTATCACAAATCGGTCCGTTCGCACATACACAATATCCGAGGTAAAGTGAAGTGCTCAACGCACTCTGCCACTTGACTCCCAATTATTAAACTACGAATCCATGCAGACCATAGTTCAATTTTCAAATAAATAATTAAAAATCAATTTGTGTTACAACATTAGAAAGTCTTTGATACAACCACGAAAGGGTTCAAAACAGGAAACGGAAAGACAGAGGGATAGCCTACTTGACAGACAACAAATCCCAACGAATTAGGTATCCAGTGTTCCCGGGAATCTCAGTGATTCCTATCGTGATGTGAGTTGTCGTGAGTTATCCAACCGACAAGTTCATCCACCGGTTAAGAATTAGGACTTTCTGTGACTAAGAAGGGAGACACAGGATAAATATATCATCTGTGACAGATATTTCCTTCGTTGGCATGAGAGTTTATTACTAGTGAGAAGCAGCTTCAGAAGTGATATTCATTCTGGTCGATCGAAGTGACAGAACCACTAAAGTCAAAGTCTTGGATATGGAGCATAACCGGGTTGGACCCAGTTGCAAGACACAGCAATAGACAAGAAAATTGCTGAACCCAATCAGGAATGAAGATGGAACGACAAAGATAACAATTATTCAGCTTAGAAAAACTTACAATCATTTTCATTTGCAGAATTTGACATTACTGGTCCAATATCTTCTACGATACAAAAAAGGAAAATACAATGAAAAATCATGATTCCACGGGAAACACCACTAAACTGTTATGTCATGCCGATGTGAAAGCGTGAGATATGACGACATAAAATGACGTAAGCAATTGTGTCATGTTCTTATTATTATTTGATTATATTGTTGACTAACTAATCAGTGAATCTATGATCAATTTATCTATTGTTTAATAATATTGTTTGACTAGTAGATGAATCCTGAAAGTTGTATCGCTTGAATTCAATTCAGTTGACCTATCGACATCATCATCAGAATAATCTTAATTGAAAGCTGAGATTTCGATTTTATCAACGTTGAATGCTATCCGAAGTTAGCAGCATAAGGATGAAATAAAGCTAAGGATAACTGAGCTAAGACAGCACCTTTCCATGAAGTTTCTGACTAATGGTTTGAAAAATCTAATGGGATATAGGCTGTATTGTCTGAAGTCATCGAGACGATTGAAATGAATAGTTAGAGATGCCTCAAAATCACCTACAATATTACGAATGTCATCCTTGAATTATTGAATACTTTCATTAGCCTTTATCTATTTATCCTTTCACGCTTTATACAATTTAATACGCTTAAATAACATCCTTTTTCTAACTATATCTACCTTCAATAAAACGCTTGTACATTGTTCTTATTTATCAATCTGTCTAGTTGAAAGCAAAGGTTTAATAGCAACATCCCCAGGCTAAAATAAAGCGATCTCTTCATTGAACAATTCTTTAACACAAAAGAATAACAATCAAAATCTGTTTAAAGTGCATAGATGAACGGCAAATAAATTAGACTAAATATAATGATCACGCATCAAGGAGGCCAGAGATGAATTAAGACGAAAAGTTCAACGATAGCTCCGAGATTTATGTTGCAAATTTATGCTCAAATAACGAATCAACTTATCATAAATATATTTAAATTGTAAATTATTGTTTCACCTTTTATATACAACTTACATTAAAAGAACATATAAAACTGTATACTAGTATACTTTACTCTCTGTGTTCACTGACTCCCTTACTTAGAATAACCTCAATCAACTACCATCTACAAAATATGTTAGGTGATTTCTATACAAAATGTAGGTTGATTCAAGAAGTCCTAACATAGAAGATGATTGTCATCTCCCACATATCATTCGAAATAAGATATACAATGAGTCAGTCAGTCAGTCAAATAAAGTCCAATACATTGAACAGAATTAAATTAATTTCCCCACCTGAACTTGTAAATGACATAATTTCAGCTGCATTGACACGAGGTGTATTAACAGTGACAAATGATGGTTGACCTGTATAAGACGGATTTATGACATGAGCATATGTAACCATTTGAGCTGAAACAAAAAACACAGAGGAAAAAAGTATCTACACTAACAAAACTATACAGTATTATTGTTGTAGTCTGGACAAGCATACTAAATGACTGTTTCAATAACGATAATGCATGCATTGCAATAACCAAATAATTTCCTAGATTATTCATCTTATTTCAGTTTGTCATTCTATATTTAGCTAAATTCCTATGTTCGAGTATTCTAACTGACATGTCAGTTAAGGCAGGCTTAGTCAAACGTCTAAGTGATAAAGCTAAGAAACTGACTAGTCAGTTCAAGGACCTAAACAGGGAATTCAAACAAGTAAAAAGAAGCGCTAATAGTCAATAATTATCCGCCGCAGTTTATTAAGAGATTCGTACGAACAACACAAGTAGAAAGGAGTTTGCAGTCTCCATTGTGTTACCCTATACGAAAGGAAGATACATCAGAAACTTTACGTAGTATCTTCAACAAAGCTGGAATTAGTGTGGCATTTAAACCTACAAACTCACTCACAGATAAGCTTTGTTAGCTGGCTTCAGCATCCGATAGAACTAATTAAGCAAAATAATGTAACCTGTCAAATTCCATGTAATGACTGTAAGTCAGGTCGAGTACATAGGTCAAACTAGCCGGTTGGGGTAAGTTAGAATAGAATAAGATCAATAATCTAGAAAATTATTTGCCTATTGCAATCCATGCATTAACACACAACCACACAATATGGTGGGATAAAGCCACTGTACTTAAGTCCAATATACTTAGATGGAGAGAGACATTGATTACTGAATCTTTGTTCATCGAATCAACACGCAACACATGTAATACGACTGACGCAACACCTATACCAGAGATATGGAAAATGTTTAAAACATTATCATCATTGTAAATGTGAGTTGTTTCTAACATCTCATGGTCTTCAGTAGTCTACTTCGTAATTTTACGATACTTTTACATCAGAGTAAACATCAACCGACAAAGTGAGTCCATGTAGACAGGCACAAGCACACAACAAGTATTACTTACATGGATCATTACTATACGGCATAGCGTTGGGAAATCTTGCTGATGATTGTCCAGTATAGACCATTTGAGTTGCGACAACAGGAGGAGGTAGTCGATCCATTGGTATTTGATTAGCATAGTTGAACACTGACGTAGCTGGATGGTATTGTACCATATAATTACTATCATTAATATTGTTAGCAACATTTCCAGTTACTAGGACAGCTGAAGATACTACTAAATGATCTGGATAACCAGTGATTGGAATATTACTGTTATTATTTGGCAGTGGTACGGTAGCAGCGTCTGAACCAACAACCATAGGACTCATCATCATGTTAGAAGGGACAAGCGAAACTGCAGGATAGGCATAACCTAAAGCCGCATCATTCTGGAAGACAAAGCAACAAAGAAGTTACTTATTATTCAGTAAACAGTTTTCACTAACAAAGTAAACTATGAATGGTGAATCTCGAAAAGGATAAAGATGAACTACTGTTGAAAGGTTACTTATCATGAAGAATGTATAGGATTACCTTTTCAGTGTTCAATTAACTTCTAGTACTTCCTAAAAATTGACGGACATATATCAGCTCTACTTGACTATGATTGCAATGATGATGATGACGAGTTAGAGACGAAACCAGCATTTCCAATCATTAGCCTCTCTGACTATTTCAAATTCCTATAATAAGTGACTGGTCAGGCATATATGCGTATGTACATAATAACAAAGTTCTTGTGACCCAGTGGCCTAGTGAATAACGCTTAGGAAATTGAAATGATGAGTACGAAGTTCGAGTTTCAGTGGAAAGAACATCAATCACTGGGGTGGGGGCACATACTAGACTGACAAGTCCCAAGTAGGACGAAACGGGCATCCTGGATTCCGATAAAAGCCAACACCAAGCAAATTACGAGACAGATAACCGCTTCAAGAAAATACTATGGATGTGTCAGACATAAAATCACTAACCAATAACTATCTGAAGTCAGTGTCTTCTTTCGCTTCGCTTTTCTTTTCAACAAATATCACCTTCCAGAAGGTCAAAGATATTATGTTACTTCAAATGAAACAGAACAACAAAGCAATATCAACCAGAGACTAGGCATTAATGTGTAACAGTTGAAGTTGCCGCACCTCATAGCCACGGATCAAGCGGGAAGGTTATAAGATGAAAGATAAAGAAATAGAGAGGAGCCGATTAAAACCAGTAAAAAGTAGTAAAAGAAAGGAAGGAGGAAGGAGAAAATACTGAACCCACTATAGTGACTAGGATTAAGATAATGTGTGGATAAATCTATGCCACCGACATCAATTCCCAACCATGTCATCTGGAGTCTCCACTAACCATTTGTTTTTGTTGTCATATGGACCACAAACAAGGAAATCTACATGTCCCTTCACGGTTCACACCAACAGTCAAAGACTTCACTCAAAGTTGGTGGTTTGGTGTTCTTTGAGCTTTGATATTATGTCTTGAACGTTTCATCATTAGGCTTAGTGACTAAGCTTAATGATGAAACGTTCACGAAAAAATTTCAAAGCTCAGAGAACACCAAACCACCATCATCCTTATCCTGAGCTACAAATCCTTTCCATCATTTAACTTCATGTAATAATGCCATGTTTTGGTTTGCTCACATCTAACTTTTTTCCAGAATCAACTTACTTCAGCAAACATTGAACAACAAAGCACACAGTGACTGAGCTATGTGTAACACACTTCAATTCAACTGCAACTTTCATGTTAACGCAGATCAATCTAATTCTCATTAACCTGCCGCCTACGGGCGTTAAAATTTATAACATAAGAGAAGTAAACTAATAACTACTTTAAGAAAGTGAAGAATAACGATTACCGGTAGATAAAATGAGAAGTACTAGGGAATTTTACACCAGTTATCCACTCACAACTGATTCATGTGCATAAACTATTCCTGCAGGCGAAAATTCACGGCGTGAACGGTTGAAGCGGAGAAGTGTCTGAATGTTTGAATCACCAGAGGAGCAGGGGGAGATTCCCTATGGTTGAAGAGATACGCTGTGCCGACGAGAGTGCCAGCAAGCACGAAATATCGGTCAAACAAGGCTTACTGCTGGTTGACGCCTGACACTGAAGTATAATATATCACTTAGCTGAGTAAGCACAATGTGAAACTTTACCGATAGACTTCTATCATAGTTGGGCCTGGGCAGTTAAATCCCTCAACCACTGGCGACCAATTCTGTCGGTCTGTCTACCTACTCAATGTATTTCAACTTTTAACAAATTAAATAATCAGTATAGTACCTTCTAAATACAACAATTTCCCTTTACAAGGATGATTAGATTACCTCATGATGCTAATTCACAAAGTCTCTGATCTTTGGTTGATCACCCTCTGTCAAGAAATGAAAGTTTAACGAACTTTCCAACTCTCTCGAAAAACTCAGCACCTTCATTAAGCTGCATTCATTAGATAACCATCCACTTATGTCATTCTGCGGGTATAGTTTCATATTTCTACATATCCATTAGTTTGCTGTCTCTGTGCTGCTGTTAAGTATGATAACATCAACCAATGCACTTTTTTCACGCCAATTCTAAGCTGTTCTATACATCATTATTAACACATGTAATCTTTAACGTGACGACTAGTGATGAACTGTATTCAGTAAGCCACAGAATGGCCCCGCAAGAGTAAACAATAAACTCTTTATAAAAAAGCAAGACAATCTTAACAACAAAAACTTACCGGGAAACCGAGCACTTGATGATAAGCTAAATTAGCCGGTACTAGTCTTGTCGGTGTGCCAATACTATCACGAGCAGAGTTTGTACTTCCTCTACTGCCAGCATTAGTTGGAGTATTCTGTCCATGCCCTGGTGATTGTGTGCTATCACCACCACCAATGGTACGCTCTTGTGAAACAGAGGCAAATTGAAGGGAATCTGAATCATGATCCCATGAATAGGAGCCAGCATCTATAGAATGAGAATTTTTAAATGGCATCAGTGTGTATCAGGTTAAAACAACTTCAATATCAATGTCATTATTAGCTGAATATGAACGATTCTATTGCGAGATCAGTGAGTCAGTCAGTCAGCCAGTCAGATCCATCTTGAACCGTATCAACTAGAGTCTGTAACCACTGATTTCGGTTATCAAATAAACTCCAACCAAGAAATGTACATTTTCTGATATAAACTTGAACAGCAGTCAGAAACTTGGTTGACTGATGCCACATTCTATCCGAGCCACATCTACACCTAAGCACTGGATAGCTGCTTGGTCCTAGTATGTGACTCCGGTAGTCAGCACCCATGAACTTCAGGTTCTGCAGCAACTACCTTACCATGAATTCACTGGGTTGGAATACATGCCCACATGCCCATACTTCTGTCAATTCACAATGTCGTCCAAACTGCATTCAATCCCATCGTTGAGCATTCAGCCCCACAAGGGGTTTGGTTTGCCCTATCGATCACGACTTCTTATTGGAAGTTCGAGAAATCTCATATCCAAGCAAGTCATTATTAGGAATTGGATAGTATATCAGTTTCGAGGTTTGTGAGAGTCTATTGATTTCAAACTCATATTCCTCACGAACCGACATCAGTTAAAAAACTATTGAAAACCTGGGAGCACAGGACCACTTGGTTCGCCTTAGCGTGGGACTCATACTAGAACGGAACACCTGTTTTAGTGCTCCTGAGTTTTCAGTACTTCAACAGATGTCAGTTCTTGTTGAATACCAAATTGTAAACCATAATTCTCGCTTACCGTTAAAAACAACAGCTACTACATCACGAAGCGGTAGTTCGGTTTGCATAATCACGATAGTTCAATAAAATATACTCTTTGGAACAGATGTTTCTTGAGGTTTTACCATACCTAAATTGTCTATTTGATAATGGTAAGAAGAAGAGCAGTTACCTTGATAGTTCAGACAGCTTACGATATGTGGGATGAACGGGGTATGACAGCAGTGAAATCTTCTTCGTGGATGACCAACAGTCGATGCTGCTTGGCTTTAAAAGTGGCACACTTCCTCCTACTTCGTCGTCTTCCAATGGCGGTGGTATGGGTTTTATAGCTGGGTTCAACACATAATAGATCATGTTTGACCGGGCTCAAGCAAACATTCCTTAGTCACTGAAGTTACGTAAAACTGATCCACTTTTTCTTCCAGATACCTAAAGAAGTAGAAGAAGAAGAGACTTTCCACGGTGTGGGCAGTCGGTAAGTGTCAACCCCCTTAATACTTCTATCAGCACTCGTCCTTTCTGATTACGATAAACCTTCTACTTAATTATCCTTTAATCTTCACTGGCATTTTCGTGCTGACAATCCTACATCATACACAACTTCACTCTAGGATTATATCAAACAAACAACTACTCAACCTTGAAATTCAGTCACGAAAAGATTATACCTAATTTCATACAAATCAACATTTGCATTATCTGCAGCAGGATAGAAATGGATTGAATGCATTTGAGCTACTTAAGACATATCAGTGAATGACTTCAACGATCGATTTGCATTCTTGTGTGAAATTCACATAAGAGGCCTAGGGTTCCACAAATGGCTCAGATTAAAAGTTGAGTAGTTTGTAGATTCAGGTTATACTTTGTTCGCCATTCACGACTAACGAGATAACCTAACTGACCAGGCATAAGTAGGTGTAGCGGGGTTTGAACTCCAGATACACAGCTTGACAGTTAAGTGATTAAGGTCAATGAATCGAATATCCACCCACCTTGACAAGTGTTACATTTTGTAACGAACATCATGTATGACACTAGTTAAATCTCAATTCCAGCCTAATAGCCCTCCTGTTCCAATTTACAACTGTTAAAGATAAACAATGGAAAATTACAGGTATCAAATAACAACTGATACCCGCTGTAAGAAAAAAGGTGGCTATCGTGTCTCAGTGGTCTGAGATATGACGCTACGGAGTTCGAACCCATGAGTAATGAGTCCGAATCTCAGTGCGAACAACATCACTCCCTTAGGTGGAGGCACATCGAGCTGGCGAACCCCAGAAAGGATGAAACACACGTCTTCGATTCCACAGCTGGTCATCAAGATGAAAACGAATCATTATTCTTATTTTTATTATCAGTCCCTTGGGTTCCTAATAGGACATAGGACTTCAGTAGCACGTCTCCATTTCATCCTGTTCTCTGAGATCTTTTGAACCCGGTTCCAAGACAGCCCACAAGCTCTCATTTCCTCCTCGCACGACCTCCTCCATGTCACCCTCTCCTCGGACGTCCAACTCGTCGCTTCCCATGGGGATTCCACTCGGGTGACTGGCCTGACGCGTGATGTCCTCAGTCGGCCTTCTCAGTGCATGGCCAATCCATCTCCACTTCCTCCTGCATATTTGTTGCGTGATAGGTTCTTGGTTGGTTCGTTCCCAGAGTGAGTTCCTTGTTGCTTATTCTTTCTGGCAATCCATCTGAGCTTGAGTAACGAGCGAGCGTAAGCAGTTGTTGATGAATGTCTGTAGTTTATTGGAAATCCCTTTCGTAACACGCCAAGTCTCTCAACCATACAGAAGCACTGACTTGACGTTGGTGTTGAAAATCCGGATCTTGTTCCACATGCTGACTGCAGTGCAGTAGATCTCCACACTGGTTTCAGGCTAATGAACGTCTGTCTTGCTGTCTTTCCAATTCTGACTTTGACATCTTCGTCTGTGCCCCCGCCTGTAGTTGAAACAGTGCTTCCTAGATAGGTGAAGGAGGTTACTTCCTTTAAGTTTCTCCCGTTGATGGTGACTGGAGTTTGTTGTTGCTGTTGTTGATGGTGGTGGTGCAGTATCTTCATCACCTCTGTCTTCTCTATATTCACCTGAAGTCCCGTCTTCGCTGCCCTGCCCTGCCTCTTCTGCCAACTTGTTAGTTTTCACCTGTAGATCTTCAAGCTTGTGTGACATCAGACACGAGTCATCATTGGCGAAATCCAAATCTCCTAGGTTCTTTTTCGCAGTCCAGCGTATCCCCCTCTTCTCGCTGCCCACTGTTTGCTGCATGGTCCAGTCCACCATAATCAGAAATATCATGAGGGATAGTGGGCAACCTTTTTTCACTCCTGTCTTCACTTCGAAAGCATCACTGAGCTTCCCATTGTGAATTGCTTGGCATGTGGCGTCTTCATATAGTTGTTGAATGAAGCGGATAAAGGTTTGCGGTACTCCGTAGTAATGAAGCAGTTTCCAAATTACTTCTCGGTCGACGCTATCAAAGGCCTCAAAGTCGATAAAGTTGAGGTGTAGAGTTGACCACCATTCTATACTCTGTTCTATGATGATGCGAAGCGTTGCAATTTGGTCCGCACATGATTTGTACTTCCTGAAGCCTGCCTGTTCCGGTCGCAGTTTTGAATCCAGTGCATCCTTTAACCTTTCCAGGATGATACGGCTTAATATTTTCCTTGGGGTGGACAGGAGAGTGATTCCGCACCAGTTCTTGCAAACACTGAGGTCTCCTTTCTTTGGCAGTTTGACAAGGTAACCCTTCTTTCAATCAACCGACAGGTACCTTCTCTTCCTTCCACACCTTCTGCAATAGTGGTGTGAGCATGTCTGCTGTTGTCTCTGGGTCTGTTCTCAGTGCTTCTGGTGGTATCCCATCTGGTCCTGCTGCTTTCCCACATTTCAGTAGCTTTATGGCATTCAGGACTTCCATTTTTGTTGGAGGATTTATGTTCACTTGTAGTTCTGTGGCTGGGCTGTAGGTGGTATTTCTGGACGAAGTGCAGATGGTGGCGGTGGTCGATTCAAGAGCTTCTTGAAGTGGTCGGCCCATTGTTTCCTTTGTTTCTCTTCTTTGCTAATTAAATTTCCCCCATCATCTTTTACTGGTTTCGTCTGCGTTGATCTCTTCTCAGATAGTAACCTGGTTATTTATACAATGTTGCCTGGTCTCTCCTACCAGCCGGCAGCCTGTTCTGCTTCACTTGCCAGTGTTTCGTAGAAGTATCTTTTGTCTTTGCGCTCACTCTTATTCACTTCTTTGTCCAGTGTTTTACAGATTGTACTCAGTTCTTCTTTTCGTTGTTCATCCAGGCCTCGCACCGGTTTATCTTCTGCTCCACCATCATCCTCTCCCTTCTCTATCAGCTTCCATGTGTCCGTTGAGATCCGTTTCATTCCTTGTCTTGCCTCTTCTTCTTCCTCCTCCCTAACACGGTTATGCAGGTTTTCTTCCACATCTCTTTCAAAGACTTCCAGTGTTCTTCCACGCCCGATCCTTCAGAGATGTTGCTCAATGTCTCCCATAGTGTTCTGTTGGCTGACGTGGAAATGTCGCTTGTAGTTTCGTCCTCCAGTTTCTGTTCTCCGTGTTGAATTTCAACTGTGGTCGTCTATCACCAACTTCTGTGAAGGCTTTCAACTTGATTTGGAAGGTGGGTTGCTTGCACTAGATAGTGAGTGGTATGAACCTACATCTGCTCCTCTTCTTCACCTTGTGTCAAGTAGACTGCGTCTCCATTTTCTTGAGATTGAGATAAAGTCGATTTGATTTTTAGTGTGTCCATCTGGTGAAATCCATGTGGCTTTGTGGATATCCTTGTGCTTGAACACACTGCCTCTAATCACCAAATCGTTGAATGCACAAAATTCTGCAAACAATTCTCCATTCAGTACGAATTATTTGACTTTAAATGGTCTTGAAAACACACTTCATGTATGGTGAATGTGCATACTTCAGTAGTTTCATGTGGAAAACCTAGTCTATCAACTGTGTTATAAGTTCCATCATCTGTTCCCAATTTATATTTTCACAGGTATAAACAATTCATTACAAAGCCAACTGAAATCAGCATTCTGATACATTCCATCCTGGTTTTTAAAAGCAAAAGAAAATAACAATATATATATATATATATATATATATATATATATATATATATATATATATATATATATAAACCTACTCATATTATTTTGCTTGTTGTATAAAACTCCTTGACTAGGTGTGACGCCAGCCGATGGGATCGGGCCGCCAGCAACAGTAGCAGCAGTTGCCGACAAATTCACGGATGTCGTCAGCATTGTTGGCATGGTCACTAGAACACCACTGGTTAATAAGCTATTAGACAGCGGTTGTTGAATGTCTGAGGCTAAAATTGCCTCACCATTACTCACCAATAAGGCAACATCTTGATGACCAGCACCACCAAGGGATTTGCCAAGACGTTTATTTTTCTTTCCAAAGAATTGATGACTTGCATTATTCGCATTCTTATTCTTCTTATTATTATTACTCTTACTACTGTGGTCAGCGTTATTGTCCATCACACTACCTTCCCCTGAGACGTGACCCACACTTTGTTCAAGTTTATACCTACACAGAACAAAAACAAAAAGATGGCAGTGCCCTATGCTATGATAAAAGCAACAACAAATTGATTAAGTCACACTGTTCGTACTAAAATTTGTAATAAAAGTAATAGTTTTGACAGTTTTATTTTAGACATAAATTCGGTACAAAATGAGTGTCAATAAATGGGGCAAAAAGTACCATTTGCATAAAACGCTTCGATCCAATTTCAGGGTTATAACACAGTGGATGATATGTAAGTCACTAAGATAGTATTTGCAACACATTTCCCAGGTCTGTCAATCAAAAAGTCGTGCGGCAATGTTTCCCATCGAAGGGAGTGCCGAGCAAGCAAATCACTCTGTTGAAGGCTCTCTAGTCGAACACCAGTTGACGTCTAAAAGCCTCTGGTGAGTTATCAGGAGGGTTGCGTATGTCAAGCACTGTCTGCCAAGGTTGTCCACTCTCTCCATTTCTGTTCAGTTTTATCACAGATGTACATTTGCAGGTATCCTTCTCATCATCGAACTTTATAGGGATTGATCTTAGCAAACAAGAATCCTTGGTAGATCTAGAGTATGCAGAAGTCATTGACAAGTCAACGTAAAACCTGGCATGAAAGTGAGTCAGTTCAATTTGCTACACTTCACATCAGTATGAAAAGAACTGAGTAGAAAACTACTAATATCAAAGTGGAAAGGAGTGTATGAAAGGAGAGAAAATAAATACAAACAAAATGTCCAAAACTTCGATGTACGTTTCAAGATAATCTGAGCATGTATTGGAAGTTAAAACAATGTTTTTCTGAAAATCTGAGTATTCAGCTAAAGAAGATGTGGCATATATAGCGTAACACTCATAAAAATCTTGATTTGATTTCCTATACATGCTGGAATTATAATAAAACTTACTTACATAATGACTGCATGAGAATCGGGGCTCAAATTCTCCCAGAACATTTGCAACAACTATAGACTGGATGTTTCTGATGTAAATATATAGGTAGTACAGAGAGGCGAGGGAGCACATACTTATGATCTCGGCAGGAATCAATCTCAGCACCTTCAGGTTTCACGGTGAACGGATTAAGCGTCCAGCCACGCCGTGAAACGTTGAAGGTGCTGAGTTCGATCCCCGGCGGGTTCGTGGGTGGGTACTTCTGAGAAGTCCCATACTAGGACGGAACAGATGTCCAGTTCGCCTAGATTTTTAATGCTTCTCCATATAATATCAGTCTGTGATGAATATAACTTTAAGAAAATAAGAGATAAATGAGAGAGAGAGAGAAATGGGAAATATAGTTATCCATTGTTAATTCGGCCGCCTTACGACAGTACGAATACAAACCACTGGTGTTTGCTGCATTAGTAAAAAGCCGTTATATGGTTGAAATTTCACCTTTTGCGCACTTATTGATGGATTAGAAAAGAAATAAAATGAAAGAAATAGCGTTGTTGCCCACTTTACCACTGAGAAAGTGTCAAATTACAAGAAAGATTTTGACAACACCATATAAACACTCCAAAGCGAAGTTAACGCATAACAGAAAAAATGTGAGCAAAGTCATGAAACTAGCTTTTCCATATTATGAGAGGAAAAAATAACAACCAAAAATGAAGTCCATAGCCAAGGATAATGTATATACTATACAGTATTCAAAAATAGGTATTTTATCCTAGATAAGAGCTTCGTAGTAGAGAAATGAGGAAATGCATAGGAAATTCTCACTATCCAGGACGCAAGTTCCGTCCTATTCGGCGCTCGTCAGCTGGACGTACCGGCACGGGAACTTAAAAGCTACAACATGAAAACTGAGTAAAATAGTCCCTATAGACAGTAGTACTTATAAGTGAGAATCACCCACTGGAATGACCGCTGACAATCGAGTGTGCTTTGCACTTTCATGTACTATACAGTATTCAAAAATAGGTATTTTATCCTAGATAAGAGCTTCGTAGTAGAGAAATGAGGAAATGCATAGGAAATTCTCACTATCCAGGACGCAAGTTCCGTCCTATTCGGCGCTCGTCAGCTGGACGTACCGGCACGGGAACTTAAAAGCTACAACATGAAAACTGAGTAAAATAGTCCCTATAGACAGTAGTACTTATAAGTGAGAATCACCCACTGGAATGACCGCTGACAATCGAGTGTGCTTTGCACTTTCATGTACTATACAGTATTCAAAAATAGGTATTTTATCCTAGATAAGAGCTTCGTAGTAGAGAAATGAGGAAATGCATAGGAAATTCTCACTATCCAGGACGCAAGTTCCGTCCTATTCGGCGCTCGTCAGCTGGACGTACCGGCACGGGAACTTAAAAGCTACAACATGAAAACTGAGTAAAATAGTCCCTATAGACAGTAGTACTTATAAGTGAGAATCACCCACTGGAATGACCGCTGACAATCGAGTGTGCTTTGCACTTTCATGTACTATACAGTATTCAAAAATAGGTATTTTATCCTAGATAAGAGCTTCGTAGTAGAGAAATGAGGAAATGCATAGGAAATTCTCACTATCCAGGACGCAAGTTCCGTCCTATTCGGCGCTCGTCAGCTGGACGTACCGGCACGGGAACTTAAAAGCTACAACATGAAAACTGAGTAAAATAGTCCCTATAGACAGTAGTACTTATAAGTGAGAATCACCCACTGGAATGACCGCTGACAATCGAGTGTGCTTTGCACTTTCATGTACTATACAGTATTCAAAAATAGGTATTTTATCCTAGATAAGAGCTTCGTAGTAGAGAAATGAGGAAATGCATAGGAAATTCTCACTATCCAGGATGCAAGTTCCGTCCTATTCGGCGCTCGTCAGCTGGACGTACCGGCACGGGAACTTAAAAGCTACAACATGAAAACTGAGTAAAATAGTCCCTATAGACAGTAGTACTTATAAGTGAGAATCACCCACTGGAATGACCGCTGACAATCGAGTGTGCTTTGCACTTTCATGGGTCCGGCGGCTTAGTACGTCTAACAATATGGAATCCAACAAACAAACAAATCAATGGAGAGTGTTGAATACATGTACATTAGTTGGAGTTGTCACAGTTTGTAGTAGACAGACAAACAGACAGGGAATATCGACTTAGGACCTGATATAACTGCGTAACGATTTAAATTGCCACACCTCATACCACCATATCAAGCGGGATCGCATCAAAACGAAACATAAAGGAATAAAGATGAAACTGATCAAAAGTAGAAGAAGGTCGTTAAAGCCGAACAAGGAGGGATAAACTAACAACAAAGTTCGGTAAGCTGATTAAGATGAACATAAGGTGTTGGTATACCTATGCCACCGACATCGATTCTGAGCCACCTCACTATTATTATTATTATTATTATTATTATTATTATTATTATTATTATTATTATTATTAGTCCCTTGGGTTCCTAATAGGACATAGGACTTCAGTAGCACGTCTCCATTTCATCCTGTTCTCTGAGATCTTTTGAACCCGGTTCCAAGACAGCCCACAAGCTCTCATTTCCTCCTCGCACGACCTCCTCCATGTCACCCTCTCCTCGGACGTCCAACTCGTCGCTTCCCATGGGGATTCCACTCGGGTGACTGGCCTGACGCGTGATGTCCTCAGTCGGCCTTCTCAGTGCATGGCCAATCCATCTCCACTTCCTCCTGCATATTTGTTGCGTGATAGGTTCTTGGTTGGTTCGTTCCCAGAGTGAGTTCCTTGTTGCTTATTCTTTCTGGCAATCCATCTGAGCTTGAGTAACGAGCGAGCGTAAGCAGTTGTTGATGAATGTCTGTAGTTTATTGGAAATCCCTTTCGTAACACGCCAAGTCTCTCAACCATACAGAAGCACTGACTTGACGTTGGTGTTGAAAATCCGGATCTTGTTCCACATGCTGACTGCAGTGCAGTAGATCTCCACACTGGTTTCAGGCTAATGAACGTCTGTCTTGCTGTCTTTCCAATTCTGACTTTGACATCTTCGTCTGTGCCCCCGCCTGTAGTTGAAACAGTGCTTCCTAGATAGGTGAAGGAGGTTACTTCCTTTAAGTTTCTCCCGTTGATGGTGACTGGAGTTTGTTGTTGCTGTTGTTGATGGTGGTGGTGCAGTATCTTCATCACCTCTGTCTTCTCTATATTCACCTGAAGTCCCGTCTTCGCTGCCCTGCCCTGCCTCTTCTGCCAACTTGTTAGTTTTCACCTGTAGATCTTCAAGCTTGTGTGACATCAGACACGAGTCATCATTGGCGAAATCCAAATCTTCTAGGTTCTTTTTCGCAGTCCAGCGTATCCCCCTCTTCTCGCTGCCCACTGTTTGCTGCATGGTCCAGTCCACCATAATCAGAAATATCATGAGGGATAGTGGGCAACCTTTTTCACTCCTGTCTTCACTTCGAAAGCATCACTGAGCTTCCCATTGTGAATTGCTTGGCATGTGGCGTCTTCATATAGTTGTTGAATGAAGCGGATAAAGGTTTGCGGTACTCCGTAGTAATGAAGCAGTTTCCAAATTACTTCTCGGTCGACGCTATCAAAGGCCTCAAAGTCGATAAAGTTGAGGTGTAGAGTTGACCACCATTCTATACTCTGTTCTATGATGATGCGAAGCGTTGCAATTTGGTCCGCACATGATTTGTACTTCCTGAAGCCTGCCTGTTCCGGTCGCAGTTTTGAATCCAGTGCATCCTTTAACCTTTCCAGGATGATACGGCTTAATATTTTCCTTGGGGTGGACAGGAGAGTGATTCCGCACCAGTTCTTGCAAACACTGAGGTCTCCTTTCTTTGGCAGTTTGACAAGGTAACCCTTCTTTCAATCAACCGACAGGTACCTTCTCTTCCTTCCACACCTTCTGCAATAGTGGTGTGAGCATGTCTGCTGTTGTCTCTGGGTCTGTTCTCAGTGCTTCTGGTGGTATCCCATCTGGTCCTGCTGCTTTCCCACATTTCAGTAGCTTTATGGCATTCAGGACTTCCATTTTTGTTGGAGGATTTATGTTCACTTGTAGTTCTGTGGCTGGGCTGTAGGTGGTATTTCTGGACGAAGTGCAGATGGTGGCGGTGGTCGATTCAAGAGCTTCTTGAAGTGGTCGGCCCATTGTTTCCTTTGTTTCTCTTCTTTGCTAATTAAATTTCCCCCATCATCTTTTACTGGTTTCGTCTGCGTTGATCTCTTCTCAGATAGTAACCTGGTTATTTATACAATGTTGCCTGGTCTCTCCTACCAGCCGGCAGCCTGTTCTGCTTCAGTTATCAATGTGTCTTAAAGTGTCTTTTGTCTTTGCGTGCACTCTTCTTCACTTCTTTATCCAGTGTTTTATACATTGTGCTCAGTTCCTCTTGTCGTTGAGCATCCTTGCACTGGTTTATCTTCTGCTTCACCATCCTCCTCTCCTCTATCAGCTTCCAGGTATCCATCGAGATCCATTCCTTATCTTCCTTCTTCTTCCTTCCTAATACGGCTGTGCAGGTTTCTTTCCACATCTCTTTCAAAGACTTCCAGTGTTCTTCCACACAGGTTTCTTCAGGGATGTTCCTCGATATCTCCCATTTTGTGTTGATGGCTGCCGTGAAGATCTCCTTTGTAGTTTCATCCTTCAGTTTCAGAGTGTTGTACTTGAATTGAGGTCTATCACCAGCTTCGTTGAAGGCTTTTAACTTGATTTGGAAGGTGGGTTGCTTGCACTAGATAGTGAGTGGTATGAACCTACATCTGCTCCTCTTCTTCACCTTGTGTCAAGTAGACTGCGTCTCCATTTTCTTGAGATTGAGATAAAGTCGATTTGATTTTTAGTGTGTCCATCTGGTGAAATCCATGTGGCTTTGTGGATATCCTTGTGCTTGAACACACTGCCTCCAATCACCATTTCGTTGAATGCGCAGAATTCTGCAAACAATTCTCCATTCTGGTTCATTTCACCTAGCGCTTCTCGACCCATGGTGAGTTCTCTTCCTGTGTTGTCCCCTCCCAGTTTGGCATTCATGTCGCCCCACACATTGGAATTTTGATATCGCCAACTGAGGTGGTGTCTTGTCCAGTGTTGATTGAAGTTGTCCATAGAATTCCTCCTTTTTCTCTTGCTCTGCATTATTTGTAGGTGCATAGTGTAGCATTGTATGATTGTGACCTTCCTTCCTTTTGAGTTGAATCTTGCTGTCATGATCCTGGAGGAGATTGGTTCCCACTGCATGAGAGCCTTCGATGCTGTTGAAGGGGACATCATGATAGCCACTCCAAAACTCGGTGTGCTCATGGTTGTCGTCTTGGTGACCGGAGTAGATTATTGATTCTCCAGTTGACATTTTGTAGAGTCCACTCCCATCCCATCTGCTTTCGCAAATTCCAAGCACTTCAATGTGATACCTTCTCATCTCCTTTGCAATCTGGGCTGCCTTACTGGGTTCAAACATCGTACGGACATTCCATGTCCCCACGTTTACTTTCGCTTTCATCGAGAGAAGACACATCAGCCAATTGGCTTCCCGAAGGCTTTCACCAACTGGCGTCATTTCGCCTCTCCGATTCCAGCGGGGAATAAGTTTGTTTTTATGTTTTATAGTTTGTTTGTGCTTTGAAGTTTCTTTAGCGGTTAGATTTGTTTTACGGTGTAGGGTTGCTAGCCCTATGCCCAACCTTCCCTGTTTACCCGGGCTTAGGACCGGCTAGTAACTAGTGAACTAGTTAACCAGGCGAGGTTGAGCCACCTCACTAGGAGTCTCTAATTACTAGATTCTCTTGTTATACCGACTCCAGCCAGTCTACGTTTCCCTAGACAGCTCATACCAAAAGTCATAGACTTCGGTGACTGACTGGTGACTGGTTTTAGTCCGACCACCCCTAACTTTGTTCCAACCTGAACCTACTTCGACTAGCGCAGCGCGACACGGCATATATGCAAAACGCATGTCACAGCCACTTCAGTCAGTGAAGGTTCGCAAGCTCATCAATTGACTTGCCTCTTCTGGTTAAGAGTCTACACCTAACCTACATGTTACTGAGACTGTGACACAAAGACATATAAACTTATCCTGACGCTCCGCAGCAACACATAAGATGTCAATAAAAAAAATTTTTTAAAGTGAACGAAATTGTATAACATGGATATTGGATACATTCAAAATTTTGAGGATAATTAAGAAAGAATCTATCTGCACCACTGTGAAGGATTTTGAGACAAGTCACCAAGAGTCTTCAGCCACTGGTGTCTACTATCTGAAGGACTTCAGCCAGAAAACTTACACCTTCCTACACAGCTCATCAACAAACAGTCAAAGACTTCATGGCTTCGAGCTGTCATGATTTAACCACTGTCGACCTTCTTTCAATTTGATCCTATTTAAGCTAACGTTGACAAAATGAAACTAATTCAAGAGCCGCAAACAGTACAAGAAATTAATCTAACGAGTAAAGAAAGAGGAAAACAACGAGAATACGCAAAGTAGAGCAGAGAATATACTGTACCTTGAGGTGGAAAAAAACCTCAACAACTTTAGTTAACCTTTGTTTAAGTGTTTATGGTTATCTATGAATGTAAACAAGTTTTAAACATCTTCACCACCCCACCCACCTCCCCCCTCCCCGCCCCACACACACACCAGATGATGATAGTCTTTTCATCACGAAGGTCAACCTTTTGAATTCAGATGACTCAGAAACTAAACATTGTATCAACTGTAAAGAGACTCTAGACTATTGAAATCTGTGGGTGGCCTGGGGAGGCGACTACCAAGATAATATTAATTTTAACATGAAGCTGTATAAAAGTTAAACACTCTCAACAACAACAATACCAATAACAAAGACACACCCGATAAATTGGCCAAAATTGCGTCGGTGTTTTCGCCAAACTAAAGAAATAATTGTAACGACTACAATCATCACTAAAAGTCCAACCATTGCACCAGTGATCAACCATGAATTCGCCATTCTTCCACTTGAAATCTTTCCAACATTAATAGTGCCAGTACTAGTACTACTACTGCTACTGCTGTCAATGGTACCACTAGAGTATTTATCCACGTTTGATGCCATTTTTACAAAAGTTAAATCTGCTGGATGATTATTAGAGAATTTATGGTTATCATTCATATCATGAAGAGAAATTGAAGAGACACCTGAATCAGCATGAATGTACTCAAGATCTGTGAATGTCAGGACACCACCACCTTGACCGTAAACTATTAGTGTGGGGAGGGAGAAGAGAGGGAAATGGGGAATGGAGAGATAAATGATAATAATTATAATACTAATAAATCTGTAGCATAACAACACTATGAAGTGAAAACAATAAAGTAAAATCCATGTTACTATAACAGATTATAACTTACTTGTTCAACTGTTCAGTTTATATTATGCTGCCCTCATCTCGTTGACTGGACCGAATTGATCGAACTCTATTGGCACATATCAGTAGCCACTGAAAAGTGGTGCTCATTACTCTACTGATGTGTTTAAGAACTTTACGCTGAGATTGGCAGTTTTCTTCAACTTTCTCCTTCTGAAATGAAGGTATCTTCAACTGCGGGTTAGAGACCAACTAGAAAACCACTGAAGATCGATGAGTATGGAAAAACTGCTTCGTTTAAGTTTAAAACTAGTTTGTACAGTCGAGACCTCAGAAGGTTCCGAGCACAAATTTCCGCCTTATTAACCTTAAAAGAGCATAGGCACAAATGGTATGGATCCATTTTATCACTACGGTGGTTCTCATCAGCTTGCTAACAACCATGAACACTTGCAACAACAAGTTACAATGAAACAATAGTCTACTTCAGTTTACTGAATTCAGTGAAAAAAAGACAATAACATAAGAGGTAAGGATGCTATCCGGATTGAAATAAAGTCAAAATTTCATGTAGTGATATTATATATATATATATATATATATATATATATATATATATATATATATATATATATATATATATATATATATATATATAATTACGACAAAATGCTGGTATAAATTAAATAGGAGTAGAAAGACGAATACTGAGGAATTTAAAACAAGAAACTGCGTGAGTTGACGAGTGAATAAGTCAGCAATAGTCAGAAAAAAACAAAATGTATAGTGCTACAACAGTATAGTGCTCATTAGTAACTTGCTTCCAGACGGATATCAGGAAGCTGTAATGAGAAGCCGTAACTTGTGGGGTCAACCAGTCGAAAGTGAAGCGGATGCTAACTGAAGACCTTGGGTGATAGTCACGCTATATCGTGATTTGACAGAAGTTGGAAATTGTGAACCACTGAAACTGACCCAGTGGCTGAATGCTTAACGCGTTTGCCGTGAAACCTGAAGGTCGTGAGTTCGACCCCTAGCCGGGTCGTGGGCGCCTACTGCTGAGAAGTCCCATACTAGGACGAAGCAGCTGTCCAGTGCTCCCAGGTTTTCAATGGTTCCCCAACTGGTGCCAGTCCATGATGAATACTACCTCTAAAATGTAATAGAGCATATTCAGTAGAAATCAGTAGATTAAGATTAGGGTTTAGAGTTAACTGAAAACCTAGTGACAGAATAATGAAGTGAGCAATTAAGTGGAAGGTTAGGAAATCAAGTTACCGAGATGATTGGAGATTGATGATAGATTCTTTTACAACATATAAATCTATTTTCAGGCATTCGATTGTAATGGATTTAATAAAGCGAAGATTTAGTTGTTTTGTTTTTGTACACTTTGAACGATTCCAAGACATCTGCTTGGTGTTCTATTTGTTCTTCCTCTCTCATACTTTTTAACATTTCGGTGTTAGACATTGAGAATCAGCTAGTAGGAAGCCCAAGTCGATCTAGGTTTCGTAATTGAGCGCATTTATCAGTAAAGCATGTCCACAAACATCGGGGAGACTAAGGTTTCCTTGGTGAGTGGAACTTGTATCAGTCAGTGCTGAAGTCGGAGACTGACCCCTTGTAGGAATGGACCAAGTACACCAACTGATCACCAATGGCTAAACCACGTAAGTTGTTAGTCCACTATTCGAAGTCTGGATTCAGTTTTCAATGCGACCACCGAGTCACATAGCATGATATTGTAGTGCACTGGCTTTCCTGTTAAATGTTAGCCAAATGAGTGGGTGGTGCTTAATACATAAAACAGTTTGTTTATCTCAGTTACAACGAGGTCGATCAGCGATATTTTCAGAGATTCTCGCATATTACATGGTTTCAGTTTGCTTTTTGTTTTTTAACTTGATAAATGTTGTTTGTATGGCGCTTTTCTCGCGTACTGTTTTGTACCACGCGAAATATCAGAAAATAACTTGACAGGGTGTGAAATGGTATGCAAATACGTTTCTTTAACATTACAATACTTACCATCTGGTGTACGATAAAATTTCCCTGGAGACATTGGACCATCACCGAATGGATTTGTAGCTTTTAAACGGAACGCATATACAGCATTACGTGCAAGTCCTGAGATGACTGTATTCAAACTATCCGGTGGCAGACGTCGTCTGGACCATTCAGATAAGGGTAGACTATGATTTGTTGAATAGTAAAGAACATAACCTGTTAATAATCCGTTTGGATGTTTAGGAGGCTGCCAACTGATCCGTATACTCACAGGTTGTCCACCAGATCCAACACTGGGACCAAGTAGAGATATATCTCGCGGTGAATCCCCAGGTTCTAAAATCATCCACAATACAAAGAATCATAATATAACCACAAATCGATAGCAGACAGTATTTCAAAAGAACTATATTATGGAATATCTGTGTGTATGTTGCTTCAAATCTTCGCAGGCATAACAGACAACATGGGTTGGTTGTCTACTTTCTGCATTTTCATCCAAGTCAGCCAAAACCGAGATGTGTACATATAGTATGCATTAAAAGAGTCCACAGGCTGTTTAAAAAGTATTCTATCGCAACACCTAAACAGAACAACAATGTTATCTTTGAACAATAACTGCCAACTAGCTAACTGGCACAAATTTTAATAACATTTCCGATTAGACACTAGTGAAATGCTTCCACAAGTATACAATAGACCATAAAAACATACGGAGATATCTTTTGTCAACTGACTGTAACTGTTAAATAGTTAAACTCAATTGGTGGTTTCTCAGGAATGATCAGCTTCAAAATGGTTTTCATCATTAATTAACTGACTGACTGATCTGTTACAGAACCACTAAAAACCCAGGTACACTACACAACTGTTTCATCCTAGTTTGCGGGTTTGTAACCTCATGAAGGATCGAGTTCAGGACCGTGAAGTCTGTGATCAAAACTACCTTCAAAATGTTGAATTTTTAAAATTACCTTTACAGAAAAGAGATGTAAAGTACACCTCGAAAATGATAGTAACAACAAAAAAGGGGTTCGCTAAAAATCATTGAACATTTAGAAAACAACTTAATAACAAAGAAAAGCGATAAAATAAACTCAATATTACGATAAATGCTACTGACTAATGATATCAGTAGTTGTAAATAAGTGACACCAACTACCAATGTTTGCTAACCAGATGGATTTCATTGAAATAAACACTGAATTATCGTGCTCATATTTTTGCACCGATATTATCAAAACTGTGCCCAGATTGATGCGGTTATTCAAACTACATTGACTAGTCACTATAGAACAATCTATTTCATGTTGTCTAGTCCTGAATGCTAAACGGACTCTATCGAACATTTTGCAATGTGGCCATCATGCTAGGAGGCTCACCATCGCGATGCACCTTAATGGATATTAGTTATTTGGTTGCAAGCAACCGACAAGAGACCCTGCTCGACATAGGGTTCATGCTTGTTGGAACTTATTAGCAAGGTGCATCTGCAGCTTCGAGGTAATTGTTGTCTCCTCTGAGATTCCAACTAACAACAAGAAGTGTCCGGGGGATCGGTTATCTCGAAGTTGAAGATATGCCTCGTTGATAAGTGCTAACAAACATGAAGTTTAAGCCCAGAGCTTCATGTCAACTGTCTCCCAACCAAAAACTAACGTTACTCAAATTAGTATAAGTGCTAATGAGCTAAATGAATGAACTGGTAATAGCTACAATCAAAGAAACTGTTGACAGGAAATCCAAGTATAAAAGTGTACGAACAACATAACTGAATGAAACCTCCAGTTTTAATATACTTTTGAAAACGAGAAAGTTCAAGCTATATATATATATATATATATATATATATATATATATATATATATATATATATATATGTATTGACGAGTATATTCACCCGGGTATGTTTCCATTTTAACAGTCTCTATTTAATATCAATTAAACAGACAAAAAGTGTTTAAAGTAGATGTATTACAATATAAACTGTAACAAGAATAATGTGACAGAGAATCTATGGATTAGTTAAATCAATATAGCATTGACATATAAAGGTGTTTTTGGTGATTTCTATCTACATTACTTTTTTTTGCTAAATCACACAGTCCATGTTTGGGACGTCTACAGAAATCTATCTTCATTGGAAAAAATCCATCAACTTTTCTTCGTCGGTTAGACTTAAAATCTTTTCATCTCCTCTCAATGTCAACTTTAACATATTAACCCCTTCATTATCTTTTCCAAGACTTCCTCTAAGAATTAGAACAACTTGACATTGTTATAACAGACAAGTAAACAGCTTGAACTACTTTTGCAGAACGACATCACAAACTAGAGGACTAGGGAAAAAGTATGACGCTCTGGATTATGTAATATTTAGCGTAGTTTAAGTACCTGAAGTGAATTTTACACCAAATAAGGAGAACAATAGAAAGCAGGAATAAATTACTTACAGAAAAAGCGATTGCATTTCCTCTCTCATCTGCTAACCACTGAGTTGGTGGTTCAAAATCTAATTTTAATCTACATCGGCTAATACAATAAGATAACAGCACAGGTTAGCAGACACATCGATCGCAGCTCATAAGCATAGTAAACACACATCAGCATCATACATTATTGAATCACAAAAGTATGTCTGAAAAACCTACACAATTTAATAATGAGGAAATTCTTAGGGAAGAAGATGAAGTTATATACTAGTCTAAGAATTTGAATGGTATCTTCAAGAAGAATACAAAGAAGCCTATACAAAAATACATAGATCATTCTTTTTTACAGGCTTGAAGGTCGTCGATAAGAAGGAGTTCATCGCACAGAGAAATCTATTACTTCGAGTAGAAATTCATATATCATCAAAGACTCCAATTGACATCGATTAGTATAGAAATCAGAAAGATTACTTCTTAGCCACACAGGTCTTGATTGGTTCTTTTCACAGTACCGAATTATGTAGACAAGTAGGTAAACATTGTTAGGATTCGGTTGGTCATCTCATAGTATTCACCTATGCCCAACTAGTAAAGATCCACGTGACTAGAAAATAATAAGTTCGCTGGAAGAGATCGAAAGGAAACCGGTTTCGACAAAGGTTTTATGCTTGCTGGCACTCGTCAGCAAGGTGTATCTGCAACCTTGGGGGATTAATGTCCTCGCCTAGATTCAAACACATGCCATCTAATCCTGTAGTTAGAGGCGTTACCACTGAGCTATTCAGAACGCGACTAACGTCTTGAAGGACTGGATTAGATGAAATGATTGATCACTGGAAAGCAACTAATTTCATATTGTGTAGCCCTGAAAGCTGACCAAATTTTATCGATCACTTTTTAATGTTGTCATCAAGCTAGACGACTCATCATCGCTGCGGACTCTGACAAATGTTACCTGACGAGTGACAAAGGAGCATCAAACCTAGGTCAAGCAGAATTTCCTGCCAATTAGTCTCCAACCAACTAACATCTATCAAAGTGTACTGAGGTAGTGAGTCTCTCAACTGGTGGCCATATCGTAAGACTATCGTTCAGCAATCAGGACTAGACAATATGAAGTTGGTTACTTTCCGAAAACCAATCAATGTAACTCGAAAATAATCTCATAAAATTAATAACAAAGAAACTAACTTCTTTCTGGGGTTTCAATAATCTGCTCTAAACTCCATTCACTAAACAGCATATTGGATGATCCACGGTGACTATTGAAATGTGCTTCTTCGAATGCTTTCTCACCAACAGCTCGTACAACAGCAGAATATAATCGGCCATATTGTAAATTCTCTAATCGAGCCCAGTTATCTGTTACATTTATCACATGCTGAGTTTTGTCAAGGGCGAAATCTCCTTGTTGACTATCTCCACCTCGAAGAATATAATAAGAGAGAAACATTTAGAAAAATGAAATTTTAAAAAAATCATGAATATAAGATATTCATCAAATAAACCAAAACAGAAAACCAACTTTATTCTATAGTTGTTAGCGACGATGTCGGGAAAGAGGACAAATAAACACAATTAATTTTGAAAAAAACTAAACAACTGTACGCACATTTGTATAGTAGGTAATCAGCGACACCTATTATGTAAGTGGCCTAGTGGACAACGCTCTGGGATTTGAAGTTCTAGTGAGAACAATATCACCTACTTGGAGGCAAGTACGTTCAGCTGGCGAGTCCCAAGTAGGACGAAACGCATGTCCTGGATCCTATTGGTGGCCACTTTCCATCGTTGATATTATTTGAGGACTTGACAGCCCAGCCCGGTAGGTGGAGCGAGTGATTCGAACCCATGACCCATCGGTTGGAAGTCAAGTGTCTAGACCAGTAAGCCACTGCTTCACTTATAAACATAACAATGCAGAGCCATTTAGAAACATTCACTGAGTCAAGGCTCCACACTATACATCAGTATTACATTGAGGAATTACTATACAAATAGAGAGAGGCACAAATAAATATGTAGCATCGTAATATTTAACCGATAGGGGAAGAAAAAGTGAACAGTGTTGCTATCACCTAGGATCTCCGCGGACTTTGATTTCTTAAATCTCAAAGAATTTAGTCTATAACTTCATGTATGGATGATATGTTGTCTTTTCCAGCTGCTGTGAAGTGTGCTTACTTGAACCTATGCACTTGTATAAGGTGTTCTATGTTGCTTACATCTACTACCTGTGCGCTGTAAACATTTCCACATAAAGCCTAATCCTACACAATGGACGTGAGTGATGTGATAATACTTGCACTAATTCTCGATCATGCTCTAAATACTTTATTTATGTTTTTCTTGTGCTGAGACTTCTCTTCGTTGTAGTGTTTTAGAATTTATTAAGTTTATAATAGAGGAGAATCATTGCTATATAAGTTTCTACATTGTTATAGACTATCTATCCAGTTATTTCGTTAGTTTTTGATGGCAACAACAGATAAAAGTATTTATTCATGGAAAAAAATCATTTAAGCATTTAAAACGTACAACATGCAAATTGAGTTTTCTGTATCGGATGATAATCAGAATAAGGTTGGATGAAACCTAGTGTTGGCATACCAATGCATACACACACACACACACACACACACACACACACAGAACATTAAACTCACTTAGTGAAACTGATGATGATGGCGACAACTGTAATCCATTATCATCACCGGCAGTTGTTTGATCATTTTTAGTCTTCATTTCTGTCCGATTTGGTGCATAACCAATCATTTGATAAGCAACTTGATAGAATTTAATCAAGGCTCTATTATTATCATTATTATTATTAGGCGAGCAGTCCAGTGAAGAATCAGATGCTTTGGCAATTAGCTGCTGATGTTGATGCAATTGACCACTGCCACTGCCACCAACCATGCGATCATTGTTATTCTGCATTTGTTGGTGAACACACTCCGGCTTATCCCACTTTAGTATTGCCCAATCCGAGTCAGACGAAGAAACGTGTAGATTCAAGGGGATCAATAAGCGTTCATTAGCTGCATGCATCATATGAGTCAGTGATGACAACATGATGTTGACGTGAGATAGAGAGAGAAAGAGAGGCGGCGAACATTAAGAGACAAATACAAAATGAGTATACACATGGGTAACACTAATATTAATGTGAATGAGCAAGAAAAAGAAATTTGGAAAATGTAAGAGGGTGGGGTTGAACAACACAACAAAAACCAACAATGGCCGCAGTCCAAATTTTCATTTCACCTTCAATCCTTACCCAGTATAAATAGTCTGTTAAACCACGGCTATCTCAGATAGTCGAAATGATAACGGAATAAATAAAAAAATTATTACATCCTAGATTTCAATTGATTAGTATGGTGCATGACAAATATATTCCTTCCCTAATAATAGATAATTAATAGTTAGTCACTTAGATAGTGAATAAGTAAATAGTTAATAGTACAAAAGAAGTCAGTGAATTTAGTTAGCCACCACCCTGTCCCCCTCTTGTTAACCTCCCCATCAATCATTCTTATAAAAATGATCAAAAACAATTATATGAAGACCGATTTTCAACTTGTGTTTTGTATGAGAAAAAGCAACGAATAACTTAATATTGGCTTGAAATTATTTTCACACTTGATTAAACAATGTATTGTAGTTCCAGGTTTGTGGGGACTTATTTATTTATTTGAGGTAGTATTCATCAAGGACTCAAAACATGGAAACACTAGATAGTTGTTTCGTCCCACTATGGGACTGATCAGCAGTTCCCACACAACATTAATGGTCCTTCGAACGATGTCAGTCCGTGATGAATACCACCTGAAGTGAACAACGAATCATAAAGTTTAAGAGAGAAAAAGAAACTCATCACAAGGTGGGATATGATGATTGCTTGTTGTGCTGATGAATAACTCAAATCCTTAATAATAGCAGATAATATCAACTAACCAGCAAAAAAATCCAAGAATGGATGCAGATTACAGCCTAATTATCTCAAAGATGAGTTCTTTAAGTGCATTTCAAACCAAGATGAAACAAATGCTTAAGTTTATTTAGTTGGTAGTGATTAGCAGTGAGATCTATGAGGGGCGTTTCGTAACATTAATGAGTCCTTAGTTCCATGTACCTGTATCCTCAGATTGCTTCAGATACCAGAATACTATTCATTTAGCAACTAAGTCACAAGTCCTAAATAGAACGGAATGTTACGTCGTGAATCCAACTGCAAGCTAAAATACTACAAATAGAGACCGATAGATAAACAAAGAGATCACAAATTTCAATGAATAAAAACTGTTTTCTGCTTCTTCAAATGATAACGGTCTTGCCTAATTTACATGAGTGACATTCGGTCTTAACCATTTAAGCTAAGAAAACTGATGACGACTACAAAGAAGTTATACAATCAATTGAGTTGGGAATCAAGGAGTATCTAAAGAAGATTAATTCACTTTTACAAAAGGTATTCATTGTTATATATTCCTAGAGGATATCATAAGCACACCCTAACTGACAGCTCACTTCGTACGCAAGATCCACTGTCCCCAACCCGGATGAAATAAAGAAGTCCAGTAAAGTAGTCAATTAACTCGTGTTATGTATGCATGACATATGGTCTTGTCCAGAATTTGAAAGAATAACATAGTAAAAGCAAGCACTAACCAACCAGTGAATTACCTTAAACGCAGGGTGGGGAATGAACTACTGACCATGCTGCAAAAATGGGGCGAAACGATAACTTAGAAATGTTTAGATTAATAAACAATGTTTTACGCAAATCTGGTGCCTTCCAACATTCATTGACACTATTCACACGTGCATACACAATACTTTACACTCTAGTGTAAACTATCCTCTATCGCATCAAAAAATTGACACTTTTAGATCAAATTCAATCTCATTAGGGATGATAGTTCAATTTTTCTAATGAGTAGGAGGAAGTAAATGGTATAGATAAGACTATTATTAGGCAAGATAAGTTGTGTGTGATAAATGCTTTCACTCTGATGGTATTTCAAAATTCGCACCAATAAATCCATAATCACGAGGAGAAATTTCGCTGACTGAAATATCGGACGACATTTCTTCCGGTCTCTGAGTGTACAACAATCCCTCTGAAGTAGCACATACACCTTGTCGAAAGGTGTTAACAATTACAAGACACAGATCTAGCAGCTTTCTCATAATCCCTTCTATATAAGTAACATCAAAAAAGTACCTGAATAGATAGGGGCAATTAGCTGGACTGCAGAAAAAGAACCTAGAAGATTTGGATTTCGCCAATGATGACTCATGTCTGATGTCACACAAGCTTGAAGATCTACAGGTGAAAACTAACAAGTTGGCAGAAGAGGCAGGGCAGGGCAGCGAAGACGGGACTTCAGGTGAATATAGAGAAGACAGAGGTGATGAAGATACTGCACCACCACCATCAACAACAGCAACAACAAACTCCAGTCACCATCAACGGGAGAAACTTAAAGGAAGTAACCTCCTTCACCTATCTAGGAAGCACTGTTTCAACTACAGGCGGGGGCACAGACGAAGATGTCAAAGTCAGAATTGGAAAGACAGCAAGACAGACGTTCATTAGCCTGAAACCAGTGTGGAGATCTACTGCACTGCAGTCAGCATGTGGAACAAGATCCGGATTTTCAACACCAACGTCAAGTCAGTGCTTCTGTATGGTTGAGAGACTTGGCGTGTTACGAAAGGGATTTCCAATAAACTACAGACATTCATCAACAACTGCTTACGCTCGCTCGTTACTCAAGCTCAGATGGATTGCCAGAAAGAATAAGCAACAAGGAACTCACTCTGGGAACGAACCAACCAAGAACCTATCACGCAACAAATATGCAGGAGGAAGTGGAGATGGATTGGCCATGCACTGAGAAGGCCGACTGAGGACATCATGCGTCAGGCCAGTCACCCGAGTGGAATCCCCATGGGAAGCGATGAGTTGGACGTCCGAGGAGAGGGTGACATGGAGGAGGTCGTGCGAGGAGGAAATGAGAGCTTCTGGGCTGTCGTGGAGCCAGGTTCAAAAGATTTCAGAGAACAGATTCACTGGAGACGTGCTACTGAAGCCCTATGTTCCATTAGGAACCCAAGGGACTAATAATAATAATTAGCTTGATAGTCATTTTGAAGAAATTGATGAACAGAATTCAGTGAGTGATTGAGACCACACAATGTGATATTGGTTCTTATCAAGTGAATGATGAATAAATCAAATAACCAACCAACGAAAACTATGCAACAAACATACGATATATAATAGAGGACATTACAAATGACTATTCCAAAGAAAAAGTCTTCCTCATATTCCAAGCAGTACCTGCTATTTTTGACCCCAAGAAGAAAAAATCCCAAAGATATTCAACAGAAGTACTTTCTCATTGTCCAAGTAAAACCTGGAACATATTTGTGAAGAATGCACACACACAACTGATAACTGAGTAAAGCACATCTCCGAGCAGTAAAGGCAGGAATTTAAATGAAAAAAAGCTTACAAGAAGCTGGTTTCGTCCTTGCTGATATGAAAGCTTCCTTTGTTTCTTGACTTTCCCCAACAACGACTACTTTTATGAAATAAGCAGTATCGGGTTCTTTGTGGTGTTGGGCATGGAAAACAAAGAAAAAAGAGAGTTAGGAACAGACTTTGAAAAAAAGTTGCCAAAATTAGAAAAACAAAAACTTGTGCATGAAGAGTGACTGAGGTGACCACCTTCCTAAAAGAAAGGTTAAAGATACGTTAAGATTTGAAGATGGCAACAAACAGCAAGCGTGAATCCATAGTTATAACCGAATTTGCACAATGTGCAAAAAGCTCAATGTTTTATGTGTATGAAGGCATAGTAGCATCAACACTCAGTTACAGAGACTTCAGTTGGACAGAGAGCTAATTGAATCCATGTTTCGCAACGCTAAAATTTAAACTTGGTTGGTTGGTTGTGAAAAGACTGACGTCAGTTGGAGAGCCACTGAGAAACTGTGAGAACTACGCGACTGTTTCATCTTATTTTCAGTGAGTATCTACAATCCCGTGAAGAGTCGAGTTCAGGAATGTAAGATCTCACGGTGGGCGCGTCATCATTCAGCTACGAGGTTGGAACCTAACTGTCCACTTCTCGTATTAAATTATCATAAAGTGAAACTACCGCCCAGTGTTACCAGAAGACATCCATTTCCCCAACGATAGCTACTACCTTGACGTGGTGGTCGGGTTCGCATTTCACAATGACCAAACGAGTTGTACTGGTGGAACACTTGTTCCCTCGAGGTCCTGCCATGTTAGAAAGGTGCGTTGGATAGTGGTTACATGAGAAGCATTTACCGCTGTGGTGTAAACTACTACGCTATGATGGGGGTCTGAGGACGAAGTCGTACTGCTGCTAGCTGGATGGGGTATGACAGCGGTAGTGTTTCAGTTGAATGACAAGCAGTGCTATGCTGATGCTGCCTTCTCAGTGGAAGGGGGCCATTTAGAAAAGGTCGACCCCCAAAATAACACTCCACAACGACCCACCGTCTGCCGGGCCAGCGGTGTTGGTTAACACGTCGTTTCTTTTCGAACATTTGACCCCAAAACCACAAAAGCTCAAAACACTCCATTTACCTGGAAAGTGGGATTAGCCCTGGTGGCTCAGTAGCCGATGAAATCTCTGCACGAAAACAAAAGACGGCCGGCTTTCGCCAACTTACGCGACCTGTGGCGCCGCCAAGATATCCAGTTATCGATTAAGGGTCGGGTGTACTGCATAGCAGTCCGCTCCGTTCTACCATACAGCGGTGAAACATGGCCATTGAAGTTGCAAGACATGAGGAGGCTTCAGGTGTTTGACCACCGTCGTCTTCGTAGAATAGGCCGTATTCTGTGGTGTCACCACGTGAGTAATGCAGAAGTTAGGAGTAGAGTTTTAGAGAGGGAGAAGGGGTAAATCAGTTGATGAGCTTATGAACCTTCATCGATTGAGATGGTCGGGACACGTACTACGTATGCCTAGTCACCGATTGCCCCGTCACACAATGTTGGCCGAAGTAGGCCCAGGCTGGGAAAAGGCCCGAGGTGGCCAGACTAAAACAGGAAACCAATGCATGAGGTCTCTGACTGTTTGTTTGAGCCATGGGGGCGATGCAGACTAGGTGGTTGGGGTCTATGTGACAAGAGGGACCAGTGGTTGGAGACTCTAGACGATATGGCTCCGAACCAATGTCAGTGGCACAGATATGTATACACACATTATCCTCATCTTAACACCATACCGAATCTCACCATTTTCTCATTCTTTCTCCCTCTCTTTAAGTACTTTATATTTCTTTTGACTGAGTTTTCTTTTCTCCATCTTCCACTACACTGCCTTTTTACTTGATGTACTGATATGAGTTGTGGCAACTCAGACCGCTACGCAGTAATGCCTGGTCCTATGTTGATATTGAAGATGATTTTTACAATGAGGTTATAGGAATGACTATTAAACGATGATAACGTGTAAGCATTTCTCTTAGGTAGTGAACGCTGAACAGGTGTTAATGAAATACTACTTTTGAATCTGTCGGTAAATCTCAACAGGCACTCATTTTGTCAACAGCTTAGTTTTGCGGTCCTTTGACATCATCTATGTGGATACGACCTATCCTGTTGAATAAGCATTTAATTAAACTGCGTTTATGTTATACTAGATAGTAAATAATTCGACAAGTTCATTTGTGATTAGATGGTTCGAAACGCATAGCGTTAATAAATCCTGTGTTCTAGATAAACAGTTTGCGCTATTTACATGAATCAGAATATCAATTAGTATAGTCCTTGGGATTCGGTGCTATCTCCACCTACAGACGATTCGATTGAAACTTAAATCTACTAAGCGCTTATGGATATCAGTGTTCAGTCAGTCAGCAAGTAAAGTACCATGACAGCAACCTGTTGGTCACAATTTCAAATTTCTATCCCGCTTCAACCATCGGTCCTCTCCTTATTTGTATATAAAGATCTGTCTTTCAACAAAGACTATATACCTCACATAGGTTTATTAGCAAAAACAATTCTCTAAAAAGTCAAATGTGTGAAACCAGACAATTTTTCTTGCGAATACATATTGTAGTGTTTAACAATAATGCCATAATTACGAGGAAAGAGGGGGCAGGAGCCTAAGTCAATCAATGCCCTCGTAAAAAAACCGGTAAATAATCCTGACCAGCATGTACAGTACATACTTTGACCATCGAAATGAGAAAGCAGGAGACAATGACAGCGAACTGTTTTTGGACTTTAATTTATGCCTAATCTATTCTACATCATAAGCCCACTAACAAAATTCGTCTAGTCAAGTAGTAAAAATAAACAACTGCATATGTATTCTGATTATGAGGTGTTCTTTGTAGTATAATTCAGTCCTTTCTAAGGACTTTCCTTCAATGTTTTTGTGTCACCTGCCTGATTTCTTAATTGCTGTTGTTAGTGTTGTCATGTGTTATGCAGAATACAACTACGAATGGCTTAATACTAACCAAAGATGAAGCAGTCTTTTTACATACCTCTAAATGTAAGCTGCGGCTTCAGAACTGACTAGTTTTCGTTGGTACCTTATCTGATAATAAGGAGTAAAATGATTGCTACATTGGCTTAAGCGACAGAGAAACATTTGAATGTGCGCAGTGCAGCCGTTTCCTCTGAGTTATTCTATGATCGTGACGCATGGTATTTAAGAATGAAGAACATATGAAAAGGTTAGAAGTATTTGACCAGTATTGTCCTAATAGCGAGTATCACAAGCATATAGAAAAATGACCATCATCTTCTGCAACTTTCGATACTAGTGGAAGCATAGTTAGACTGAAAAAAGCTAAGACTGACTACATCGAGATAGGATACCAATCCTCAAGGTTTATGACTATTAGTTTCAGATATGAACAGAGATTCATACTTTTAAACTGAAGTTCGTCTGACAACCGAAATCAGTTGTTGAAGACTCTAGGCGATATATAGCTGACAACTAGTCATAGTGTTGCAGATGAACTTGACTTCTTGTGACAACCATGAGGGGATTAGTTTGAGTAGTATCGTATCCAATATTCCAGGGTCCACAGATATCCAACGTCTAACTGGAGCTCAGGAACAACAAACTCGAGAAAACCAGGTAGGCTGCAGACCTAGAAGTGGGTGCATCGATCATGAAGTGTTTGACTGTGAAAGGACTGCCAAGAAAGTAAATGACACTAACCTAAGATCCATAATCGAACTCACCCAGCCAAGTAACAGCTGAACGCCTTGAGTAGAAGTCAGAGCAAATTTGATACGCATTTCGAACCTGTCAAATGCTCCACAAGTGGTCTGCAACAACTCCCGGTTTAATGATAGTAAGTAAAGTGACGGAATGTGTCAACCATTTCACTTATTTAGGGAGTTGTATCAGTCCGATTGAGATGGTTGTTGACAAAATCGAAATCCGGATACAGAAGGCCCATTTGACATCTGCCAACTCACAGTTGGTGGAATCAGTATGTAAGCAATGTTGACGTTAAGCGAACGGTACCAGGCAAGGCAGGTAAATCAGTCAATGGGGTTGTGAACCTTCATTGAACGAGGTGGTTTGGACATGTGTAGTGCATGCCGATCCATCTACTGCCTCGACACGCCGTGTTAAAGGAAGTTAGATTAGGTTGGAAGAAGGTTCAGAGTGGCTTGACCCAAACATGGTACCAGTCGGTGAAATCTCTTACTGTTGGTCTGAGTCGTGTGGGGAGGTGTAGACTACCTGGATGAGATCCCCGAAATGATAGGAACCTATGATTTAGAACGCTTGATGAAATGGCTGAAAATCAGTTACAGTGATGCATACGTATTCACCCTGATTTTTCCTAAAGCTTGAATGTTTTGACTAACCTTCAGTTTTAAATTTTCTTCACCTCCCCCCCCCCACACCCGATACACCAGTTGTCTACTTAGAAATCAGCCTTTTCTATTGACTTGTTCTTTGTTTTCTACTGCTGTGAATTGTGCAATCTGAAGCTATGCACTTTTGTGCGAGGTTCCACGTTTATTCTACCTCTGTCATAAAACTAGAAATTGTGTTTAAGCACTTATATTTCAAGTACATTTCGTAGAATTAAATTTTTTCAACTTTCTGACTTCCATATGTTAAATAAATGAGTAGACACCTGTTATCATATTACGTTAGAATAATCATATTACGTGAACCGAATTTGTCCTGAATTTCATCATTAAATGCAATTCTGAAGATAAATTCAAATTTAAAGGCATGTAAAGAGAGTGACTATTTGATAATAACTGATTATTTCTATTTCACAGAAACACCCACGGACAAAAAAGATCATACTTACCCAGTTTATCAATTAAATACTGTGTCTGATTCCTCGGCAATTCAACAGAATCTGGTCCTGGATGCATTTTACCCCAAGCAATTATATAGTGTGATATATCTGTCCCAACAGTCTTACTTCTAGACGAAATATCCGAATCTCTGCTAGTGCTACTACTATCACCATGAGTTCGAGGAATCCCAAATGAATAAGAGATAATGGGAGGCGACCATAACACCAATAGACTTCGTTCATCAGGTAACCATTGAAGATTCTCAACCTGCAAAACAATTATGTAATGACTAAATGGTATCAAGTTGGTATTCACCATGAACTGAGTGACCTTATTTGGAGGACCATTGAAAACTAAGAACATTGGATAGCTGCTTCTTCCTAGTATCGACTCCGCATCAGTACGCGCCAATAATCCCACCAGGAATCAAACTCAAGACCTTCAGGTCTCACGGAGAGCGCACTAACCATTCATCAACCGAGTCGGAGTTCAATGGTCCACAGTTTCCTACTACTGTCAATTCGCGATATAGTGTGACTGTCATCCAAAGTCATTATACGGCATCCGCTTCACGTTCAACCTCGTTTATCCCAAATCTCATGACTTCTCATTACAACTATGGGATATCCACCTCGAAGGGTGTCACTAATGAGCGTTAGACCAGCGGTTTAGTTTGAGGTTTGCGGGGATTTATTTATTTCAAGGCAGTATTCATCATGGAATGATACAAGTAGATGCATACTGCTCAGAAGTCCGACAATGGGTAGAAACAGCTGTCCAGTGTTCACAGGTTTTCAATGATTCTCTAAATTATGTGAGACTGTGAATAAATGAGTCCCCATAAAACTCAAACTAAAGCAAAAATAGAATCCATGCGGAACAAGCAAACTAAAGTGCAGAAGAATATATAACTTTAACCTTGGATTTTTATTGGCTACTCGTTGACTTTCATATAATCTTTGGATGGTTATTTTTAATTTTCAGGTCAGATTATAACTATTTTGCATTGGTCCCATTTTGATGACTAAGTATGAAGGCTTAAGAAACTAGGCTTGACTGGATAAAATATTGCACTTTTATTGAGCTAGCAATTCGGTCTAAAAGAGAATTCCTGGGAGCACGGTGCTGTAATCAAATGATAATGAACAGTCATGTAAACAGTGACTCAATAGACGAACTACTAAGAAGAGACCAATCAACTGGGAACTAATTAGGCAAATTATTAGTGTGGAATTAGGTCAACAGTAAGAGTCAAATTGTCACAATAGTTAAAAAGGTCGATCTCTGACTAAAAAAACACGAAAAAAACTACCTCTACCTCCAGAAGCTAAGAATGTTCAAGGTTGGTAAATATGCTTCATAAACAATTATGTAACTTAGGAATGCTTCACTTATTTCTGAAGTAAATGCTGATGACGTCGTATAGCCTGAAGATGAAAAATTCAAGAATAAACCTCGAAACTCAGAGAACAAACAAGTATTAATCTTTCTATTCATCCTACTTTAGGCTGTGGAACAGTCACGAAGAAGTTATAGCGAGTTCACAGTTTCAGAGATATGAGTTTAGTGTACGGTAACCTAGACTGCTATTGGAGCTGTAACAGTAGGATATAAAAACGCTACATAAAATGGAACAGGAATTCCTAAAGATTACACTACAGATTACCAAATTTTCCCAAATGAAGTTTCCAATGTCAGATATTTCAAAGTGACCCACAAAACGTCAAGCATACAGATTATCTATCTACATGAGTCAGTCACTAGTAGGATGAACTCATGTATCTATCCTACAATGGGTCAGTCGTGGCCTGAACAGCTTATGGGTTAAACGTCTGACCTCAGCACTGAGTGACGCAGGTATGAGTAGTCGAGTGAACATCATTTTCCTTATCGTTGCAGAAACGTGTTAGTGATGAGTGCCAACAAGCATGAAATTTAGGTCTAGGGTTTTCCGTCGATTGACCCCAATCACCTAACACCGAAAAACAGATTATCGACTTGCATATATAACTCGAAAGAAACTCATACTCCCTTGGAAGCTGGATACAACACTATGTGTCATTTCAGAAAACGAAAGTATCTGTAGTGAATCACACTGAATATTACAATTTCACATTCCGTTTATTTCATGCAAATAGTATCTGCATTCTATACTTAAGATAAATTGATTTTAACTTTCTGTTGTTACTTCGTTTGTCATTTAGATCTTGATAAGAAACGGCTTAAGTGGAAATCATCATTCGAAGTCATCAGGAGCTAAGATAGAAGCTTTTGTATCTCAATTTTTGTTTCATATCATAATGTGATCAGATCAGGAATAGCCTTATATTAGACAATTGTATCCCATAGTTGACCAATCAGAATGAGTCTTAACTTTTGACCTAATGGTTGTAGATGTTAGTAAAAAGTGTATATAAACTGATGTATTTTTGTCGAATAAAGTATCTTCTTTACAGTCATAGGACAGTTTTGTCTGCATATATTTTGGTAGCTTTGTGAAGTATAAGGTACTGAGGGAGAACATTAGCTGTTTGTATCCAGTCCAACAATCTCATCGCAGTAGTATCGTTCGCCTATTTCTTATTATTTCATCTGGTCACCTGGTTATATCTGCTTCCCATTTTCTTCTTCATTCAGAAAATTTAGTGATTCAATGTTAACTGCAACTGATATCCCCAGTGACATCACGCCATATGTATCTGTAAAAGCAGAACATACCAAAACATAACTGAATCACATTTTTTAACGGCTCTTAACTAAAACTCTGTGATAAACTGAATTGCACCTTAAATTTTCCTATGATGACCGACTGATAAAAAAGTAAGCTATTGAGATAAATGACCAAAAACATACTGTTCAAAATAGATTCACTTCACCAGGAGAGAAGTGGTCAGGAAATAACGCTTACAGCTATAAAATGAAGACATAGCCAATGGGGATAACCAGTTACCTTGAAAGTGAAAACACTTAATACCCAAGGAAGCCATGCTCGACCTCGATTTGTCACGTTCTTCTTTATCAGTCAATGAATGATATTCCCTTATAAATTATGCGGCGTATCACCCTGATTAAAGTCAGTATACTTTAATGTCCTGTGTCTTAGCCTCATGGATACAGAACACATTTCGATAAGTATTGAAAAATATGAAGGTAAACAAACTCACAGGTCCTAAAGAAAGAGTGATCTGCCGACTACCGGACGCAGAAGGCGACTGAGTAAATGGTATGCCAAAATCTTCTGATATATCCTAGAAATAAATGAGTTACGAAGCAGAAATAAGGCGATACTTTCATGCATAAAAAAGCCATAAAATCGAGTTGGACAGATCAATACCAAGAAAACACATGTGTGTGTGTGTAACTCACTGGTTACAAATGGAATTGCGGAATTGAAAAGAAGTAACCCATGATATTCAGCAACCATATACATGCAGAAATATAAAGCCAGAAGCTTCATATAATCTGACTGCATAAAAATTCAGTAGATAACAAAGGATTCTAACTCAACACTCAGTAAATCAAATCCAATTGCTTTTATTGATTTTCAAACAAGAAAAAACAAACAAATAAAGCATACAGAAATCAAACTACATACACTAGGTAGCATGTAACCATCACCGCTGCTCTCTGCATTGGTATCAGCTTTGTTCTTCTGAGTGAAAGTAGTAAATGTGATAATATCTGATTCCGGACCATTTCCTGCTCGTGTAGCTGCAGAAACTGACAAGTCATATTTCATGCCAGAAACCAAACCTACGCAAAAACAAAGAGAAGCAAGACTTAGCACATTCATACACGGGCTTCGAAAGCACATAAATAAAAGGATCAATGTATTCTTATTCTATCTGACTTTTACCATAGGTGCCTTCGTAGTATTGCTTGCGTTTGGTGGATGGGATCACTGTGTGAGCATTGCTGATGTAAGGCGAAGGGTATTAGGCTAGACAGGCAGCCAAGTCAATTATTAATGACGCTGTGAACCATCATCGACTGAGCTGGCTTGGACATGTACTGTGCATGTCGGGTCACCACCTACCCCGAGATGCCATGCTAGGGGGATTTAGATTAGGTTAGAAGGAGGTTAAGGGTGGCGAGATGAAGACGTGTAACCAGTCGACGAAGACTCTGACTATTGGCCTGAGACATGTAGAGTGATATAAACTACGAGACTGGGGTCGTCAAACGATAGTAATCAGTGATTGAAGACTCTTGAAGACATAACTGGAAATCGGTCACAATAGCGCAAATGTATTCATTTTTGACATCTTCCTAGGGTGAATATTTGTACTAACTGTTATTTTCAGCTTGCTTATTCTCTTAAACAACTTTTTTCAACCTTGATATGCCTTTTTCTTTCCATCTGAACTTGGTAAACTACTGTGAGTCTTAAGTCATACGTTCATTCTATCTATCTCTCTGGCTTACACTAGTTGGTATCTGGAAGTCAAAAAGAGGTCTTTTTTAGAGCTAACCTGATAACCAGACAACATTTGGCAAGCAAAAATAAACTCATATTTCATAGGAAGAAGCCCAAACCTAAATCAGCATTCAAGGTCACCAACCACTACGGTTGAAGTTTTGGATTTCAACCTTGTTTCAAGTTACTGTGTGGGCAGGAAAGACCTGATTGGACAATTTTGTCTTACAGCTGACCAGTGAAAAGAAGTATCCAACTTCAGATCTAGTGGCTTTATTTCCTGAGGAAAAACTGTATACAAATGATATGATTTATGTCAAATAAAGTTGTCTTCCCTACAGTCACAGGTTGGTCTTTGTCTTCTGATTTTCGTGACTCAGTGAAGTATCAGGTTTGAGGGAGAACATTCGCTATTCGTATTCAATCCAAGTATCGCATTGCGTTATTGACGTTTCGCGTATTATTATTATTATTATTATTATTATTATTATTATTATTATTATTATTGTTATCTCCCAGTCACTTTAAAGTTATAAACAGATAACCTGTGTAGTTACACATTACTTGGTTTTGGATAGTAGAAGAATTAAGCCTGTGGATTTCTTCCTATTTGGAACTCGTTAGCTTGATGTACCTTCACCCCTGTGAGTGATATCGTTTCCACTTATGTAATATTTGTCCGTCTGGGTTGACAGTAAGTGCACTTCGATGTGCTGCTAACTGAGCTCCAGCTGCTTTTCATATTCTCTATCGTCCACATTGTCCTCCTCTGTTGAGGAACCACCACCGCGTTCAGCTGTTGATGAAATGTGAAAAAAGGCCCCTGGATACACCCAATACCTGCAGATTTACTGTGAGAAGTGATGTAGAAAAAGTGTTAACAAGAAGAAGACCAAATAATTACTATTATATACCCTGGATTAATTGAGTTAATTTATTCTGCACCATAATATAACGTGGACGTAACCAATCTTCACATGAAATATTAATACGATATACAATTATTTGACCATTTCGATACTTCATTGAAGGCGGTTGCCATGATATAGTGGCTACATGAGCACCAACAGAATTTACTTGAACCTTGATTGATGTACAGACAGATGGAGTGAAAAAAGAAAAATTATTAAGACGCCAAAATGACTTCTGAAAGAAGTGACGTTAGGAGAAAAATATTGCGCGAAACAATGACCACGGAAAATTACTGGTAGTAGTAAAACAGTCGAGTGTAATCTGCTTGATATCTTAATCACACTGTAAATAGAATGAACAGTTTGCTTGGTTTGCTATGTTCGATAGTTGGAAACAAGTACCTGAAAGAATTCTGAGTGTATCAACTGTTTAGATAAAAAACTTACAAGCTTAATTAGTAGCTGGAATCTGGATCACCTGGCTTAGGTATCTGATTTTCAAGCAACGCGAGTTACAAATTGGAACTCTACTCCATTTACTTGGGCCTCGGAGCAAGTAGGTTATATCAAAAATGCATACACAATAAGCGTACCCCAAAGTATGCAATTTCGTGTCAAGTTAAATTGTATTTTATTACTTTATTCAGTGGTGATCATACTAGGAAAAAACAAAAGATGTAGATAACACATGAGTATTTATGGATGGAGTGAAGATTTCACTCAATCGTTTTGAGACTCCAAGTTGAAGTGTGTACGATCTAGAAAAATTCCCCGTATGACTGCATAGTAATCAGTTGCATGATCCGCGATAAGGATGTTAGTAAGTCTTCAACCTACTACACATCTCGACACTATTAGTAATCACATCAGTCAATGGATCCACAAACTCATGGTCTTAGCTGCATCTTTCCAAACACCTATGAGCTTCCTAGTTATCACTTTAGATAGTTGTCTCTAAGAGGAGATATTTGCGTATGATGGCTAACAGTGCAATGATATTTCAGTCATATACTTTTCTAAAGTATCCCTTTCCCAATGTTACTATTCAGAGTTTAAACCCGTTTGCAATACTAGGAAGATGTCAATGTGATTAAGATTTTGATTTTTCTCTCCCCTTCCTATGCCTATGTTTCCTATTGACCTCATTGACCCTTTTCGAAAATTTTCATATAAATAGTTCAAGTTCATATATGATCAGATTATTTGAAATGCATAGCACTAATACACCACATGTTTCACATAACCGTCTTCTCATTACGCCGTTTAGGTGTCAATCTATCCATTCTTCCTTGAAGTTCTTATCACAAGTTTCCTCCCTTTTGGTGAGTACTATTTTGTCAACTTCGCGTATGTGACGAACACAACCATAAACAACATGTAATTTGCAAAATTCTTGAGAGCAAATAACCTCTACCATGTTGGCATTGTTAGAGATCCGTTGGTTATCTCACATCCAATAATGCAGCTGCACTCGTTACTGATATCTTAATTACACAGTGTACAATAACAAATAAGGAACCATTAGGAACAGATTTGTGTTTTCAGTATAAAATGCATTTTAATACATCACCTTTCCCATTTTTATATAAAAATGAGAATACCTTCCTCCTACACTATAGTGAGAAGGCATACTCCTTCAGAAAAGCTCCTCATTTGTTAAATATTTAACTACTTTATACGAATGTTTTAGCGTAACCCAGGCGTGTTTGCAAAATCAAAAGAAGATATTTCTGAACGCTTTGTTTTGCAAGCCACAGCTTCAGTAGAATATACGAATTTTTATTAACATCAAAATACATAGTCAAATGACACATTAAATATTTACTGAATGTAGGTCATTGGTTAGGTGGTTTTTCTGTCCACCTTGGGTAATTAAGATTAGTCATTACAACTTCACGCTTGTTATCATCATTTGCCAACGAAAACGTAGAGTATTCAAAGTGTGCGTGTATGCGTTGTTTCTTATTTATGCAACGTCAATAAGTGCCATTGCTTCAATTAGAAAAGGTCGTCAATAACAATTTTGTCTGATTAATGTTTGCTAAATAGGTGACAAATTTATTCCTTATTTTCTCTTTGATATTGTTAAAATATGTGGGGCTTGGTTAAACTTTCTTTATGTGAATGGGAACTTTTTTTCAATATGTTAAACTAAACTGAAAGAAAGCTGAGCGTACTAGACCAGTGGATGAAACGAGTACACGAAGTCATTGCTGACAATTAGTATGAGTCATGTAGGAAGATATAGATTGTCTGGTTGGAGCTCTAGGAAGGATATGAATCAATGACTGGCAACTCCTAAAGATGTGAACTATTACCCTTATCTATTATTTATCCTCGTCCTTCTATTACATTTCTGTCCACTTCTTCTTTCCTTTCAACTGTAATGTGTAGCAACTTGAACCGATACACCTTAGTGCCGGTATCTACGTTCATTTGTCCGTCTATCTGGCTGTCTTTACACAACAAGAAATAAGTACTACTCACATACATTATGACGCTGTAACTAAATAATACATCTCTCCTCTTGACCTTCATCTTACAGTATTTTAAGAGAGCAGATGGTTCAGGAGCATGAAGAAAATGTAATTCAGATGCCAGTTGTAGGTTCGTGGGTTAAGGTTATGAGCCACACCGAGCGTATGAGAGATGGTAACACCAGATGTCTATCCAAACGGAAGAACCTAATATCTGCAAGTCAACTGTCTAGATCGATAAACTTCAGATCCAGAAGCAGAATTTTGACGGTATGCTTATGAAACTGAGTAGTTTAAGTGTGATCAGTTATTTTAGATAATAAAACATTATTGCAACACTGCACCAGATAAATTTGAAAAAATTAATAGTAACACTGAACTTGAAAATAAAATCTCCACGTTACAGTTAGTGAGAAGTTCAGCTTTTCCGCATAATACAGCATTCGTGTAGAAATGAGAAACCTCAGAGGCACATCCATCAAGCACACGACGCTCTCTGCAACACTGAATGATGATACAGTTATAGAAACTTTAAAATCAACTAACTAACTAGTAATACTGAATGAAAATTTTCCAACAAAACAAACAAAATGAATCACATAAACTTTACATTAACTGGCGATTTCGATGGTGGTCTTGAAACGACACGAGAAGAAGATGCTAAATAAGCTAAACGACCGGTTACATTCGTTTCAGAGATAGGATAGACAATAATTTGGTAGAAAGCATCTGGTGTTAAATTCAATACAGTATAGCTTAATCGATCAGCATTCGAGGTTAACTTGTTGACATGTACATTGACTTTAATCTCTTTCCGTGATATCGCATCGTCAATATCACTAGGTTCAGAGACAAGAGGACGGAGTATTATCCTGTTCAAAAATAGAAAAGTATGATATGTATACGTTGAACAGTAATAGAAAAAGAAATATTTTAACAGAAACGATCAAATCTGCAATTCCTTGATAAAGTACACGTTATAAGAGTCACATTAGACAAGTTATTGAGTATCCATTCCTTAAGAAACACACTATAACCAAACTATTGATGACATAAACATTATAAGACAAGAAAATTCCCCTTAGGGAAATCGTAATTGACGAAAAGCCAACATAACCGTTTTGAAGGGTCATTTGCAAACTAGAACCTGGCTCTAGATCTTCTTGTCAATCGCCGTGCACCATAAAAGCGTGAAATCGAAAAATACTATAAAAAGGCGGAAACTGAGGACGGCTTGCTTCGTTTGCATGATGATTGACGATACCATCCAAAGTGTTGTAACCGAAAATGAATCAATCTTTTTATGGAGCGTTTTTGTCTCACCGCGTCTTCATCTTTACAGTCTTTGAAGGTCGCCCTGAAGGAGTATGAGAAACAGATGTACACACATTACGTTGTGCGAGATTCACATTTGCAAAGTGACCAAAGAGAATACGTTAAGTTTATCTGCTATAAGGCTAGTGAACACCGGTCAATAGGTGGTATAGTGACAAGAAGGTCAGTTCTGTTTGTTTTGATTATTTACTTCATAGAATATCTCTGATATATTCTTGTCAGGCGTTCGTGCTCGCGAAGTTCTTAAAAGGTTTCTGGACAGTTACTCGGTGGTTGTTAACTCACAATTATCCCTGCAATTCACTGCTTTATGACAATAGTTCTTGGGCGCCGAAGTTGACACGAGCTGAATTGGAGAGCATAAGGCCATTGCTGATATCCGGAACGGCTGCATTTAATGTTGTTGATTTCGTTTTACGCGCACTATGGTAAACGATTGAATAGTCAAGATGTGTTTAATATGCGCTATCGCCTCTTCGCTCAGTGTAATTTGACCAGTAATTGAGTAGCCTTCAATCTTGATGCATATTAGTTAAAAGTATTATTCCGGATATTCAAATATATAGAGAGATGGTTGCTTAAAAAATATTGCTTTAAATGACCTCAGTGAATTATATTTAGCCATAAAAAATTTCATGTTACATTATTCCTGCTAGTCATCGGAACTCCACGTATACGTTGGAAGTAAAATGTTACCGGAGGCAGTAAAATTTTCGAATGGTCGTTAGTGCAACTGAATGTTAATGCTTACGTCTTGTAATAAGCTGTCAGATGGTCAATGCGACTGTACTACTTCTGAACATCCACATCCTCCCAGTGAAATGATTCGGAAACGGATATGTTAACTTTCAAACAACAATGCACATGTGGTGTGACCTGCATGCGAATTCCCTGTTGATCTGTTCCACTACAGGAGCCTCATATCATCAACTAAGAAAGTCTTCGATGGAATCCATGCATTTACTAGATAGAAAAACTGTATGAAGTTAACTCAGAATACTTTTCGAAAATCCTTGTTTTCTTCCATCATGAACAAAATATTCAATACTCATATAGTATTTATAAGCCAATTTACTGGAGTTATTCGATAACAACCAAAATTCCGATACAGCACCATTCCTTAGAAGCAGCATAGGAAATTAAAGGAATGCTGTCTTTTAATCACAGCTGAAATAAAATAGCAAGATCGAAACGTTGAGCATTCGTACAAAATATTTGTTAATTTTGTTATTTGTACTAATATATTACGCCGAGATTATACACGTAAAAATGCATCTTATGCAATGAATGTAGCAGTGTATTCCTACAAGGATTTAAATATATCGATGAAAAGGTTGTGTATTGCCGAGTGGAATAATATATTATAAGTACATTTCAAATGAAAAGTTTTAAAACAATGGTAAGCTTTTATTTCAGTAAATTATTCAGAAAATATTCCGGCTATTGGTGTGATCACGGGCAGTAATTTTTTTCCAATTAACACCAATATAAAAAAGTTATCACTATGTGTAAACTTTCGATTAATACATTTAAGATTTAGATTTTTCTGTAAACCTCAGTCACAGTTACAAATTATACTCAATACATATTGGTCTCGGCGACTACCAGGACGCGCGTTTCGCCCTACTCGGGACTCATCAGCTAAATGTACCAGTACCCCAGTCAGTGATATGATTCCCACTGTGGATCGAACTTAGTACCCATAGCTTACACAGGTAGAGCCTTATTCACTAAGCCGAATACCAAATAGAACAAAACACCAGTCCTGGAGTCCTCTGTTAGTCACCGAGATCAACGTTAGATCATGAATCAGCAGTAGTATCAAGGTATCCGCATAGGGGCCCATATACCAATAGAGGTCGAGCAATTAAGCCCTGTATAACAGGAAATTACAATCATCATAACAACAATTACACTCAATACATTGTGAAACAGGCTCCCTGAAATATTACACAACATTGTCACTATAGAATTAAATTCTCAACAAATTTTAAATTCATTTTGGATTTCATCTTAACCTGAAGGCGATGAATCCCTTAAAACAATTCATGTGACAAGTAATGATTGCATAAGCCAATCTAAGTACAGACAGCTCATCTAAGCTCAACTAATCAGATTCCTACGACTAAGTATCCTAGTCCAATAGGAAGGTTAACGTTTATTACACGGTACACTTCTCCCCCCTAATTTATTTAGGGTGGAAGAAAGAAATTTGAAGTGAAAAATGATTGGCTGGTTCCTCTGTTTAGAAGTCAGTATGTTTGTGTGGCCAAAGTACACGTTACAGGGTTTGCGGAAACTTGGAATAACCCTGTGATGTCTCTTGCAATGAATTCTTCGGAATGACTGTCAGTAGAAACAGCAATTTGCATGTTCCTTTTAATAGGTGAACATGCAGCAGGCGTTAGGTTACGGACTCGGAACGCGAAGATAATATGGTCACCCAGCTCACATTTATTGTTGCAATCCTGCAGCAGTTTCTGAATGCGCCCCTGAATCCAGTAACCGCTACGCAGTATAAGGCTTAGTATTGCACGACGTACTGGCATTTTCATGCTCGGCATATGCAGCTTCAACGTACGATGTGTTGTTTCGACGAAGCTGGTGTTATTTTGTTCCAAAAGAATGCCAAATGGACGGTAAGCGGAAGTCTACTTGTGCTTACGAGGTAAGGGGTAGGACACTAAGTACCCGTGTAACGTTGTATCCATAGTCTCTGTTTGAACAAGACAACTTTTGAAGCTACAAAAAAGATGATACATTAAAAGATATTAACCTCGCCATATCCTTCATGTACAACATTCGAAAGAAGCACTGCAGCGCCTCTCCTGTTGTAATCTCTGCAAACATTAAAATTTTCATTATTCTTTTGTACACAAGCTTACCCTTTTTTATTACGTTGCGAATAATGTGCACACGACACAGGAGGTGATGTGAGTGCTGAAAAACTTGGCATAATGCAGGCGAAATTGCAGGAGAGTCGTCTGTTATGAAAGCACCCACTCTGCAGCTCCCAATAATATTATTAAAAAACCTCAGAAACGCACCAATCAGTTCTGATGTCTCTCTGATTATGAAAGCAAAAGCTATGGGAATAGCCATGAAGTCGATGTTGAGGGCTATTAACTCGTAGAGAAAAAGGTTCTCATTATTAGTCTTGTTGTAAGTGCCATCGAGACCCAGTAGATCAAGACAGATTTCAGCAACTTTCAGCTCACCGGCTGTAGCGAAAAAAATCATTTCAGATCTCCACCCTCTGTGACAGAGAAGGATGCTGACCCACCTTAAATGATTACATGCGCCTGCAACTTTTCATAACTGACCACAACAACATCGTTACAAGGGAAATTTCAATTACCGGTAAAATTACACTGAGCGAAGAGGCGATAGCGCATATTAAACACATCTTGACTATTCAATCGTTTACCATAGTGCGCGTAAAACGAAATCAACAACATTAAATGCAGCCGTTCCGGATATCAGCAATGGCCTTATGCTCTCCAATTCAGCTCGTGTCAACTTCGGCGCCCAAGAACTATTGTCATAAAGCAGTGAATTGCAGGGATAATTGTGAGTTAACAACCACCGAGTAACTGTCCAGAAACCTTTTAAGAACTTCGCGAGCACGAACGCCTGACAAGAATATATCAGAGATATTCTATGAAGTAAATAATCAAAACAAACAGAACTGACCTTCTTGTCACTATACCACCTATTGACCGGTGTTCACTAGCCTTATAGCAGATAAACTTAACGTATTCTCTTTGGTCACTTTGCAAATGTGAATCTCGCACAACGTAATGTGTGTACATCTGTTTCTCATACTCCTTCAGGGCGACCTTCAAAGACTGTAAAGATGAAGACGCGGTGAGACAAAAACGCTCCATAAAAAGATTGATTCATTTTCGGTTACAACACTTTGGATGGTATCGTCAATCATCATGCAAACGAAGCAAGCCGTCCTCAGTTTCCGCCTTTTTATAGTATTTTTCGATTTCGTGCAACCAATAACATGGGATATTTCATCGTTCATTTTAATTGGACAACAGGTGACACAGGGAGTGAGGGGGTAGGGGGAAAAAATAACAGTTTAAAAATATTATTACCGTCCACCAATAGGAAAGTACCTCCGCCACACAAACACATTGACTTTTAAACGGAGGAATCAGCCGATCATTTTTCATTTGAAATTTCTTCCTTCCAACCTAAATTAGTGGGGAGAAGTGAACCGTGCAATAAACATCAAGCGTTATATAGCGGGGCAGAACAAATAGCAGGTGAGGTTATCTCGCCCGTCGGCGCCACAGGTGAAGCAGGATGGCATAAAACCAGATAGCTCTTTTGTATCCGAGTTGAGATTTCATCAGTAACATCATTTACAAATTGGAAATTTATTCTTCAAGTCAAATAAACAAGACAACAGATGCATGGGAACTTCTTGAGGCTAGACGATTATCCACCTGATGTTTATTTATCGCGAAAAATTATCGCTACTACCTAATAAAACTACACAGGAACCAGTTATTTCATGCTTTTCAATATCTTTGAAAGAAACTCACGATATCACAAAGTTATTAGTTACATATTTGGAGCCAGAAAAGTGTTTATTGTCTGAGCTGTAAACTACCATTTGAGTGAACATTTCAACAAGAAACATTACCTCATAGCAATGATGTGATGGTTTGTTCAACACCTAGAGTAGGACAGCCAACGGATGTTCACACAACCGATCAGTTCAAAAATGAATGCCTAAATCAGGGAACAACAGAACCATGAGTGATATTCTGTTTACCTTCCGAGCACCTTAAATTCAAACCACACAAATTTAATTTTCACTGAAAATGCTGCTCTTTATTTACAACAATGATAATGAGAATGACGATAGTCGATAAAAATAACATCAAAATACATTTTAAGTTTATATATTGTAAAGCACTTGATATGAAGAGCTTACTGGTAGGAAATAATCGTTTCAGTTGATGAACTGTCACTGCCATCGCTTGATGGCGCCTTCCAAGAGATAGTCAAGGTACCAAATTTCCAAGATTCTGCAGCTATGTCTTTTACAGCAAGTGGACGACGAACTTCGCGTTTTGTTTTTTGAATTTTTGTACAAAACAAACAAATAAAAAAAAAACAGGAACATGCAAAAAATACCTCTTAGGCAGCAATGTAGGATACTAGTATCAAAAAACAATGAACACGTTTGCACTGACAATGCAGCAAATACAATGCTTATGCTTTTCAACACAAAAAACTTAGAAAAAGAAAGTTTTACGGCGTTTATGAATCACTAACTGACATATATCCTGCCACAGAGATCTACTTCCTCGACATCCTAGTAATAGCAGCACCCATTAACATTCTAGAAATCTGTTGTAGGGCATTTATGTCAAACTATGAACCACCTTGAATTGCACAAAACAAAACTGATCCAGTAAATCAAGTTGAAGGAAGAGCAAGTGTAGACGAATTTAGACAAACATCTGTACAATGAGAAAAATGTCTTACAATAATGCGTATACCAAGACAACAATAACATAATAAACATCATACTACCTAACAGAAGTGGATGGCCGGAAAAAATAGCTCAATCCTCGATTTAATGAAGCAGAACAGCCAAGTTAAGATAGACGAGTAAAAATGTGAGTCTGATTATTAGTAAGTTATTGTTCGTCACGGACTGATATAGGTTGGAGGAACACTGGAAACCTGGGAGCATTGAAAAGCTGTTTCGTTTTAGTATGGGACTCCCCAGCAATATGCACACTCAATCTGACCCAACTTATGACCTCTAGGTTTCCCAGCAAATGCGTTAACCATTTACCCACTGGGTCAGAGTTCGCGCTAAATCGCGATTCGACAGAAGCAAGATACTGTAGACCACTGAACTCCGACCCGGTGGCTGAATGCTAAACGCGTTCGTAGTGAAACCTGGAGGTTCGGAGTTTGGTCCGTGGTGAGGTCGTGAGTGCGTATTGCTGGGTAGTCCGATACTAGGACGAAACAGCTATCCAGTACCCGCGGATTTTCAATGGCTCTCCAACCTATCAGTTCGTGATGAATACCACCTCAATCTAATTATTATGATAAGAAAACGTGAAGCTTAAAAAACAATGTTGCTCATTTATGTGAATCACACACACACACACACACACACACACAAAAATAATTTCAACTAGATGAAAAATACCCCATGAGAATAAGGTGGGACCAACTATCGTTATGGATAAATGACATGCAGACTACTATCGACGCAGACAGACACTCAGATAGATAGATAGATAGATATATAGACAAACAACAGATACACGTATGGACTAGTAAACACTGTTCAGTAAGTAGGCTCGTGCGCACTCATTGATGTTCATTACCCAATTCTGGTTGGCTGGTTCGCTAGCAGACTAGAGAACCCCAGTTGTCCATCAATCTTTCCACAAAGAAAAACAAGTTATGGTATGGAGAGGACTGTATGTTCTAGCTATATATTATGAGAACTGTATAGATGATAGGGAGGAAGGAAGGAAAATATAAGTGAGATATGAATAGACTGGGAAATAATCATAACAATAACAACAGCAAGTCAACAGAGAACTAATCGATACTCTCGTACTCAACTGATATGATGTTTAAACAGATACATGTAAATTATAAAGTCAGCAGCTTTTAGTAGGTTGATTTCAGTTATTCATCATATTCTTGGGGCTCACATTACTTTATTACTATTTGTTTATATACTTGTAATTCTACGTTGTTATACTGGATCGAATTGTTCGACATCTGTTGGCATATGCGCTCCTATAAGGATGCCTCGATATTGCCCGAGTATGTATTATGACGATACACCTGGTTCGAGTTTCAGTAGGAACATCACACACTGCGGTGCAGGTACATCTAGCAGACGAGTCACAGATAGGACAAAACGAGCGTCCTGCATTCCTATGCTACCCACAATGAAAGTAAGTCATCATAATAGATACATAGCTTTATATTTTAACATCCTTGAACCTTTAATAATGGTAATAATACTGACTGGCATGAGCGGTTCTAGACCACTCACACCGATCGGCACTAGTCGCCAGGGAGATCAAAAAAGGTGAACCAGTTAAGGTATCCTAATGATCGGGCTAAGTCTTAAACACGCGAAATGACTACCTGGTGTTTAGATCATTCTGATCTGCTCATCCGTGTGATTCAGAACTAATTTTGGCAGAGAGTAATAAACTTTGTTCAGATTTCATCCTCTCCATATTGACGCCAATTATGGTGTCACACAGATTACATTATGTAACCTGAATATTCTGGATCACAGAGGAAACCACGGTGAGATTTCTCCTTAGGGACTGTGTATTTTTCAAACACCTGACTTAGTCCTTAAATAGAAATCTGCTATGACGACTCATTGAAGCGAGATAAAGAACAAGGAAACAAACTACATTACAAGGATCACCTGTTGAATGGAAACTTGTTATACACTCTGCAAGTCTCTCAACTTCAAGTTGAGGATTTCTGACAACTCTATGATTTCAACCACCAGCGTCCAGGTAGCAACTACAGATATTCAGTACAACGAAAAAGAATTCTAACGTCTTCCAGTTTATATTCCGTCATGATAGAAACAATGATTCACTTCGCTTAGTTAGATGCGATTGCCAGGAATGCCACCGTAGCCTGGCTTTCGTGTTTCTTGACACCAGCCAGAAAGGCATATCTGCAACCTACAAACAATTCATGTTCCAAGTATACATATATAAACCCGCACAGTATAATACACGGCCAGAAAGCCAGAGAAAGAAGGAGGGTTCACCGCAGGGCTCGCAACCCTACCCCGTAAAAACCAATCCAATCACTAAACAAACCAGCAGAAATTAAAGAAAATATACAATACAAAACTTATAGCCTCGAATCGATCGCGAATACAAAACAACGCCGGTTACTTAAAGCCTTCAGGAAACCAGTCGGCCAATGTGTCTCCTCTCGATGAAAGCAAAAGTAAACATGGGGACATGGAATGTCCACACCATGTCAGCACCAACCTAGCAAGGCTTCCCAGATAGTCAAGGAGATGAGCAGGTATGGCATGGAAGTGCTAGGCTAGGAATCTGCAAAAGTAGATGGAATGGAAGTGAACTCTCCAAACTGTCAACTGGAGAAGAGTCAATAATCTACTCCGTCCCACATATTGTCACCCAGACAACAACCACGACGACACTCACACTGAGTTCTCCAGTGGCTATCATGATGTCCCCTTCAACAGCATCGAAGGCTCACTCTCATACAGTGCGAACCAATCTCCTCCTGCAGGATTGGGATCATCACAGCAACATTCAAATCAAAAGGAAGGAAAGTCACAATCATATGATGCTACGCTATGCACCTACAAATAGTGCAGATGAAGATAAGAAGGAGGAAGAATTCTACAGACAACTGTAATCACTATTGGAAAAGACTCCATCTCAGTTGGCGACATCAAAATTCTAGTGGGTGGGGTGACATGAATGCCAAACTGGGAGCGGACAAGACAGGAAGAGAACCAATCATGGTTGAGAAGCACTCGGTGAAATGATGAACGAGGATGGAGAACTGTTTGCAAACTCCCGCGCATTTAATGATTTGGTGATTGGAGGTGAGGCAGTGTGTACAAACACAAGGATATTCACAAAGCGAGTGACATGGATTCGATTTCACCAGATGGACACACTAAACTAAAAACCAGATCGACTTCATCTCAATGTGAAGAAAGTGGAGACGCAGCCAGCCTACTACTGGACACAAGATCAGATCAAGATGGGGAGCAGATGTAGGTTCACACCACTCACTATCTAGTGCAAGCAACCCACCTTCAAAATCAAGTTGGAAGCCTTCACAGAAGTTGGTGATAGACGACCACAGTTGAAGTTCAACACGGAGAACAGAAACTGGAGGACGAAACTACAAGCGACATCTTCGCATCAGCCAGCCAGTCAGTCATCAGGACAAAATGGGCGACATTAAACAACATTCCCGAGGAAACCTGCACAAGCATGTCAGGAAGGAAGAAGAAGAAGAGGCGAGACAAGGAATGAAATGGATCTCGACGGACACATGGAAACTGATAGAGAAGCGAGAGGAAGATGGTGAAGCAGAAGATGAACCAGTGCAGTGCAGTGCAGTGCAGTGCAGTGCAGTGCGGTGCAGGGATGAACAACGAAAAGAAGAACTGAGTACAACCTGTAAAACACTATACTGGACAAAGAAGAGTGTGTGCGGAAAGACAAAAAGACACTTCTACGACACACTTGCAAGTCAACCGGAACAGGATGCCGGCTGGTAGGAGAGACCTGACAACACCATATCAAATAACCAGGTTACTATCGATCTGGGAAGAGATCAACGCGGACGAAACCAATGAAAGATCGTGAAGGAAAGCGAGTTACCAAAGAGGAGGAACAAGAGAAACGACAAACTGATCACTTCCATAAACTCTTCAATCGACCACCAACACCACCTACAACTCGTCCAGAAATACCACCAGCAACCCAGTCACACAACTACAAGTGAACACAAGCCCTCCGACAAAAGCAGAAGTGAAGTCCTCAACGCCATAAAGTTGCTGAAATCCGGGAAAGCAGCACGACCAGATGGAATTCCTCCACATGCACTGAAAACAGACACAGAGACAACAGCGGACATGCTCACACCACTACTGCAAAGCATTTGGAAGGAAGGCAGGAAAGGTACCTGCCAATTGATTAGAAGAAGGGCTACCTTGTCAAAATCCCAAACAAGGGCGACCTAAGCCTTTGCAAGAACTGGCGAGGAATCATGGTACTGTCCACCCAATGCAAGCAAAATATTATGCCACATCATCTTAAAGAGACTAAACAATGCGCTGGATTCAAAATTACGATCGGAACAGGCTGGTTGGTTTCAGGAAGAACAAATCATGTGCAGATCAAACTGCAACGCAAAGCATCATCTTAGAACAGAGCAAAGAATGGCAGTCAACTCTCTCTCTACCTCGACTTTATCAACTTTGAAAAGGCCTTCGACAGCGTCGACCGAGAAGTAATTCGGCAGTTGCTTCAACACTACGGAGTGCCACAAATCTTAATCAACCTCATTCAACAGGTAAATGCTTTCTGATGCTACATGCCAAGTGATCCACAATGGAAAGCTCAGTGACGCCTTTGAAGTGAAGTGAAGACAGGAGTAAGACAAGGCTGCCGCCTACTATCACCCATAATCTTCCTCATTGTGGTCGACTCGACTGGATCATGCAGCAAACCGTGAGGAGCGAGAAGATGGGCATACGCTATTTGACCGATGCGAAGACCCTAGAAGATTTGGATTTCGCCGATGCTGATTTATGTTCAATGTCGCACAAAGTCGAAGATCTCAACAGGCGAAAAGTAGCAAGTTGACAGAAGAGGTAGGGCAGTGACAACGGGACTTCAAGTGAATGTAGAGAAGACGGAGATGATGAAGATACCCAACGAACAACAGCATGAACAACAAGCACCAAACACCATCAACAGAAGAAACCAAAAGAAAGTTATCTCTTTCACCTATCTAGGCAGCAGCATTGTTTCAACTACAGGCGGCGGCACAGACGAAGATGTCAAAACCAGGACCGGAAAGACAGTAAGACAGACTCTCACTAATCTGAAATCAGTGTGGAAATCTACTGCACTCAGCATAAAACGTGAACAACATCCGGATTTTCAACACCAACATCAAGTCAGTGATTCTATATGGTTCAGAAACTAGGCGTGTCACGAAAAGGCATTTCCAACAAACTACAGACATTCATCAACAGCTGCTGCCCACGCTAGCTCACTCGATATTGAAGATCAGATGGCCAGAAAGAATGAGCGACAAGGAACTCTGGCCTGGCAACGAACCAACCAAGAACCTATCACGCAACAAATATGCACTGGAAGGAAGTGGAGATGAATTGGGCATACACTGACAAAACCATTCGGAGACATCACGCGCCAGGTCCTCGAGTGGAATCCAAAGGGAGAATGGGGAGTTGGGCGTCCGAGGCGAGGATGGCATAGAGGAGGAGATCATGTGAGGAAGAAATGAAAGGTGATGGGCAGATGTGGAGCCAGATTCAAAAGACTGCAGAGAAGAGAGTGTAGTGGAGGCGTGCTATTGAAGCCCTATGTTCTACGAGGAAGCCAAAGGACAAATAATAAATAATAATATGACACTAACTGACAGCCCACACTTCAGCAAGGTGAATGAGATTCAAACTCGTGGTGAGCTGGTTGAACAGCGCATAAGCGGTTTTCAACATATATCCACTTAACCACTGCACAGTCTTCTAAAGCTTCATGACAACACCGAGACTAGTATGTTCACGACGAACAGCAATGAAATCTCTCAGGATCGATAAGATGAATTGCACTAACTAATTGTGTTAGTCAGATGAGATCGAAATCAAAATGGAACCAGCAGCCTTGTGCACATTCGTGCAATAGGTAAACAAGTACACCGATTGTGTGAGGACTACTTATACTATCTGACTGCTCAAACCTCGTTGGGTGAAGCTGGTTTAGTACGCGTAACCAGCGGTAAGAAAGCAAATATCTGGAAAAGTAAGCAATATGGTAGTCGGGCTTACATATCACAATAATCCAACGAGTTATGCTGAGGAGAAAACTTATTGCCTTGAGCCCCTACTATACCATTAAGGTCAGTTGGATAGTGATAAGATAAAAGGTTACCGTATCCTTGGGATCTATAGTGACACGTCATTATTACTAACCCAACTTTTTTCACGTACCTAAGTCAAGAAATAGCCTTCTACGACGTGGATACCCAAGTGTCAATCCCCCTCACAACTTTGTCAACACTTAATTCCCCACATATACAAGTTCGGTTGCCGCGTCACAGTAGCAACTATCCGTTCAATCCCTTGCACATATCAGTAAATTCCAAAAAAATTTCCAGTTTGGACGGTTATGTGGGATTTATTGATTTGAAGGTGGCATTCAACACAGACTGATACTTGCTGGAGAACCATTGAAAGTCTGGGAGCACTGGATAGTTGTTTCGCGCTAGTATGGAACTACTCAGCAGTGCACACTCATGATCCCAGTGCACTAGGGATCAAACCCAGCAGCTTCAGGCTTCGTGGTGAGGACGTCATCGTTAAGCCACTGGGTCTGAATCCAATAATTGGCTATTTTCCTACTCCTTTCACTTCGCAATATAGCGCGATCCTCTTCCAGTGCTACGGGATTTCAACCCAGTAGCCTAATTCCAACACGCTTGCCATGAAACCTAAAGGTCCTGGGTTCGACCTCTGGAGGGGTCATGGGCGCACATTGCTGGGTCCCGTGCTAGGACGAAACAGTTGTCCAGTACTCCCAGGCAAATAATAATCCTTCAAATGACATCAGTTGGTAATGAACATCACGATTTCAAACTGAATGCGGCAAACAGGTTGGTGATATACAAGGCACAAACACACTCCCAACACATACGCATACATTTTTCACAGTAATGGAATTTACTTGGTGGTTTTGTAATAAATCTGATCGATGCAGAATTATTCCATCTTCGATTTGGATCCACTTTCGAAGCAGGATAAATTCTCATTGTATACACAGTTTCTGGTTGAAGGTCAGCAAGTAGGATAGCTGACTTCGTAGTATTCAGGATAAGATGACTGGAATAGATAAGCAATAGATAAATAAATAGGTTAATCCTGAGGGAGTTGCGGGGATTTGGAAATATTTCAAATTGTTATTCATCGTAGACTGACATCAGTTGGAGGAACAACGCAACTGCTGCTCATTGGTGACTAGCTTCGACAGGTATTCTCGAAGTTCCAATGAGAAGTCGTGACCGTAGGGGCAAAGCCTGATGGTCGTGAGGACAGCTACTCAACGATGACATTGGGTGGCGGTTGTGCTATATCGTGAGCTAACAGAAGTTGGAAATATGGACCATTAGATTCTGACCCAGTGGCTAGCTCAATGGTAACGTGCTGGCCATGGAACCTGAAGGTCGCGGGTTCGATCCCTAGAGGGGTCTTGGGTGCGCACTGCTGAGGAGTCCCATACTAGGGCGAAACAGCTGCCCAGTGCTCCCAGGTTTCCTTTGTTCCTCCAACTGATGTCAGTCTACGATGAATAACAACTTGAAATAGGTTAATCTTGAAAAATTAAACTGAAGAGAACATTACAAGCACAAGTGAATATATATTAAATGAACAACATGTGATTAGCTTTAGTACTGCAGAGATGCGAAACGACTGAAGACTGATGAAGTCGCCTAGGAATGTTACGAAATGTTCAGGAACAAACCTCGAAGCTGAGAGAATATCAAAAAGGTCATCGGTTGTCTAAAAGCGAGATGTAAAACTGGCAGATCGATGCCTTGTCCGAACAAGTCACGAAAATTCCACGAATAATAATCATAATGATAATAGAGAACTTATGTAAACTGATTTGTTTGGAGTGGAGCTATAAAGCATGATCAAAAATGGCTGAAACAAAAATTAGTGCTTTGAGTGACTGGCCAGTCACGTACAGTTTTATAAGCTTTATTATTTAAAATATCTTCTGTTGCCGTAAAAAATTACTTAGTGAACAGATTGGTGTTATAGTAGACTAAATAGAATTAGTTAGTCATTTCCTATGCTGTCACAATTATATATATGAGAGAAAAGTATTTTCTTATGGCGTGTATAGCTCGCTATAAACATGAGCTATGAAGTTAAACAGGTTGAGTTCGAAGATAAATATCAATCAATGGCATTCTACAAGAATCATGTTTGATTGTAAATTGACAGAAATAGGTAAATGTGAGCAATCGGATCCCTACCCAGTGGCTGACTGGTAGGGTGCTCATCGTGAGGATTAATGGCTCTAAGCTCAACCTGTCGTGGGGCCATGAAGGTACACTGCTGAAGACAAAACGGCTATTCAGTCCAATTAAAACTTCAGTGATTCTACAAATGATGTAAATCAGCGATGAAAAAGTCGAGAGAGAGTCGACATGCACTAAGCAAGTGCATGCATGCTCGTGGAACAGGTAACGAGTCACATCTATTGCGTGAGAGTATTTAATACTCCCTGGCTGCCCAGACCTAGGTAGGTGGAACGGTGTTAGGACCGTGACTCACTGGTTAGAAGTCAAGTACTAAAACGTATAAGCCATAGTTTCACAAAAATTAGTGATGAAAACTACTTTAAAATAAATCAATCTTTAACAAGATCCAACCAGATGCTGAACTAGAATTACTTCTTACTATTTAGAAAACTTTAGTACTTTTCGGTGACAGCGTGAGTCTTTTTTCGCAACTGATTGATGGAGAGTGAGTGAAATTAACTTTTAACTTCAGTAGCCTGACAACAGTGTATACACTGTTACAAAAGAATAAAAATTATTATACTCAAACCTCTCCCCGATAATCTCAAAACCCTATCTTGAACCATCTGGTTGCAAATCAAACCCGCTTTTAAGAAATTTAACTCGTTTATAGAGTTTGTCTATCACACAGTGAAACAGTATTTACCGGGGAATGCTTCAAACACAATTCACTGATCCAAATCGCAGGATAACTTTCCAGATATCGAAATATGCTTTGAAATCGTTCAACTGTGTCCTAAACTGTCTTCAAGGTGATAATACTATTTCACCTCAAGATTCATCAAAGCTTTACTTTTGAAAATCATTGGTTATAAGTTCACATGCGATGAAAATAAAATCATGAAAACAATTAGGAAACCAGAGATGTGAAGTAATAAGGAGAGAGGGAGAGAGAGTAATGGACAATCACATTCAAGATGCCAGATGGGTAATTCTTCCAGTCAAAATACAATTTCGAATTACAGTTTGACAGTGGAAGTAACCAATCACTTAGCTACATGACGTAAATTACAGTGTTTTACCTATAAGAATCACTTAGCCAACAGAAATTTCAGTACACTAAAAACTCAATAAAAAGAGTGATAAGTATGTCTGTGCCCTGATGAATTAGTTAATTGGTTATTCTACTCACCCAGGAGAGCGGTCTGATTCTATCCGTATTAAATACATCAATGAATTTGATGATAATGATGACCATTGAGGTTCATCCCACATCAAATAGGCATGCGTATCGCTAACATTCAACGCCCTCACGTTTGCTGGTATCATCATCAACATATTACTGTCACGACTACTGTCAATTCCATCTATAAAGAAATTTTAAGTAAGCAGAGTATAAACAAATACAATGGTTAAAATTTAGATGAACTACAATCAAGATTTGACTGAATAGTATCGCAAATATTGGACGTTGAGTAAAAGGTTGACATAAGTTGTGGTTTAGAGCTCAATAAGTCACATTGTGCTTGGAATAAAATAATCTCAACGTTTTGCATGGAAGTTCTTCACGGAAATAATCAAAACTATATGTATCAACGATATGTAGGAATTATGAATCCAAAGACGTGTATTTAATCTCCCTGTCTCATCCACTACCCATAGTCATTATTCTTCTAAAATATGATTACTGATCATTCATTGCGGAATTGTATATTCCTTATTGTGTTTTTGAGATGAATAGGGATTTTTAATTTAGAAGTAGTATTCATCATGGACTGACATCAGTTGGGGAACCACTGAAAATCTAGGAGCACTGGACAGCTGTTTCGTCATAGTATGGGACTCCTCAGCAGTAGGCGCCCACGACCCGGCTAGGGGTCGAACTCACAACCTTCAGGTTTCACGGCAAACGCGTTAATCATTCAGCCACTGGGTCGGTTTCCAGTGGTTCACAATTTCCAACTTCTGTCAATTCACGACATAGCGCGACTGTCACCCAAGGTCTTCAGTTAGAATCCACTTCACTTCCAACTGGTTGACCCCACAGGTCACAGAAGTTGGAAATTGTGAACCACTGAAAACCGACCCAGTGGCTGAATGGCTAACGCGTTCGCCGTGAAACCTGAAGGTCCTGAGTTCGACCCCCAGTCGGGTCGTAGGTGCGTACTGCTGAGGAGTCCCATACTAGGATGAAACAGCTGTCTAGTGCTCCCATATTCCTTATTGTTTGGTGTGAGTGTGTGTGTATGTATATACTGATAGTTATATTCTCCTTGATTGTGAATACGACACAAGGTCACAGGTGACATAATAATCATTTGGTAATTATATAAGTACAATATGCCAAATGAGGTGGATGTGTGTCATTTCGGTTGATATACACAAATAAAAAGTATTTTAACGAACTGTTCCATGATTTGTCGGAATTGCATAAATGAATGGTAGTCTTGACGGTGATAACAAGAACAATAATGAGTCGAATCAATCCAAACTATGTGTTGTTCCTGATCTAGAGATAATGATTTTGAGACTGGTGTTGAAGATAAATCCTAGAGTCAAATTAGTAACCGCCAACAGGTACTTAACAATACTCCAACTAGTTTATTCAAATTATCTGGACTTGCTCATATATGTAGAGCATCAGACGTCAATTATTCTTGTTATGACTCAAAACCTTTTAGTAGAACCTTGGTTGTCATAGTCACCTTTGTGGTCCATTTCTATGGAGTGCAACACAACTGCTGATTTGTGTTTTAGCTCCTCAACTTCTGCTGAGGTTTTCAGAATATGTATTTTAGACACAGCCTATGCTCCCTCACACCTACGTCTACAAATATGGTAAATATCGGCCACTGGCAGGCGTGCCTATGTTGCAGAACCTGTTGTAGTGTGAAAATATGACCGGTGCGTCTTCAGCCAGGCCTAAAACTTGCCTAGTTCTCTCGAGTTTGATGTTCTCGAGCTTCAGTTAGGCATCCGATAACTATGGTCTCTAGGATCTTGGACACAGTATAAGTCAAACTAATTTCTTTATGGTTGTCACGAGAAAAAGCTTTTATCAGTGATACAATACCATATGGTCGCTGAACCAGTAAAATTTGAATAATTACATTGCTCATATCACCTCCAACTGTGTTTATGAATTCGCATGCACCTGCGGTAGCAATTTTCACACAACACTGGCGACCTGTTTGAACTTTGGGTTAGCAAAAATTTTCCGCAAAAAATTGGTGCACAAAATTCTTCCTTTTCTTTTGGTTTCAATCTAATATATAACACGCTTAAAATTCAAGTGTTCCGAAAAGGGTGTTTGGAATAAAGCGATTATTATTATTATTATTATTATTATTATTATTATTATTATTATTATTATTATTATTATTATTATTATTATTATTATGCGGTGAAATACGCAACCTTATTGTTATTGGGAAGACCCATACGCCTAGACAAACACGAGTTGATCACAAATAGGTAACTGATTTAGTTACCCACTCTTTGCTAGCCGAACTGTATTGGTCAGGTTTGCAATGAGGTTACTAGGCTAAGTGACGCTGCATTGTGACTCAACCACTCTTCTTTGTTTGATGTTGATTGCTGAGAGTTGATTGGTAGAAAGTTGCTTTAATCACAAGAAAAGTGGAGTTCGGCAACCTACTGATGACTAATTTGTATGTACCATCCATCAGTTGTCAGCTGGCTACATTAATAATAAAGTCTAAGACTTTAGAGCTAAGTGATGAGCTTTTGAATCTACACGAAAAACACCAGTTTCTTTCCGGTTGTACAGTAATCCCACCAATTGTAACTCGAAACAGCTAATACACTAAAACAAGCGCTGACCGTGAATAAGTCACCATTTTCAACTTATTTAAACGCTAACAATTCCATCCTTTTGATTTCATTCAATTCACTTAACCCCATAAATACACTAGAATCACCACCTAGTCTTAACTCCTACTCTTGTATATATACACAGATATACACAAACAAGATAGTTACCGTGACGACAGAGTTAAATCTACAAAACAATGCATAACAAAAAGAAATTAAACATACCATTCACATAGTCGTTCGAATTCCCTTGCATTACGTGCAGATGAATTGAATGCTGAATAGAACCAAATCTGTAATTTCGAAAATAATAACGTAAGAAGTAAATTCAGTAAAGTAGAGAAAAACAGGTAACTCAGAAAATAAACAGACAGACACACAAGATAGAGACCATATCCATTGAAGGAGGACTGAGAAAACTTACGTAGGTGAAGCAGAATTAAGCTGGATAATGCATTTGGTTAGAATTTCAGCCTACAATTCAACCAATCATAGATTCACACCTTATAAAAGTAGTACTAAGGATATGCACTGATATCTACCGAACCAACTCAACACTTTTCATGCACACTGAAGAGGTTGTACTTGATGCTTAGATGGTAGAAAGCAGCCGACAAGAAGAGTTCAAGATTGGTCACTGGATAGCAACAAATTTCATGTTATCCATTCCTGAGTGCTAACCGAATTCTATCGATCAGGTTGGTATTGTAACCACTAAACTGGGCGGCTCGTCACCGTGGTGCACTTTTGATAGATGTTAGCTAGTTGGAGGTGACTGGCAGGAAGCTCCGCTCCATCAAGGTTTTGCGAATATTGCCACTAGTCAGGAAGGTGCATTTGTGACCTAAAAACTAGATAAGCCTCACTGATATTTGGAGAAAAGTATGAGAACTGGATCAGACGGGGCTTATTGCAGACTAGTACCTAACACCCTACATTGAAATACATTGCATCACTAACTTGTGTAAAGCAGCTTAGTAACGACACTAAATGCTTGACCAATACACTTCGATAAACAATTATAAGTTTAGAAGACACGTAAGTTACCATCAGGTGATCAATACCAGTCTAACTAACAAACACATGTACATACCACTGTCCAGACTTCAAAAGTAGTTAATAATCTATGTCCCACAATCATTGAGTGAACAAGACTCATATCAAGTCACCTTGATAGCACTATACACTTGATCAAGAATATTGATGAAAAATATTTCAACAAAATAGGCCAGACAAAATTTATAATGGAACCGAATAACTATTCTATAAAATTCATTGTGTTAAGAATGCCTAGAGTTATTGTGTACCCCGAAATTCAGTGTTAACTAAAGTACGTTTTCAGACTGCGAAAAGATCAAAAACAGTCAGAGTAAAACATGACATCACTTCATAAAGTCTACATCTGAACCATGTGTGGAAATGCAGACTCTTCGATTCGGGTTCACGTGACACCTGAAATAGCTGATCGAAGACTGCAGATCATATATCTCAAAATCGATCCGAATGGAGCAGACACACCGAAAAGTTATCTATATTCTAATCACTATATCAAATTTAATTATGTTTCATCCTTTCTTGCTTTCATGTTACAGCTTTCTACTCACTTTCAGTTACTTTCTAGATTATCTCCCTGTCTTTTTCTATCTTGCAGACTTCTACTGACTGACTGAACTCAAAATAAACTGGAAACAATTCTGTATCAAATGTGCTTCGGGGAGTGAAAAAACTACCATATTACTATTATTACCATAGCAATTCAGCCTCAACTTACAGGAAAATGTTTCTAATAGAGCTACTTACAAACCCGTAAGCATAATATTACCAACAATGCCCGATTTCTTACACTAAGAAAATATCTATCTGAAATTTGCTCCATCAACATTATTATGGGACTTAATATTACTCCATAACGATGATCCAAGTTGCCGTAAGAAGTGATAGAATAAAAACAAGAGGGGATAACGAGGTGTGATATAGCGGTTTAAATAAAAATAGAAAGTGATATCATCTTTTTCAACAGAATGAATTCAGAGTGACAACTTATAGTCTGCAACTATTACAGTTTCAGTTGTCTCATGGGTCCCGATCCAGAAGCTTACATCTTTTTCTTTCTATTTGCACAGGTCACAAACTGACATTCAGACTTTATGAAATAACATAGCCCTTTAGTCTGACCACTTTTAGCCTTTTTGTAGGCTAACTTCATCTCAGTCAACATTACGCACTGCGATAAACGGTGACAAAGGGGTGTAGGCAAGACACCCTCTAGAATGTGTGTGTGTGTGTGTGACTGGTAAGAAGTGGAGTTATGTTAAAATGTATATATATATTCAGCTTGACGTTCACGCTTTCATATTGAGCTGAATAAATGCGACTACCTTTGGAAGACATTATTGCTGAGCCTAAGGTTACACATTATCAACAAGATGATTCACCAACCAGCACCCCAACTTTATTCACAATAAAAATACATCAAGATGATACCATCTACGTTAGCGTGGAAAGTCCAGAAAAGATACTATACGTATATGCCACTCCAATATAAGTTTGAGATGTGAAACTACCTCTCTGCCGAAACCATATAGGTAAAGAACGATTGGCGACCACGTAATTGAACCGTCTTTTCCACGTAGTCACGGATGACACTTTAACGTTACCTCTAACCTAGTTAAATGTGGTCGGCAAAAGAAGCGATTGAACGGTATTTCAACTCCTTTCGACTGAACAATCACAATTATAAACCAGGAAGTACATATTCCAACTCAATGCTTAAACACTTAAAATAAATAAACAGTAAAATGAAGAACCTTTCAGTAGAGTCTAAGGCTCAAAAATGACTCATTGACCAATGTCTGTCCCCACCTAATTATATTGAACTTAAGTATAGTGGCTTTATCCCACACTATTGTGTGTTAATGCATACATTGCAATAGCCGAAATTTTTTCTAGATTACTGATCTTATTTGGGTCTGTCATTCTATATTTAACTAAATTCCTATGTTCGGCTATTTTAGCTGACCGCGACCGTCTGCGAAACGCATCCTAAAACTATTCAGACTTTTGCTCAACCCGTTCACTTCAGAACACGCTGCATTTTTTTCAGTGTCTCCATTTAGCATAACACGACAATATCGTCTGCGTCTTCCAGATGCGCTCTCCAAGGAGTATATCAATCCCCGGGACGAAGTCAGATACACCTGAAGTTATGTCCATTATTACGTCTATAACGAAGTTGAATGGGAATAGTGACGATCAGCATCCCTGGCGTACACTACTAATTGTCGTCGGTTCAGGTGGCAACTCTCAATGCGGCTGCGTGAGTTCCAGTAGAGACCTTAGATTAGCGCTTTGTAGTTATCCAGCAATCCCTTCATGGTCGAACACTGCCACAACATCTCACGGTAGACTGGGTCAAATGCCGCCTTCAGGTAAACAAATATGGCGAGTATCGGTTGCCATTAAGATATATATATATATATATATATATATATATATATATATATATATATAACGTTTAACGACGGGGAAGAACAGACAGTCAGTCTCTAAATAGTCTCCGAACGTCCAATGAACTACAAGCAAATAAATTACACTCATGTACCTGATTGAGACTAAAGGAGAAAAATGCATTGACAACATTCACAAGATGAACGCTGAAAAGAAAGTTCAGCTAGGAAGAAAAATGAAATTACCTGTTCTCTGCTAAACACTGAAAATAACCTGAGTCATTTGGCAGTATTCTTTGTATACTTAACTGTGTGACCATAACCATCATTAGTTGTTGTTCTGGTTCTTGTTGGTGTATAAATTGACCGAATTGTGCATAATTGTTGATTATCCGAAAGTATTCGCTATCCTGGATTATTTCACCATTTTTACGCCATTGTACAACGGTTGGATAATTCGTTTCAAAGCTACACCATAATACTTGTTCAAACTGTGTGCGCGTGTGTATGTTAAAATAGATTAGAAAAGAAAAACTAAATGATTTGCCCATAGATTGGTGTTGTGATGCCCCAGTTTTGGATAAAACAATGTTATCGATCTGAACATTTTAAAGTGTCATTCTCACACCATTTTTACGATATGACTAATAGTCTATTTTCTGCCCACATTGTAATGTAAATTGCTAATTGGTTAATCTTTACTCTTAACTATGCAAATGCCTCAAATTGAGGACAAGGTCATTTTTCATGTGTATACTTATTCACGTGTTTCGGATTGATTCATTATTAAAATCTCACAGTAATACACTCTCCCATCTGTCAGCTTCGGTCTTCTCTCTATTCGTCCCGGGGTTGCAGTCAGTGACTGTTACGTACTAAGCTAGCTGTCAGCCAGGCGCGCGTATTGTTTTCTTTTCGTAATATATACATATACCATTAGCGGTTCGAAAACATCACAATTGGTAATCTGTGGATATGTACGTAACAGAAACTACCACTACCGACTGATATGAATATTGGGAAACAAAACTTAAACTAATTCCTGACCCCTTACTGAAAATATCGAGAATTGTAATATTTCAAACACCTAAAGATGTCCGCCGTGTTATCCGATTGTCGATTAGGAGTCGGGTGTACTGTACAGGAGTCCGCTCTGTTCTACCATCTGACTGCGAAACATGGCCACTGAAGTTGCAAGACATGGGAAAGTTTCAGGTGTTTGACCACCGTTGCTTTCGTAGTATAGGCCGTATTCCATGATGTCACCACGTGAGTAACGCGGACATAGAGTTTTGAGGAGAAGAGGTAAGTCAGTTGACGAGGTTGTGAACCTTCATCGACTGAGATGGTTGCGACATGTGTTACGTATGCCTAGTCGCCGTCTGTTTCGCCACACAATGCTGGTCGAAGTAGGTTCAGGTTGGAAAAAGGCTCTTGACTCGAGGCAGTCAGACTAAAACATGGCATCGATGTATGAAGTGTTTGACTGTTTGTTTGAGCCATGTGGGGAGATGCAGGTTGGGTGGTTGGGGTTCGCAGGACAAGGGGAACCGGTGGTTGGAGATTCTAGACGATATGGCTCCGAACCGATGTCAGTGGCACAGATACGTATACACACATTATCCTCATCTTAACGCTATACCGAATCTCACCATTTTCTCATTCTTCCTTTCCCTCTTTAAGCACTTTATATTTCTTTTATCTGAATCTCATTTTCTTTATCTTCCACTTACACTGCCTTTTTACTTGATGTACTGATATGAGCTGTGTCAACTCGGACCGCTACGCAGTAATGCCTGGTCCTATGTTGATGATGATTATAAATAAAAATCAACAACCTGAACAACGGGGAATATTCTTTTCAATAAATTCTCTCACCAGGTTCTATTACTATAAGATGTATTTGTATAGCGTTAAATAAAGCCATCTTAGGGGTAAGTACATTTTCAAAATGGTGTCGGATTTAGGGAATGTTAATATTAGGATGACATTTACATGCATGAATAATGTAATGGTAAACGGAAATACAACGAATAATGAAGCCAGGAGCGACCTTCAAGTTATTGATGGAATAAAGTTTGAATATGATCTTTCTTAATGCACAGTCAAGGTTTGATCAATCTTACTGCAAACTCCTCATCTCCACAGAACAGGCGTTGGCGAGCTGCACGTGGTATTGTTTTTGAAATACGATGTTTGACATTTAAAGCTTTGTTAGCATCTATGTGATTTCCTGTGTCAACCAGGTGCGCTAGAAAGAAACTTTTCGCCACTTTAAATTTGCCGTTTCTGAAACATTGTAAAATCTCTCCTGTCCGGAAACGCACCTGTCCAATTATACGACCTACGTAACTGGTTCCACAGGAACAGTTAAATTGATATATCTGAGATAAGGATTTAAAATTAAGTAGGTTATCCTTTAGTTTCGGGTTGAGCATTGGCCCACTGCAGAAATATATACACAGCCGACCTGCATAAAACATCCGATTAAATGCTAAAATACTTTGATACATATCAATAGGAATGTTAACAGCTGAACTTAGAACTAAATCGTTGACTTTTGATCTTGTTTTCGACATACGACCTGCTACCACAAACACTACACATACAAACTGATGCTACTCCACTATGCACTATAACTTTGTCTAGTCAAACAACAGATGGGTCTCGCGGCCCAGTTGTTACAGCACCGGATGACATTGATTCGAGGTCTATCACAACCTACGTTCTAATTTCACCTTCAATCAACATGCAGTATAAATCAAACAACTTCACACTGCTTACCGTAAGATTAAACCGTACAACTTACATGAAGTTTCACTTGTATGTCAGTTAATGACGCATTCAACAAGACTGGTGAACTCCCAACAACCAATTTAACGCTTGTCTCATTCAAGACAGTATTCAGTCGAAAATTTATAACTTGACAAGTATACACGCCAGTATCGTTTAGTTGGATATTGTTTATCATGAAACTACCACTTCCAACTTGATGAAAACGACTACAGAAGACAAATAATTAAGTTATAAGTAACTAAATAAATAAATGATGAGGTATATACAACTAACTCTCTTGCACCTATAAACGACTGAAATTTGAAACTGAGTGGCTTTAGCAATACGTTCAATGTTCTCTCACTTACTACTTATACACTGCCATTGTAATGCAACAACTAAGTGAATGTGCCTAAGCAAGGCGATAAGGCACAATTGTTTTGATGTAATCTAGCTGCTAAAACCTCATACTGGTTCAACACTAGTTTTCTCATACTTCAATTCTAATTTTTTTTCTTGTTTCACATTATTTACGGAGTTTTTATGAGCGTTGCTCTCTTAAAAAACTTCTTCCTTGAAATGGAATCTGTTGTAACTCAGACTTGTTTGGATAAAATTACGATTACCACTGTTTCAACACAAACTCAGAACAACATGAGCAGCAAGAAATGTACCACAAAAAAGAAGGGATATCAGAAACGAAAAAAGAGGGGTGAGTAGAGAGTCGGTCTGATAAGATAGGTTTGAAGGAAACTTTCATAGTGTTTGTACTTCTTTTCACAAGTAGAGGACACAAGAAAAGTGCGAAATGATCGCCACTGGTTCGATTCTGAGTCGTACCTGAATTCGTTTTATGAACAGTGAACTCTATGATCCCTTGGAAATCACCCAGGGAGCTGCGATGTCCCAGAAATTTCTAATCAAATTGAATTATTTTTCATTTCACGACTCCATGTCGTACACTAAACACATTTACGCTTCTTCAAATCATTCCTAGGGCTACCAAGTAGTTAATGAAGTGCCAATCACTGGCATAACATAAGTGCCATATGTTCAATCCATGGAAGCCAATATGGGCGGCTATTTTGGATTGATACCATCTAGTTAAGTCATTAAACTAGACGACCAAACAATTTGGAGATGACAGTTAATGCAAACATTCAGTTATGTCAGGATTGCAAAAAGAGTTCGTGACGCAGACCAAGATGTAGGAAGAAACACTGTATATACATATTATTTGACGAATAAACGAGTGATCAAAGAAAAGAACTTAATCTATCAAATACCATGAAATCATTGTGACGTCAAGTTGATAGGTCCAAGCAGCTGATCAGCGTCAATGAGAACAGCAGAGCGCGAAAAATTAGCGAAGCATACAAGGTAGACCATACGATGAGAAAAACTAGCCTATCGCTTTGCACAAACTGGCCTATTAACACACTATGGGATGGGATGACAATTTTGAAATACAGGAATGAGTCATAACATATTGCAGATAACTGGAAGATTTTATCACCATTAAAATGAAACAAGGAAAAGCTGTCGAACTATATGAAAAAGGACGTTTGACAGTCGTATAATTATTTTGATGAGTATGAACAATAAATTCTGATCGAAACGTCGTCATACATTAAATAATACTGTATCACTGTGTGCTATATCAGATCAACAATTTAATAAAGTCTTCTCATCCCCCCCCCCATCATAGAGAGGGGGCATTGTACTGATTATTAATAGGACCACTATTGAAAGTATCCTTACGCGATTCAGGTTTTCATTTCAATTTTATAGTATCACTACAGATCAAAAATACCAATCTGCCAAACTATGGTTAGTTATCTTAGATAACCTCGTAAAATAGTCAGTGAAAGTACTCAAAAGACAAAGACATGCACATGCAAGCAGTGAGAAAGACGACGAAATAATAAGTGAAGAGAACACTAATGCAGACACTAAGAGTAAAACACCATAAATCTCCAACTGAACAAACTCGAATGGATTGGCAAATGACTTGCAAACTGCACGGTCAACGTTTCTCAGAGCTGACGAGTTTTGTAACTATCCAAATGTGGTGTCAAAGGGGCTTCCCTTTAGAAATTCCCAAACACCGAAGATGACAAGGTGTAATTCCTCACATGAACTAATAAAATATACCACTAAACAACATGAGCAGTTAGAAACAACTTAGGTTGGTCTGTAGATTTCGTTAGCCAGATGAGAGTGATCTGAACAATATGGCTCCGTGAGATATAACTATGTGGATACACAGCTGATGAGCTCCACTCCACGTGAACGAAAAGACTTTCTACTGTTTAGATCATTTTGATCTGGTCGGCCAAATCTACAGATCATCGTGAGTGATGTGTAATTGCTGATGATGATGTTATATATTTCAGTAGTAAGATGACTGGCCAATTACACTAACCACAGCTATTCATCAGTATTCACAAGATATATAACACATAACCATATGAACAAAATTTTAACGTGTAAGTCAATGAGTCACAGCCCCTTCAATCACGATAAATTTCCACTCGATCCTACTTCATCTGATTTACTCAATGTAGTACAAACCGATATAACATGAAAAGCTGATACACATGTAGACTCCCCACCAACAACCTTCAGAATAAATACTTTAAGGATCATTCGGATTCTCAAAAACAGTAAAAGACAGCAAAAGGTACATTGAAAAATCAAAACAGATACACAATGTAAGGGTACATATCGTATATATGGGTCTTTAGCGGCGTAAATATCTTTTACACTTCTAGAACGACAACTATCGATTGAATCCTGATAACCAAGCTGAAGCTTATACATATATATATATATATAGAGAGAGAGAGAGACAGAGAGAGAGAGAGAGAAAAAAAAGAAAGAAAACAAATGTACATCATGCAACAGATTACCTTTGACTTGCTTGAAAAAATTTATCAGACAAAGTTTCACCATCTTTCGTCCATTGAATACCGTAACCAGTTTTTAATCGACGTAAATCATTAAATTGAAGTGTTTTCAAAGAATTCAAATTACAATCTCCCTGACTGCCAGCATATTGACGAATATTTCCAGCGCATAAAAGTGTTACAGAAGAATTAACTCTACGCCATAATTCATGTTGTCGTGATACGAAAAGGTGACTTTGCAGCTCAGATTGCAGAGTAGTTGAAAGCGAATGAATAAACAAGGACGGTAAATCAATTTGAACCAGTTCATACGGCTGAACAGACCAAACAACTGCATCTGAGGAAAATTAGGATTTTTCATGAAAATTTAGGGGGAACATGAATTTTAGTAAAAACTTTATTCAATTTCAAGGTTTGTGGAGGCCTGCATGCATTTCAAAATGCTATTCACTATCAACCGCTATTAGTCAGTGAACCACTGTAAACAAAGCAGAACACTGACAGCCATTTCGTCACAGTATAGCACACTTCAACATTGCGCGTTCATGACACACACCAGGAATAAAAACCAAAACCTCATGAAGTTTCCCAAGAAAACCACCGTAAAACACTCATTACCTCAAAACTTCCGAGTCCGCATATATCACAAGAGATTACACTAATAATCAACATCCAGTTAATCATCTCCATGCCCGATGACAAACAAACTAGAATGCAGCCCGATGCATAATGACATTTCTAAACCACACAGCATAACCATTTTACACTAAAAAACCGTCACGCATCAGATAAATACTACACCAGTTACTAGCCGATATTAAGCCCGAGTAAAAGGGGAAGGTTGGGCGTACGGGTAGCGACCCTACCCCGTAAAACCAATCCAATCGCTAAAGAAACTTCCAAGCACAAACAAAATATAAAAAATGAAAACAAGCTTATTCCTCGCCGGAATCGGAGAGACAAAATGACACCGGTTGGTGAAAACCTTCGGGAAGCTAGTCGGCCAATGTGTCTCCTCTCGATGAAAGCAAAAGTAAACATGGGGACATGGAATGTCCACACCATGTCAGCACCAACCTAGCAAGGCTTCCCAGATAGTCAAGGAGATGAGCAGGTATGGCATGGAAGTGCTAGGCTAGGAATCTGCAAAAGTAGATGGAATGGAAGTGAACTCTCCAAACTGTCAACTGGAGAAGAGTCAATAATCTACTCCGTCCCACATATTGTCACCCAGACAACAACCACGACGACACTCACACTGAGTTCTCCAGTGGCTATCATGATGTCCCCTTCAACAGCATCGAAGGCTCACTCTCATACAGTGCGAACCAATCTCCTCCTGCAGGATTGGGATCATCACAGCAACATTCAAATCAAAAGGAAGGAAAGTCACAATCATATGATGCTACGCTATGCACCTACAAATAGTGCAGATGAAGATAAGAAGGAGGAAGAATTCTACAGACAACTGTAATCACTATTGGAAAAGACTCCATCTCAGTTGGCGACATCAAAATTCTAGTGGGTGGGGTGACATGAATGCCAAACTGGGAGCGGACAAGACAGGAAGAGAACCAATCATGGTTGAGAAGCACTCGGTGAAATGATGAACGAGGATGGAGAACTGTTTGCAAACTCCCGCGCATTTAATGATTTGGTGATTGGAGGTGAGGCAGTGTGTACAAACACAAGGATATTCACAAAGCGAGTGACATGGATTCGATTTCACCAGATGGACACACTAAACTAAAAACCAGATCGACTTCATCTCAATGTGAAGAAAGTGGAGACGCAGCCAGCCTACTACTGGACACAAGATCAGATCAAGATGGGGAGCAGATGTAGGTTCACACCACTCACTATCTAGTGCAAGCAACCCACCTTCAAAATCAAGTTGGAAGCCTTCACAGAAGTTGGTGATAGACGACCACAGTTGAAGTTCAACACGGAGAACAGAAACTGGAGGACGAAACTACAAGCGACATCTTCGCATCAGCCAGCCAGTCAGTCATCAGGACAAAATGGGCGACATTAAACAACATTCCCGAGGAAACCTGCACAAGCATGTCAGGAAGGAAGAAGAAGAAGAGGCGAGACAAGGAATGAAATGGATCTCGACGGACACATGGAAACTGATAGAGAAGCGAGAGGAAGATGGTGAAGCAGAAGATGAACCAGTGCAGTGCAGTGCAGTGCAGTGCAGTGCAGTGCAGTGCAGTGCAGTGCGGTGCAGGGATGAACAACGAAAAGAAGAACTGAGTACAACCTGTAAAACACTATACTGGACAAAGAAGAGTGTGTGCGGAAAGACAAAAAGACACTTCTACGACACACTTGCAAGTCAACCGGAACAGGATGCCGGCTGGTAGGAGAGACCTGACAACACCATATCAAATAACCAGGTTACTATCGATCTGGGAAGAGATCAACGCGGACGAAACCAATGAAAGATCGTGAAGGAAAGCGAGTTACCAAAGAGGAGGAACAAGAGAAACGACAAACTGATCACTTCCATAAACTCTTCAATCGACCACCAACACCACCTACAACTCGTCCAGAAATACCACCAGCAACCCAGTCACACAACTACAAGTGAACACAAGCCCTCCGACAAAAGCAGAAGTGAAGTCCTCAACGCCATAAAGTTGCTGAAATCCGGGAAAGCAGCACGACCAGATGGAATTCCTCCACATGCACTGAAAACAGACACAGAGACAACAGCGGACATGCTCACACCACTACTGCAAAGCATTTGGAAGGAAGGCAGGAAAGGTACCTGCCAATTGATTAGAAGAAGGGCTACCTTGTCAAAATCCCAAACAAGGGCGACCTAAGCCTTTGCAAGAACTGGCGAGGAATCATGGTACTGTCCACCCAATGCAAGCAAAATATTATGCCACATCATCTTAAAGAGACTAAACAATGCGCTGGATTCAAAATTACGATCGGAACAGGCTGGTTGGTTTCAGGAAGAACAAATCATGTGCAGATCAAACTGCAACGCAAAGCATCATCTTAGAACAGAGCAAAGAATGGCAGTCAACTCTCTCTCTACCTCGACTTTATCAACTTTGAAAAGGCCTTCGACAGCGTCGACCGAGAAGTAATTCGGCAGTTGCTTCAACACTACGGAGTGCCACAAATCTTAATCAACCTCATTCAACAGGTAAATGCTTTCTGATGCTACATGCCAAGTGATCCACAATGGAAAGCTCAGTGACGCCTTTGAAGTGAAGTGAAGACAGGAGTAAGACAAGGCTGCCGCCTACTATCACCCATAATCTTCCTCATTGTGGTCGACTCGACTGGATCATGCAGCAAACCGTGAGGAGCGAGAAGATGGGCATACGCTATTTGACCGATGCGAAGACCCTAGAAGATTTGGATTTCGCCGATGCTGATTTATGTTCAATGTCGCACAAAGTCGAAGATCTCAACAGGCGAAAAGTAGCAAGTTGACAGAAGAGGTAGGGCAGTGACAACGGGACTTCAAGTGAATGTAGAGAAGACGGAGATGATGAAGATACCCAACGAACAACAGCATGAACAACAAGCACCAAACACCATCAACAGAAGAAACCAAAAGAAAGTTATCTCTTTCACCTATCTAGGCAGCAGCATTGTTTCAACTACAGGCGGCGGCACAGACGAAGATGTCAAAACCAGGACCGGAAAGACAGTAAGACAGACTCTCACTAATCTGAAATCAGTGTGGAAATCTACTGCACTCAGCATAAAACGTGAACAACATCCGGATTTTCAACACCAACATCAAGTCAGTGATTCTATATGGTTCAGAAACTAGGCGTGTCACGAAAAGGCATTTCCAACAAACTACAGACATTCATCAACAGCTGCTGCCCACGCTAGCTCACTCGATATTGAAGATCAGATGGCCAGAAAGAATGAGCGACAAGGAACTCTGGCCTGGCAACGAACCAACCAAGAACCTATCACGCAACAAATATGCACTGGAAGGAAGTGGAGATGAATTGGGCATACACTGACAAAACCATTCGGAGACATCACGCGCCAGGTCCTCGAGTGGAATCCAAAGGGAGAATGGGGAGTTGGGCGTCCGAGGCGAGGATGGCATAGAGGAGGAGATCATGTGAGGAAGAAATGAAAGGTGATGGGCAGATGTGGAGCCAGATTCAAAAGACTGCAGAGAAGAGAGTGTAGTGGAGGCGTGCTACTGAAGCCCTATGTTCCACTAGGAACCCAAGGGAGAAATAATAACAATAATACTAGTTTTAGGACACGATGTTATCACATCTTAACACATTAGCTTCTCAAAAATAAATTTCACACGATACAGTTTAATGCAATACATCAAATGTATTTGGTTAGTTTTCTACTATGAAATGATGAATGAAGTAGGATCGAGTCAGAAAACCAACAGTAAAAAACTGATCCTTTGAAACCCTTTGTTCATTAAAAGGAACATGAGTTGGCACATGAAAACTGTTGGTAACACACAGACACACGCATACTCAGATCACAGTAGATAGGATGTGTTTGATACTGCCTGATGTTTGGAGATGAAGTGAAAATCTAGGCTGCAGCCTGATTCAAACCAGCGACCTCCGAATCACCGCCCCTATCTTCTATCAACTAAGCCACAAGATTCTGCTGCTGACTAGACTTTTATTTCACTTTAATCACCACACGTTTTAGTCGACTGCCATGAGAGTTCGTGACGTGTTGTCATCATTTGATTATACTAACACTGGCTACTCAGTAAGGACAATGCATTTGTATATCGATGTTGTACAGTATGATGAGTGAATTCTATATACACCATAAGTCAGATCAACTGGTAGTATGCATGAATTAGTCGAGTCAGTGTTTTTGAACTTATGTGACTTCCGTCTTCGTGGATCGTCATCGAAGAACAAGAGCACATGAGATGCGTTTGCAGGCACAGTTGGAATTCTGGGGAACATTTGTAGATAAGAGTATGGATGCAATAATAGTAATAAGAATAAGAATAAGAATATGCGAAACGACAATAACGCAATGCGATACTTGGACTGAATACGAATAGCGAATGTTCTCCCTCAAACCTGATACTTCACTGAGTCACGAAAATCAGAAGATAAAGACCAACCTGTGACTGTAGGGAAGACAACTTTATTTGACATAAATCATATCATTTGTATACAGTTTTTCCTCAGGAAATAAAGCCACTAGATCTGAAGTTGGATACTTCTTTTCACTGGTCAGCTGTAAGACAAAATTGTCCAATCAGGTCTTTCCTGCCCACACAGTAACTTGAAACAAGGTTGAAATCCAAAACTTCAACCGTAGTGGTTGATGACCTTGAATGTTGATTTAGGTTTGGGTTGCTTCCTATCAAATTATAACATTCCCATTTTTGTTAATTTCACCCAATATCCATATCAGCACCAGTTTTGAATTTCGATCTTTAATGAAACTCTAAATCATAATCCTTATTCCCCTTAATCTTCTTATCCACTAGTTATTTAAAATAAACTGTTGCATAGTGGTAGTCCCGAAATCAGGTAAATGTTGAAGATAACGGTCAATATTCAAGGTCAGTCGACGTGCGTGTGCATGTTTCTCAGCATAAATTAACTTGATTAAAGGTATAATCTGATGAGACGCCAACGAAGATACATGTACGCTCAAATTCTCGTCTTTTCAATGCCACAACCCAATTCAGTAAAATGAAGGCAATAAAAAGTTTTTTCAAGTTAGTATTCATCACGGAGTGAGATCGGTTGGAGAACCACTCAAAACTTGAGAGCATCGGATAGCTGCTTTCTCATACTGTGGGACTGTTTATCTGTGCGTTTCCACGACCACGTCAGGGATCAAACTCAGGACCTTCAGTTTCTGCGATGAGCATGTTACCAGAGTCATTAGATCGGAATTTAATGGTCAATATTTTCCTACTTATCAAATCACGATACAGCGCGACCTATGTTTAATACCACCGCTGGAGATTTGGCTTCATTGGTCCTCCAACTGATGTCAGTCCATGATGAACACCAAAGTCCCCACAGGCCTCCGCACTGAATTACTGTTCACTACTCACTAGTGGCATGCTACAAGGTGAGATTTTTCGAATCTCTTATGAGAAGTTATGACCAGTGGGGCAAACCAAGTCGGGTATGTGGGCATCGGCTTAAGGTGGTAGTATATGTCGAATTGAAAGAAATAGTGAAATGTAGAGCATCGAATTCCGAGCCAATGGCTCAATGGTCACATGCTAACGACATATGAAGGTACCAAGTCCGGTCACTAGTGGACCATATGTGTGAACACTACTGAGAAATCGTGTACTAGAAAGAAACAGCAGTTTATTGTTCCTAGGTTTCTAATGATACTCTAACCAATTTCGTTAAGTGATGAATACCTAGTTGAAACAAATAAGTTCCCACAAACCTCTAAACTGGATGGTAATCAATCAATCCTCAATTCCACGAAAATATCCAACCAAGTATAACAAAACAATCGATTTGTTCTGATCAGGCAAAGAAATTAATATACATTGCAATTCAACTCAAAGAGAAACACCTCATAAAAATGACAAAATAATTCTTAGCACAGAAATATGCTGACTTATTTCTTTTTTCCCTATCATCCACAACTGGTCAACTTTCTGTGCTCCCCTTGAAGCTGAAATGAAAACCAGCTAACAACTGTATTACCAATTTTAGCATCAAGGATAACTTATTATTGTGATAGAACCTGCCATACATTTATTCAATTCCGCCTATTAGTTTCGATGAGGACTAAAATATCTCCCAATATAGACAGCCTGGTGTTATGCAAAGTGGCAAAGACATTTTGAGGTGAACAGGGATATCAATTCTGAGAAAGTATTGATCACGGACTGACATCAATCGGAGAAACAATGGGAACTAGGAAGCAGTGTACAGCTGTTTCGTGTTAGAATGGGAATCCCCACCAGTACGCACTCACGACCCGGTTAGAGTTTGACGCTTACACTTGTGAAACCTGAGTTCGAACGCCCAGCCTGGTCACAGGTGTGTACTGGTATGGAGTCCCATACTAGCACGATACAGCCATCCAGTGCTCGCAAGTTTTCAATGGCTCTCCAACTGATGTCAGTTCGTGATGAATACTACCTCAAAAAGGTAATTTGTTCCTTATTCGACCAAAGCAGTGTTGATCACAAAATTGAACGTCGAGGTATTCAGTGGCTTAGCATGCGCGACATCTCGGTCACTGAAAGTTCATAACTCCATCCACTGGACCGTCTTCCTTGTCCGGTACCCTCCGTTTAAGAGGATTACGAAAATGCCCAATCCTTGTTTGTACTCAACATCAAAAATAATCTCAAAATTACCTTTAGAATCAGGATCATGTAAATTGTAGACTGCAGATACCGTAGCTGATGTTTTCAATGATGATGATGAGGAGGAGGATGACAGACGAAACGGGGTGACAGGTATGTACGGTCCAGTACCATTCAATCCTACTTCATCAGACAGATTATTATTCGTGTCGCCAACTTGCATTGATGGTATATGTACCTCGCAGAAGTATTCACCAAATCCTGCACGAAAGTATTGCTCATTGGGATAAGACTTTTTACCTAATAATATGAACATATATATAAATGTATTGGAGAACGAAAATATTACCATAAAACAACATCAGTGGACAAACAAAGTGAACCATCAATGTCTAATGATAGTTGATAGTAAGAGAAGATTCACAAGCAAAACCCAACAGGTGCTTATTTCGTACCCTCTACAACTACTCCATTGAAGAAAAAAGCAAAACGACACTAAGATATCATACTCAGATATTCATTCAACTTAATAAATGGAAGCAAAAATTTCAGATTCCAAGATGACGACGCCAAACATCATACCCACTTAATTAAACTCAAAAATACCAGTGTCACCTAGCTACAAGCAAGTGATATATTCTGTAACGTTACAAGTATTTTTACAGGACCAAGGTGATAGACAAAAAGTACAGCGGCACGATCCTGTATAACGGAGTGGCTACAGAGCTCACCACTCCTCCAAAAAGTGTTTGCCAACATTCCAGAAGTCAATGGACATGCTCATATCCCTCGAAGCCAGAGAAACCACTCAGCTAGGAAATCACTACCTACTACTTATGACATCGCTTGCCGCAGCAGAACTTTAAATTCATAATCTAGCGACTGCAAGTCTACAGTCTAATAGTTTACACTAGCAACACCACTGCATCACATGAATTATTTTTACTACTATTATTTTTCCCTTGGGTTCCTAGTGGAACATAGGGCTTCAGTAGCACGCCTCCACTACACTCTCTTCTCTGCAGTCTTTTGAATCTGGCTCCACATCTGCCCATCACCTTTCATTTCTTCCTCACATGATCTCCTCCTCTATGCCATCCTCGCCTCGGACGCCCAACTCCCCATTCTCCCTTTGGATTCCACTCGAGGACCTGGCGCGTGATGTCTCCGAATGGTTTTGTCAGTGTATGCCCAATTCATCTCCACTTCCTTCCAGTGCATATTTGTTGCGTGATAGGTTCTTGGTTGGTTCGTTGCCAGGCCAGAGTTCCTTGTCGCTCATTCTTTCTGGCCATCTGATCTTCAATATCGAGTGAGCTAGCGTGGGCAGCAGCTGTTGATGAATGTCTGTAGTTTGTTGGAAATGCCTTTTCGTGACACGCCTAGTTTCTGAACCATATAGAATCACTGACTTGATGTTGGTGTTGAAAATCCGGATGTTGTTCACGTTTTATGCTGAGTGCAGTAGATTTCCACACTGATTTCAGATTAGTGAGAGTCTGTCTTACTGTCTTTCCGGTCCTGGTTTTGACATCTTCGTCTGTGCCGCCGCCTGTAGTTGAAACAATACTGCTGCCTAGATAGGTGAAAGAGATAACTTTCTTTTGGTTTCTTCTGTTGATGGTGTTTGGTGCTTGTTGTTCATGCTGTTGTTCGTTGGGTATCTTCATCATCTCCGTCTTCTCTACATTCACTTGAAGTCCCGTTGTCACTGCCCTACCTCTTCTGTCAACTTGCTACTTTTCGCCTGTTGAGATCTTCGACTTTGTGCGACATTGAACATAAATCAGCATCGGCGAAATCCAAATCTTCTAGGGTCTTCGCATCGGTCAAATAGCGTATGCCCATCTTCTCGCTCCTCACGGTTTGCTGCATGATCCAGTCGAGTCGACCACAATGAGGAAGATTATGGGTGATAGTAGGCGGCAGCCTTGTCTTACTCCTGTCTTCACTTCACTTCAAAGGCGTCACTGAGCTTTCCATTGTGGATCACTTGGCATGTAGCATCAGAAAGCATTTACCTGTTGAATGAGGTTGATTAAGATTTGTGGCACTCCGTAGTGTTGAAGCAACTGCCGAATTACTTCTCGGTCGACGCTGTCGAAGGCCTTTTCAAAGTTGATAAAGTCGAGGTAGAGAGAGAGTTGACTGCCATTCTTTGCTCTGTTCTAAGATGATGCTTTGCGTTGCAGTTTGATCTGCACATGATTTGTTCTTCCTGAAACCAACCAGCCTGTTCCGATCGTAATTTTGAATCCAGCGCATTGTTTAGTCTCTTTAAGATGATGTGGCATAATATTTTGCTTGCATTGGGTGGACAGTACCATGATTCCTCGCCAGTTCTTGCAAAGGCTTAGGTCGCCCTTGTTTGGGATTTTGACAAGGTAGCCCTTCTTCTAATCAATTGGCAGGTACCTTTCCTGCCTTCCTTCCAAATGCTTTGCAGTAGTGGTGTGAGCATGTCCGCTGTTGTCTCTGTGTCTGTTTTCAGTGCATGTGGAGGAATTCCATCTGGTCGTGCTGCTTTCCCGGATTTCAGCAACTTTATGGCGTTGAGGACTTCACTTCTGCTTTTGTCGGAGGGCTTGTGTTCACTTGTAGTTGTGTGACTGGGTTGCTGGTGGTATTTCTGGACGAGTTGTAGGTGGTGTTGGTGGTCGATTGAAGAGTTTATGGAAGTGATCAGTTTGTCGTTTCTCTTGTTCCTCCTCTTTGGTAACTCGCTTTCCTTCACGATCTTTCATTGGTTTCGTCCGCGTTGATCTCTTCCCAGATCGATAGTAACCTGGTTATTTGATATGGTGTTGTCAGGTCTCTCCTACCAGCCGGCATCCTGTTCCGGTTGACTTGCAAGTGTGTCGTAGAAGTGTCTTTTTGTCTTTCCGCACACACTCTTCTTTGTCCAGTATAGTGTTTTACAGGTTGTACTCAGTTCTTCTTTTCGTTGTTCATCCCTGCACCGCACTGCACTGCACTGCACTGCACTGCACTGCACTGCACTGCACTGCACTGGTTCATCTTCTGCTTCACCATCTTCCTCTCGCTTCTCTATCAGTTTCCATGTGTCCGTCGAGATCCATTTCATTCCTTGTCTCGCCTCTTCTTCTTCTTCCTTCCTGACATGCTTGTGCAGGTTTCCTCGGGAATGTTGTTTAATGTCGCCCATTTTGTCCTGATGACTGACTGGCTGGCTGATGCGAAGATGTCGCTTGTAGTTTCGTCCTCCAGTTTCTGTTCTCCGTGTTGAACTTCAACTGTGGTCGTCTATCACCAACTTCTGTGAAGGCTTCCAACTTGATTTTGAAGGTGGGTTGCTTGCACTAGATAGTGAGTGGTGTGAACCTACATCTGCTCCCCATCTTGATCTGATCTTGTGTCCAGTAGTAGGCTGGCTGCGTCTCCACTTTCTTCACATTGAGATGAAGTCGATCTGGTTTTTAGTTTAGTGTGTCCATCTGGTGAAATCGAATCCATGTCACTCGCTTTGTGAATATCCTTGTGTTTGTACACACTGCCTCACCTCCAATCACCAAATCATTAAATGCGCGGGAGTTTGCAAACAGTTCTCCATCCTCGTTCATCATTTCACCGAGTGCTTCTCAACCATGATTGGTTCTCTTCCTGTCTTGTCCGCTCCCAGTTTGGCATTCATGTCACCCCACCCACTAGAATTTTGATGTCGCCAACTGAGATGGAGTCTTTTCCAATAGTGATTACAGTTGTCTGTAGAATTCTTCCTCCTTCTTATCTTCATCTGCACTATTTGTAGGTGCATAGCGTAGCATCATATGATTGTGACTTTCCTTCCTTTTGATTTGAATGTTGCTGTGATGATCCCAATCCTGCAGGAGGAGATTGGTTCGCACTGTATGAGAGTGAGCCTTCGATGCTGTTGAAGGGGACATCATGATAGCCACTGGAGAACTCAGTGTGAGTGTCGTCGTGGTTGTTGTCTGGGTGACAATATGTGGGACGGAGTAGATTATTGACTCTTCTCCAGTTGACAGTTTGGAGAGTTCACTTCCATCCCATCTACTTTTGCAGATTCCTAGCCTAGCACTTCCATGCCATACCTGCTCATCTCCTTGACTATCTGGGAAGCCTTGCTAGGTTGGTGCTGACATGGTGTGGACATTCCATGTCCCCATGTTTACTTTTGCTTTCATCGAGAGGAGACACATTGGCCGACTAGCTTCCCGAAGGTTTTCACCAACCGGTGTCATTTTGTCTCTCCGATTCCGGCGAGGAATAAGCTTGTTTTCATTTTTTATATTTTGTTTGTGCTTGGAAGTTTCTTTAGCGATTGGATTGGTTTTACGGGGTAGGGTCGCTACCCGTACGCCCAACCTTCCCCTTTTACTCGGGCTTAATATCGGCTAGTAGCTGGTGAACTGGTCAACCAGGCGTGTTTGTATATATGTATGTATACGCATGATAGATGTATTCAGTCGTGGAAACTATGGGGATCATGCCAGGTTGCATTTTTCACATTTATCTGCTTTTCTGAACTATATGAATAAATAAATACGAAGGCCTAACAAACATATATCATGTGTTATCTTTGTATGGAATGACGTATTTTTCTGTACGCTTTAAATGAGAGTAGTGAAGGAGAACACCTAACCCAAAGGTGATTGGTTTCTGTGATTCAGTCGAAAGTAAAATGCACTCAGGAACTATATTCGTTTTTGTATAGTAGGCAATCAGAAACATCTACTTTGTGATGGGGGCTAATTGATGATACTTACTACCTGACTGACCAAATCGGGACAGATGAAGAAGGGTTAGAACTCGCGACCTTTCGGTTAGAAATCAAGTGTATGGACCAATGAAACTACAATTCCCTATAATTAAGTGATTTCATTTGCAGTGTTCAAAATGAATCAAGCATTGTTGGGGGGAGGTGGGGGGGCGGGTTAGATCTATAGAAATGAACCGTTAATGCCTGAATTCGTGTACAGTTTACTTGATAGAAATATAAAATATCTTTTGCCTACCTTTCTTCCACCTCGCTTGTTTTTACCGCTTTTAATAATGATGTTGGTTGTACCTCTGCTTTTATCACTTTAAATTACATCTGTTTGTCTCAAGGGTATTTCCCCATTGTATATATATTTCGAGCTATATTCTTATTCCCAAACTCATTCGTTTAAAGTAGACTTCTTCAGTTTAGTGTTGTCTTTGTTACTGTGTTAGTCGAGCGAGTTGTCAAGTATTGTATTTCATTCATCTGATATCTAAATCAAGTGTCCAACATCTACAATATCCATAAATCTCAACAGGCATACTATGCAACTAACCATCTCATATGTATGTGAAATGTGTCAACTGCGATGACCCTAGTCAAGCTCGAACGTGGACAAGAGGATAAAGAAAGCACATTAGACTGATTATAGATATCTGTAATACAGTTGAAATGATTAGAAGTAATGACCATAAGTACAAGCCTGCATTTATCAATAACTTACTTCAATAGAAGTAACAACAGACTCAATGACTGGAAAAACCAACGTAGAACCTCGCACAAGTACAGTGGTTCATGTTGCCACAATTCACAGAAGTACACAAAGATCAGGTGGATAGAATAAGAGTGATTTAAAGAACATAAACTAGCGTGAGAGAATAAACAATCTGAAGGTATAAGTTAGTGCTAATATTCAAGCTTTACAAAATGTTAAGGAGTGAATACATCTGCGTCACTGTGACCGATTATCAGCTATATCCCCAACAGTTCTCAACTACTGATTCCTTTCGTCCAGGGGACCCCAACCAGGCAGTCTACATCTCCCTACATGACTCAGACCAACAAACATTTAAACCAACATAGGACCAGGCATTATTGCGTGGCGGTCCGAGTTGCTACACCTTGTATCAGTGCATCAAATAAAAAGGCAGTGTAGTGGAAGATAAAGAAAATAAAATACAGACAAAAGAAATATAAAGTGCTTAAAGAGAGAAAGGAAGAATGAGAAAATGGTGAGATTCGGTATAGCGTTAAGATAAGGATAATGTGTGTATACATATCTGCGCCGCTGATATCGGTTCGGAGCCATGTGATCACCTATAGTCGCCAACCACTGGTTTTTCTTGTCCTGCGGACCCCAACAAGTTAGTCTGCATCGCCCCACAGTCAAAGACTCTATGCATTGGTTTCATGTTTTAGTCTGGCCGCCGCCTCAGACCAACAGTTAGAGTAGGAAGACTTCACCGACTGGTGTCACATCTTCATCTCGTAACCCTCAACCCCTCTCCAACCTACTCCAACATGACACGTCGAGGTAGGCGGTGGCTCAGCATGTGCAGTACCTGCCCAAGCTATCTCAGTCGGCTAAGGTTCACAACTTCATCAATCGACTTGTCTGTCTAACCTAATACCTTTCGTCTGACAGCAGCATCACTCATACAGTGATTCCATCCACCAAAGGCAAGCAATGCTATGAAGACACATATGATCAAAACCGTGTAACCACTTCTTTTCTTCTACTTATACACGCTTTCAAACAACACGCTGTGAAACTCACCTAGCATTGGCAAAAGGTAAATTTCTATGTTTTGGTACGTTCATGGTGTACATAATTCATTCAGAAGTCTCTAAGCATCTTTCTACCCAACAAATGCAATAAAAAAAATTATAGGAGGAATGCAAACCAAACAGCGTCTAGGCGGTAAACTTACAATTCTTCGTAAGCGCTTGTATGGCTGTATTCGTCTGAGAAGAGAGCCTTGATTAATGTTGCATACCTACTGCATACTCCATTTATAGTCAAACACTGCTGCAGTGCCTGCGAGTCAACAAAGTCAGGCATCACGAAGTATGTCTGTGTTTCGAAACGTGTAAAAGGATGGGAATCTGTTCAATAAATTCCTCATCCAGTTCTGAAAACAGATATGTAACTATCCAGATGACGATTATTTATAGACCCTGTGATTTTAGATATGTTTGACAAACTGACTTCTCTGTGGTTGTCACACGAAGACTTCTTTCATCCAAATTGTAATGACCAATGTCATACACTAATCTAGCGCAACTACATGTAATTTCAACAGAGTAACTAATATACCTGCATTACTCTACTCAGTGATTTTCCACCTTTATCTTCAAATACTTCTTATGCTTACGATCTTTAAAGCTTCAAACAACCTTCTTCAATAGCGAGAATAATTTTAGAATCAACTTCTATGTTTCATTCATGTTCAAACTGGATGATAGGCATCTGAAGTGTGGTTGCTGGTCACTTGAGATGTTTTACTTGATACGCAATAAGTAACCGCAAAGCACAAGTTATAAGCTGGATGCCTTATCAAACGCATATCTGCAGCAGATATGATTAGAAAACATAAGGTTAAATATTGCCTACAAAAACGCTATGACATACCAAACGGATAATGTGTTGATAGGACACACTTGAAAGTGGGCGTGTTCTCTCCCCACCCACCCCCTCTCATGTCGACAATTGAGTAGAGAGAAAATAAAATTATCTGACCAGCTAGATGCAATGTCATACAGTTAGCTTCTAGTAGCCTAGAGAGATAGACAGATATCAACAACATAGGATGTGGAATCCCTGCCAAATGGCGCAAGTCGACACACATTTCACAGGATGACACTGATATAGAGATCGAAGAGCAGGAAGACAAAAGGGTGAATATAATAATTACCAGAAATGGTCAAAAGCCAAAAAAACTCAGGAATAAACGAACATAAAAGTACATGATATTACAGCTTATTTAAAAATGAAGTACAAATGCATCTAGCTCACTGAGACCGATTTTGAGCCATATCACCTAGAGTCTCTATTCATCAATTTCAGTTGTCCTGTAGACACTAAGCAGAAAGCTTAAATCTTCAGAAAGTAAGTAAATTGGTGGTATGGTCCACTTTAGCAATTCAACCTTTTCTCAACCTAATCGTACTCTAGGTGATACTACACCTAGCATAACAGGACAATATCGTCTGCATAGTCAATAGTGAGAACAAAATAGTTAGTGTTCTTCCTACCTGAATGTTTATAACTTATACTTAACGTTACGCCTTCAATTACTGATGCTGAAGCGTTTAATCAATATAATATTCAATTTGATAAGTTAGACAGACAATTCATAAAAACTGCTGCGGTCAACAGAGTTTATATGAGATGCACTTGAATTTATCACTTTGAACATCAATGATAGACAGATAAGTAAATCATTGTAGAGACTGGCACAGAAGTGTATCACTTCAAATTGATGCACTTCCTTCAAGGCGGTAATGCAAAGAAGTAAGTAGAATACGTGATACAAAGATAAGTAAAAGTGTATGAGTGAGGCGATTATTATTAAATGAAGGTTAACGGAAATGTTCAAAATTTCGAAGACGATGAAGGGGAGCTGTTAAAGTATTTACTCAAGAATTAGTAAATTTTTATAATATCAAATCAGCTAGCAAGTGTTTAGTTTATCTAGCAAGTAATCGCCAGGCATTCGAGTGCATATGCTTCGTCAAGCTAGCTGTCTAATCTAAAAGGATCTGGACTAAATAAGAGAATGGATCTTAATCAAATAATCTTAGCTTGATTTTGTTGGTATAATACTGATTTTCCGACACATTATGGGATCATTGAAGTTGACAAGAAATCTAGATCAAGATAGGAAGCAGTTAAAAAATCAGCTTGATAATTCTGAATGTACTGCTTTGAAAGTTTGATGTCATCTGAAATATAAAAGATGAATTTGCTGAACAGGATCGACTGTGTCATACATCTTTATTAACAAGAGATATATATCACACAAAGCATTAACAAACAATTACCTGTATGAGTAGGATATGCATAATCCTCGTCGTTCCATTTAAATTGGTCACCTGGTTTATCATTTGACCCACCACCTAAATGATTAATACTAGTAGCAGCACTGGTTACAGTAGTATTTAGGTAACCTAAATGAATTTCAAGCCAACGACCACCATCCAGTGTGACTGCTTCATAACTATTAGACCAAGGTGGATGATTTGGATCTGTACTGAAACCGACGGGTTGCATAACCATTACATCCGATGTAACATGAAACCATCTAGAAAGAAATAGTAAACAATTGATACACTAAACAACTCTCCTAGTACATTTTAATTAAGTAGTGATAAGTAACAATAAAGTTTCATGACAGGTAGATATAGGTTTATGAATACGCAATAGTCAATTGATAACCGTCTAGCTTAAACACTAGGATGTACACACAGGGTGTGCTGAGACTGAAGACAAAAGCGTTTCATCTCGTAACACATACGAGAGTTACACAGATGCGGAGCCCAAGATCTTCAGCATTTATGACCAGCACTCAAGCACTGACTTGAAGTCCGGATATCTACACCTTTTAACCTCTACTTTGTGATACTATCCAATTACGAGCTCGAAGCTCTGAAATTAATCTGAGATTCGTGCAGTCAACATGAATGTCCAATGATGAAATTGGATGATGTTCACGCTACATAACGGATCTAATAAAACTGAAAATTTGGAATAGATGAGCTTTGACCCTATGGCTAGGTGTTTATGTGCTTGTTAATAAGAAAGTCACACGTTACACTTTATTAGGATCAAAGATGGATGCAGGCGAAATCCAAAACAGGATAAAACAATTGCTATTAATTCCATTACTCAAACAGGCTTGTAATCTTGTCAAAGCATAGAAACTACATTAGGACATTGATATCATTGCTAATGTTCACAATAATATAATTGCGATTGGGACCATAATCCGTCGATAACTTCCATCAAGTCATCATAATCGTTCAGAAAAATGTGACCACTACTAATCACTTGTCTAATGTAGAGGGAAGGCTTCTTGAGCGTATTGTTTTGAATCAACAAGAGTGGAAATTATGTTGTAAGCCAAAAAGAAGTGGGGAAAAGTTGTTTCACCTCAGCAAGAAACCTTGTTATCAATGCGGGTACTCCATATCTTCAGGTATTGGCTTTAGAACCTTCCGGTCTTGACGCACCCGATGACACTTAGAATTCAATAATCAATAGTTTTCCTATCTCAGTCAATTAGTGACATAGCATTCAACATTCCTTGAGTGATATTCACGAGTGCTTATTCTCAGGTTCGTTTTGATCCAAATCACTAGTTATTGATTTTCCGATTCCCCACAAACCTTCAGGCTGAAATAGAAATCAAATATTTACTAGTGACCTCATTCGAGACAGACTTCCCACGAACTCACCCAAAACGGATGTGAGGCCAAACAGTCATCGGTATTGCATGAGGGTCACGTTATATCATGAACTGAAAACGTGAACTACTGGCTTTCGACCTACTGACAGTGGTAATGTGCTCATGACTAGACGTGATGGTTGTATGTGCATACTGGTAAGGTGTCCCTAACTAGGATGAAACAGCTAGCTGTTCAGCTACTGACTGAAAAAGCCTAACCTAGTAGATGTATAAATCAGACTTATTTTAAGATCAACAACGTAATTTGAAATCTGTGTGAATCAGTACAGTAGTTTTAAAAAAAAAGAGACCAGAAAAGGCCTTCTCAAATAAACACTGATGTTGAAATTCCTAACATGGGAAAAAGATTAGAAAACACGCATGCATGTTCAAAGGTGATTGTAACCAAATTTGACTGCCATAAAAATTCATTATTCCACTTTGATGTGACCGAATGGAAGTGACTGACAGGATGATACTAAATACGAGAAACGCTACGAGCTCAATGAGATACTTGGACTGAATACGAATAGCGAATGTTCTCCCTCAAACCTGATACTTCACTGAGTCACGAAAATCAGAAGATAAAGACCAACCTGTGACTGTAGGGGAGACAACTTTATTTGACATAAATCATATCATTTGTATACAGTTTTTCCTCAGGAAATAAAGCCACTAGATCTGAAGTTGGATACTTCTTTTCACTGGTCAGCTGTAAGACAAAATTGTCCAATCAGGTCTTTCCTGCCCACACAGTAACTTGAAACAAGGTTGAAACCCAAAACTTCTACCTTAGCGGCTGATGTCTTCGAATGATGATTTCGATTCAGGCCGCCTCCTATTACACCTATTCTAATAATACATATTTTCATTCCTACCTATATAAACAATGAAAAGATGAATTCCACGGTAAAACAGTTATTATTCCAAATAATTATGCAAAAGACACTGACACACACACACACACACACACAAGTTCATTGCTTGTTAGCAGCTTCTTCCTAGTCCCTCAAAACTTACTGCACTCTTCCGTTACTGTTAATACTATTTCTGTGACTATGCAAGTGTAAAATAAAAACTAATAAGACAGAAAGTGAATTTCAAGATAGCGTTCATCGTGGATTAATATTAGTTGAACAGCTGTTTCATAATACCACAGAGCTCCTCAGCAATGGTATACGAAGGATCGAGTCCACGACTGTCAGATCTCACAGCGAGCAAGTTATCATTGAGCCAGTAAGCTTGGTAGGGGCCGTGGATCACTGATTTAGGCAGCTGACTTTCAACCAATGGGCCATGCGTTCGAAACCCGCTCTACCTATAGAGGTTAGGGAGCCATAAACAGATGTGACTCACTGCCTACTGCACTAGGTCGCTGAGTGTATTTTTTTTTACTGAGTTGGAATTCAATAATGCACATTTTACTACTCCTATCAGTCAGTGATGAAGCGCGACCATAATCGTACAGTGCCATCGGTGGATATTTGTCCTCACATCCAACTCGGTTTACACCACCGGTCACCACTTTTCATTCGAACTTCGGGAAACCCATCTGAAAGCAAGTAATTAATAAGTAGGAGATAGTAAGTTAGTAGCAACTCTACATCTTTATTCAACTGTGTCAATCATTTTCGGTACACAGAAGGAAACAGCCAGTGAAAACGTAAGACAATATACAGTAAGCATCATTGCCACTACATTTGTGTACCACTTGTTTCTCAATGATTTTTCTTCACTCAGTCGTTTAGAAATATGATAGCTGAGACTACTGAAAACAACGGATGTTTTCCATCTTATACAAGGAATTCCATAAAGAACTTATCCTTGCTCATGATTTAAACTAGTGAAATCCACACAAAATATGGCTGATTCAGCTTGCTTAACATTATGGAAAAGCATAATATAATCAATAGTAGAGGGATTTTATAAAATACTTTGGCGGACGTGACGATGTGTACGGCCAATATATGTTGCTCCACAGAAACAAGTAAACTGATAGACACAAATTGGACAATGTTTCAGCTGTATAAATATAAACTATGGTCGTTTTAAAAGTAATCCGGGTATACTGCTGAAGAAGCTGTGATCTACACAGAAAAACGTTTACAAGAATGTTGTTTTCATTTACTAAGAACACGCCACCCTTGTAATATTATAGTGCACGCTGCTGATCAGAATGGACATAAGTAGTATATGTTGAGAGGGTGGCAGAAATCATAGGGAATTACCAGCAATGGGTAAAGATTCTACCCAGAGAAACGCAAGAGACAATGTGGGCGTATCAAGAGCAAATCAAGATAGAAGCAGAAGAGGGAATGAAGCATATTATGCAAATGACTGTCTTACTGTACAAGATATCAATAATAAACATTCTTTTCTGAGTCTTTTCGTTTCCTTCACTGCCATTCACTATTATACTGAACTAATTGAGCTTGGTGCTCAAATTCTCTCCAGACAATCATAACAATTATGGTGTCGATGTTTATAATACCACCACCACCACAAGATTGAACCAGTTAGGTTAAGACAAGTTGATAACTTCACCAAATAACTGACCCTTCACTTCACATGGAGGTTTGAACTTTTACGTACTCCAATCAAAACAATCGACTTCGAACAATACTAAGTACTAAGCAAGTAGATGGGTTGCCCGCGGATGAACAAGTTGTCCACATAATCCAATGCTAGACAGCAGTCGTCACTTATGGCTTAGTGGTAAAGTTTCAGTCGACTCTAAGGTTCAAAACCTCATCAATTCCATCCACCGAATGTGAGCAATGCTATAAAGATGCCTGTGACCGAAACCATGTAACCGCTTCATGTCTTCTACTTTCGATGGCCATGTCTCAGCCGTATAACAGGTCAGAACGAACTGCAGCGCAGTATAATCGTCTTTTGACAGATAGTCAGATACATCGCCATCCAGCCCTACAGATGAAACAAGTTGCCGAATGCCAAACGGGCCTTCTGTATCCAAGCTGAGATTTTGTCAGCAACCAGCCGGTTCAGTAGGCTGATGCAACTCCCCAAGTAAGTGAAGTGGTCGATACACTCCCTACCCTTAAACTGGGAGTTCTCCCAGACCACTCAATCTTGTAGCATTATCTTACATTTGACAGGTTCCAAAAACATGCCAAACATACTCAGTTTTATGTTTAACCCATTCAGAAGACGTAATTTGTCAGCGTCTTCACCCAGCAGGACATCGTCTGCATATTCCCAGTCAACCAGATGACTTCCAGAGGGCAGGACAATCCCTGTGATGTACGTAAGGTTATTTCCATCAGTATTTCGATGACAAAGTTAAATAGGAACAGTGACAGTGGGCAACCCTGGCATACATTACTAGTTGTCGTCAATACGGCGGCCATTCTCTCTAAGTCCTGACACGGGTGCGTGAGTTCCAATAAAGACCTTAGATTAACGTTATATACTTGCTAGGTCCTCCCTTCACCGTCAGACACCGTCACAATAGTTCACGGCAGAATGAGTCAAATACCATCTTCAAGTCAAGGAGTACGTCGTACCGGGCATCAGCCGGTAAGTATGCCTGTAATTCAGAAGCTGTCGGAGGGTGAAAATATGACCAATGCACCTTCAACCAGGTCTGAAACTTGCCTAGTTCTCTCGAGCTTGATGCTGTCGAGCTACAGTTAGGCATCGGACAACTATGGACCCTAGGATATTCGACACAATTTTGGTCAAAGTAATTGGCCTATGGTTGTTACAAGAGGATTTTTCCTCCTTCTTATAGACTGGGATTATCAGGGAAGTACACTAGTCTCGAAACAAACCAACCAAGAACCCATCGCCAAACAAATATGCAGAAGAAAATGAAGACGGATTGGGCATACACT